AGCTAAAAAGAATTCATTTAGAGAACCTCTAGTCAGTTTGTGATTACAATGCAATTCGATCCTTCTCTAATTCAATACTCTATGTCATATTCTCGGGATATGGTAAACTTGTGTAAAAATCCCTAATATGACATCTCTTGATTATATGATTCAATTTGATGAAATTGCAAACGTTCTTGCTTCAATTTCCATCCAATACTTTGGCCAAAGATTCACGAATCATATCTTTAGAGTATTCTCTTTTCTTAATAAAAGCAGAGATTCTTTGTTGTGTATTCACCTGTCTCTGCGTACATGCTAAGAATCTTGAGGAACACCTTTAAGTCACATATACATCATTTTGATACGACCGTATAGTGCTCTCAAAGAGAAACAACATATACACCAGACAACTGTGATGTCTAATGTCTAAGGATTAATTTGCATTATCACAACTTAGAATTCTTTGTTTGACACGTGTGAGTAAGACTTCCATACAAGAATTCTAGAGTTGATCGCATTCAGTGGACTCCATCTTCTATAGAGCACATACACATTTGTCTCAATGTCTCTACACGAATGACTTGAGACTAGTCATCCTCCCAATTAAGCATACATAATGTATACCAGTCTTTGCGGGTCACCATTGTCCAATTGGAGATCCTATGACCAGGAACATTTTAGGATACGATATTTATATGTATGGAAAGGTCTCGTGCATCTAATTTCTTTAGATTACTTTCTATTTATATCTTAATCCATGGACTTGTTACTTTGTGTATGTTATGTATCTAAAGCAACGTTCTTGCCTCTTTGATTATTATATATTATTTCCTTAGAATTATACATTTTATATTGACTTCTAGGGCATATATCTAACAGAGGCTACGCATCACAAGACTCGAGGTATGATCAATTGTTTCTTTAATTGATAATTTGGTATTGATTTTCGTTAGGTTAATTGATGATTGATATTGATTTTTGTATTAATTGATATACTATATTATTTTATTTTTGTCAAATATTTGGAGTTGTTAGATTTAATCTTAGCATTTTCCCGTTTAACACTCGTACGTGACGGACCCATGAATTTTTTAGAGGTGCAATGTTTAAAGGCTAAAATCTTTTCTATTTTTTTAAAGATAAAAAAAGGAATGGTTGTCCAAATATTTGACAACTTAAATGCACCCGAACCGGACCCAGACCTATTTGAAATCCAAAATCCACTTATTGTGGAAAATCCCATTTTGACTTGTGTTGTATTTTTTGCAAGACATAAGTTCAACCATTTCCCTATGTTTTCAAGTTCATACCCAATTTTAGAGACATTTACGAGTACATAATCAAATTCTTGGAAACCTACAATTTACCCCATCCGTTAGCCAAATCGTTAGTTAATCTATTAAATGTTGATGGCATTTGTGGGACATATTTTTTAAGGGTAAACTGCTGAATACCCCCTTGAACTATCACGCTAGTTGAAATCTACACCCTGAATTAATTTTCCAGCTAATTTAGCACTCGTACTAAATTTTATCGCCAATTTACCCCCCACCGTTAGTTTTTAGCAATTTCTATCCAAGTCTCTGTTAAAAAAGTCACATGTCAGGCACGTGATTCACTATTGAATTAAAAATTAATTTTTTAACCTCGCTCTTATTTTCTCTCTCTCTCTCTGCAAGTCTCGAACCCAGATGGGGTTTTTGGCTTTGGACACAATTCCAATAAGCTATTGGAGACCAGCAAAATTTTTATTTTTTATTTTCTCTGCTTCATCAAAGAGCTCGAATGAGAGAACAATCCAGGGGGGAGGGGATTTTGAATTACAAACCCAAATCCCCAAGATCTTGTGACCATGGCCTAAATTACAAACCAAAATCCCAAATTTCTCATTCTGGGTTTCAATCAATTTTCATAATTCTCTTCAATCTTGATTCTTGAAGTGCAAATCTCACTTTTTACAACAAAAAACAAAGTTCTGAAATTGGTCCTCTGTGTGAAAGAAACTCAAAAAAGTAAACTTTTTTTTTTTTTTTTTTTTTTTTTTCACTTAATTAAGATAGTTAGATATACCTGGCTAAAGATCTAAAAAAAAAGGCCAAGCCTTTTGGTTTGTTGTTTAATCTTTGGTCCTCCACTTTGTCGTTCCTCTCTGTGAAGGCAAACATTGTTGCTTATAAAGAAATATGTGAGACCTCTTTCTCTCTCCCCATCTCTTCTTCTTTATCCCTATCTTTTGGGAAGTTCTCGACCACCCAACTCGACGAAGTTGTGCTTCTCTTTTTGGGGCTCGCGATTGGCTATTTAGCGTTTAGTCGTGAAGACAGTGACGTGGCCAACGAGGGAATTCATGGACTGAATGAGAGAGATTTTTCAATGGTTGTCTTGGTTTGGTATTGTTGAGGTAGGGTGGGCTGAGGCCTAAGAGGAAGAAACGGGGAGATGAGAGAGAGAAGAAGAGATGAAGAGATAGAGAGAGGGTTCACAGAGGGGTTGCAGGGTTGGCATGTGCCATTCACGTGGTGTTTTTAACAGAAATTTGGATGGACATTGCTAAAAACTAACGGTGGGGGGTAAATTGGCGATAAAATTTAGTACGAGTGCTAAATTGGTTGAAAAATTAATTCAATGTGTAGATTTCAACTAGCGTGATAAGTTATGGGGGGTATTCGGCAGTTTACCCATTTTTTAATTGACGTGGAGTTCCACATGGACAAAAACTAATAAACTATTATACAAAACAAGTAAAATTATATTAAATAATTAATTTTCATTTAAAATAAAAAGAAAAATCATTGTCTCTCTCCTCTATCCAACCTCTCAGCCCAACTTATTATCGTACCAGAGCTAACACCGTCACTAAAACACCCAACCCCTCAATGCTTCCCTGCCAGAATCGTTGTCTCCATCCAGCGGCCATTGTAACATCCTTCCAACCACCATCATTACCCTAAATCTCTCGCCCCCACCCTGCTCCTCCAGTCCAAACCAACCCTTATACGACACAGATCCGGCGAGTCCAAAACTCCAGATCCGTCAAAGACCCAGCCCCAATCGCAATCTCATATCCAACCACCCAAGCCAAAGGTCTTCATCGCCAAGTTCTTTGGTCACTACAACGGTGACACCGAACCCCACCAAGTAGATGAGAGAGAGAGAGAGAGAGAGAGAGAGAGAGAGAGAGAGAGAGAGAGATTAGGATTGAGGTGGCGACTAGGTTCACGGGAGACATGTTCGTCTTAACAAAGCCGAAAACTTGAACGGTCTATTTATTCTTATCTTTTTTCTTTTTTAGATTAAAAGGTCTCTTTTAGTTCTTCAAAATTTCAGCCCTTGAACAAAATTTGAAGGTTATGAATTAAAAAATGGGTAAATGAGCGAGCTTTGAATATTGATGCAGGGTGTGAGAGGTTGGTGCAGGTTGATTGGGGAAGATGGTGGGTGGGAGAGAGAGAAAGGGGTAGAGTTGGGGGTTGCTATTTTTTCCCCCTATATATTTTAGGTTTATTATTATTCTAATCTTTTAAATGAATTTAAATTTTTAAATATTATTTTGTCTACATGGATTGTACATAAGCATAAAAGTGGAACCCAAAGTTTCCATGTAAGCACTTAACAGACTTATTAACAGTTTGGGTAATGCTAGGGAGACCATCTATTTATACCATATTTGTGTACCATCTGATGTGGCTGTTGAGTTGGCTATGTCACATCATTAAATGAGCTTTTAACATTTTTAATTTTTTATTATTTTTTTTCACCATTCACTTTACAGAAACCCAAGCACGTGAGAATTTTGGTTTCCCGTATCTTCAATTGGTTCTTTGCCTAACTCCTCTTCTTCCTCCTCCTTTATCTTCTCCCTAATCTGTCACAAAAACCAAAGTTTTTCAATTTGCCAGCGACAAAAAATTAACCACTATTTTCTATTACTTTGCCTACCTATAAGTGCACTCCACCATTGCACAAACCACCTGCCATGTCCCAATCTTTGAAATTTGATTTCTGAAAATGAATTCAAAAGTCTAGTTATAATTATGAAAATATAGATCAACATCTTCAAACATAACCTCCACCAGTCAAATCATCACCACCAACATAGACAACTAAACCCACTCAAACCACAACCACCACCTAACCACGACCAACACTGTTAAACACCACCATCGTCAAACGTCGCCAGCACAGACCGTCAAACACGGTCGCTTGGAATCTCAACCACACGCAGAGCTTGAACCACCAATCACCCAATCAAAAACACCATGGCTCCATCAAACCAGATTGACAGCACTATCACTCAATCAAACCCAAATATAATATCTACCCAATTGAACCACCAACATTGAACAACTAATTGCCGAATCTATTTTCATTCCCTTGAGAAGAAAGGGGAAAAAAACGTTTAAAATAAAAATAGAAGCATGAAAAACTGGGACAAGGGGATCAATCGCCGACCTTAGGAAGACATCCGGTAAGATTTCTTGTTGATGGCAGATTGGCAGGAGGTAGGATAGGAGGTAGGGGTAGGGGAGGAGGTCTAAGCAACGATGTAAAAAATTAAACGGCTCTTAGGTTTCTGTATGAGGGAAAAAAGTAATTAAAAATTAAAATGTTAAAAACTCATTTAATGTACACAAATATAGTACAAATAGATGGTCTCCTTAGCATTACCCTAACAATTTAGCTAACATATGAGGCAATTTGTAGGTTTTCCGAGAGTTTGAGAATGTACTTATAAATGTCTCTAAAATTGGGTATAAACTTAAAAATGACCTTATAATTTAGGAAGTTTTATGTAGTTTGTCATAATTATTTTCTATAGAAAAAACCGAACCGAATCAAATTGGATCCTATGTAAGTTTGATTTCAATTTCAATTCCAAGAAAAAAAACCGAATTAAACCGGACCGCACGTACCTTATACTAATGCTAGAAACGAGGATATCTACAAATTTTTATCAAATCCAATGGACGAACAGTAATATGAAGAAAAAATTACAGATCTGATACAGGCACACAGCCATGTCTACCACCACCACCACCACCACACAGAGCAGCTCAGCAGCAGAGGCACAACTAATCCCATCCCTCCCAGACGATGTCGCTTTGAACTGTATAGCTCGGGTCCCACGTTGGTACCACCCGACCCTCTCCATTGTCTCGCGACCCATCCACTCCCTCCTCTCATCTCCACTCTTCTTCACCACCCGCTCCCTCCTCATCTCCACCGAACACTTCCTCTACCTCACCCTGCGGCTGCACCACAACCCCTCCGCCTGGTTCACACTCTATCAAAACCCCAACCCCAACAACCCAAACAACCCTCACGTTCTCATCCCGGTCCCGCCACTCCCCGCCCCAACAGTCGGCGCCGCATACGCCGTCGTGGGCCCCACCATCTACGTCATCGGAGGCTCAATCAACGACGTCCCTTCCTCGCACGTATGGGTCCTCGACTGCCGCTTCCACACGTGGCGCAAGGGTCCTCCGATGCGCGTGGCGCGCGAGTTCTCGGCTGCCGGCGTCGTCGACGGAAAGATATACGTCATCGGCGGCTGCGTCGCGGACTCGTGGGTCCGGAACGAGTTCTGGGCCGAGTCTCTTAACCCGGGGACGGGCCGCTGGGAGGCGGTGCCGAGCCCGATTGATGTCCGCGACAAGTGGATGCACGCGAGCGCCGTGATCGGCGGGCGCGTGTACGCCATGGCGGACCGGGGCGGCGTCGTGTTGGACCCGAAAGCCGGAACTTGGGATGTGGTTGATAAAAGGCTTGACTTGGGTTGGAGAGGGAGGGCCTGTGTGGTCCATGGGATTCTCTACTGCTATGACTATTTGGGGAAAATTAGAGGGTTTGATGTGAAGAAGAGGGTTTGGAAAGAGCTCAAGGGACTGGAGAAGGGGCTGCCCAAGTTCTTGTGCGGCGCCACGATGGCGAATGTGGGAGAGAAATTGGTTGTGTTGTGGGAAGGGAAGGGAAATGGTAAAGAAATTGAGATTTGGTGTGCTGAAATTGAAGTGGTGGAAAATGGGGATGGAGAGTTGCAGGGAAAGATTGGTTGGTCCCATAAGCTCATTTCGGTTCCGAAAGACTTCTCCATCGTCAACTGCTTGGCGGTCTCGTTGTGATTCTTGGTGGAGCACTGTGGAATTCCATCCAAACGTATGATTGAAATCTTTACTGTTACATTCTTCATGCTGACTTGTGTTTGTTAAGAAAATTTTATGCTTTGGTTTATTTGGTTCATGGTTGCCCTAACGGTATGATGGATGATGTTGTGTTTGATGTAACTTGATAAATTTAAGTTTGCAATTCTGAATGAGCTTATGAATGTTAAATTATCAAACTTTAAGCCAACCAAGAAGTTTTAGTTGAGAATATAATGTGCAGTGCTACTATGTTTATGTGAATGGCCAAGCTTAGTCTAAGTGGTGCTAGCTTTGTCCACGTTAATATTAGCAGTTAGAAATAAGTGAATTGGAACGCAGAAACAGAACTAGTAGAGGGGCTGAAAGTGTTTTCGGACAACCGAACACCTTTTTGAAAGTGTTTGGCAGAAAAACTTAAAAGTGCGTATGAGTCATAAAGCCCATAAGTGCTTCCTGAAAAACCTCTATGTTTAATAATTTTTTTTATGTGCTTCTAATAAAAGCTCTTTGAGTAAAAGTGCTTCCTACAGAAGTAGTCTCAAACGGGGCCATTCCTTAGGGTATTATCTCCCAATCTTCCAACGTAGTACTTTGGATTTGGACAGCCCCCACCTCCCTGATTTCTCAAGTTTATTGTTGTACTTTTTCTGTAATCGCTTGCAATAATGTGATGTTTTGTAGCTAAACATAACGCAGTTCTGTTTCTTCTCCTCACAGGTAGGTCACCAGAGTCCTATCCCAGCAAGGGAGCAACAAAGGAAGCTTCAAATTGAGCCCCATTCTTCCAGCAGCAAGTTGTTATGTCAACTATTTCACTGACCTACCTTTGAATTTGGGGGACTGCTGCAAATTTGCAATGGTCCTGATAAAAGCACCTTCGAGTTAGGTCAGGGACACACTCAATTGCTTCAGTGATTGGTAATAAAAAGTTTTTACATTTCTCCATGTGTATGTGCTGCCCGTGTAATTAGTTTTAGCTTTGTAGATAGTAATTGTGGAATAAGTAACCATAAGTTTTATTTGTAAAATTTTTTTTAAAAAAAAATCTGGGTTCACTGGAACAAGTCTAGTTGCAACCTTATTCTAGGTGTAATTTAATTTCCATTTATTTTATTTTGTTCGCATATACTTTCTTCTTCCTCTGATCTTGAAGTCATCTTGAAACCATTTTCCTAACATGCCAGCAAAATCATCATTCTTACAGGCCAACAAAACAAAATCCAAAACCAACAATGCCGACTATGGAATTTCTACATATCTCCCGTCTCATAATAGTGACGCAGAATACTTGAAATCACTTCTAGAGGTTTTTTTCTTTTCCCCTTTTTTGCTTCTTTGTTTTTTAGTAGCAATTGAAGCTTTGCATTGATGTTTGAGCTTGCTCAATCTTGAGCAAAATGGATTCTCTAGCCATTTACAAGTTGCTGATATGATAATTTGTCATACCTCACTGACCAAATCTCAGCTTATACTTTTCATTTTTCACTGTTTCTTGAGCCATTCTTCAAGTAAATTTGGATACTCTTGTTTTCCTTTCTTTTCTTTTTTCCCTTTTTTTATTTGGATTGAGGGAGTAATCTCTCTAATGTCATTCTTTATGTAAAGTTTCATTTTGGAAATGTCAGTTTGCCTTTAACTTTTCCCTCGGTTACTGAACTGCATCTACAAGCTACTGGTCTGCTTAAATCCATTGGCTGTTGTAAAATGATGTATTCCCTTTGAAGCCTTTGGAATGAATTCTGTTTTGTTTTTGTATATATTTTTTGCCAGTAGGTTTGCCTTCGCCTACTTACGGACATCCTATCAAAATGCCAAGTTTCCTCATTCGGCATGGATCATCGTGCTCATGTAGTGGTAATTCTCTTCTCTATGTTGGAGGATATTTCAAATTTCGAGTCCCTGATTGATGCACAAAATTTAAAGAAACATCCGTGTTCGGGTGCATACTATGTTTTTCTTTCAACTCTCTTGAATCGCCATCATCCAATATCCTCACAAACTCAAACAACACTTGGCAAAAGTGAACATCAATTTTTTCATACTTTGACTTGAATGTTTGTATTATTGTTCTTTTTTTGTGGTTAGATTGTGCTACACGGCGCTCCAAGACGAAGTGGTCCTTTTTGTTTGCAAGCATCTTTAGCTTCCAGTGTTGGTGAATTTGTTAGGAACGTGGCTAGGAGAGTGTCCATCTGAATTTTGATCTATTTCCATTCCATTATATCCAACTAAATTGGCGACGATTGTAAAATGTGGCTTTGCCGAATATGGTATTGCATTTCGGAAACCCACCTCCACCTAATACCAACTTTTTTCGTTCTTTCTTAACTTGGGTTCTCATTTGTTAGTTTTGTTTTTTAATTTTTCTGATCGGTGAGCAAGGGAAATTTGAATTTATGACATTACGAAGAGAAATACCGCTAAACTCCATTGTATTGAACTGTCAAGAATACACTCCATTGTATTGAACTGTCAAGAATACACTCCATTGTATTGAACTGTCAAGAAGCAAAAAACAAACTAATTGCAACCAACCCTCACATGATTATAGAAATCAAAGGCAATTTAGAGAACATTTTAATGCACGTCCATTTAAAAATTGAAGTAACAAACAAGGGTTTGATCTGCAAAATTGTTTAGAACTACTTTTATGACCGATTGAAACGAAATCTCGAAACAAAGGGGGTACTGGCAGAGGGGTCAAGGACCTCACTTCACAGGTCAAACAATATGTACAGTTACAACTTATTCGAGATTACAATCAAAATCTTACAGTAGTTCTTTTCTTTTTCAAACTCCATTAACACAACAGACGCATATATCCATGTTTCATAGCACGATAAAGGAAAAAATAAATATACCACAAGAAGAATGCTACGAGGAAGTTCGGCATCTTAGAACGTAATATGGGCATGGCCATCTTCTTCCTTCAGAAAGACTTCAATTTGTTCTAGTACCTGGTAAAAAGGGTACACCCAAATTAAGCAGTAACACATAATTTACGACCAGGTTATGATAATGCTTCAACATGTAGCCCTCTTTTTGTGTTTTTGAGGTGGACTATGCTTATGTTCCATTTGATGGGAATGCAACATTGAGAGCGAGAGTAAGAGAGGAACCTCAAAAACAATGGCAGTCGGAGTGAGACTGGACACATCTCTATAACCCAACTTGGCTGCAATATCTGCACAACAAAGAATCCAAGCCATAAAGATCGTACAAGTAAAAATCTCTCTTTCTGTTTTTATTTTTGTACTATTATGTCATAACACAAAGAAAGGGCCACAAATCTCCACTTACTTTCCAAGGAAACCTTAGCACTGGCGTTAGCATATGAATCACCTCTCTCTTCAAAAAGGCTTGTCAGACGCATAAAAGTCTGCATGGAAGGGCAAAGTGTAAACTTTCCAGTCAGTAGATAACCTGTTTATTGACCAATCATAGAACTAAGGACTATGTTAGTAAGAATTTTCAGCTAAACATAAATAGCATACTTTTCTGTATGCATCCCCTGACTCATGATGCAAAAGAGGGCGAGAACCAGTTCCCACGGCGGCAATTCTCTTAGCCAGGGCTTCCAGGGGTACATCTAACCAGACACTAATACCCTTCTTCATACATTTCCTGATTCACCAAATAGATGTGTATATTAACACAATTAATATAATATGCAGAGAATTTAAAAAAGTAGAAAATTTAGTAAAATACACAAGTGTATTATTACTAACCAGTTGATGGGCCTTACAACTGCACCTCCACCCGTAGAAACAACAAGACGATGCATCAAAGACAGTTTACGTAGCACCTCAGTCTAAAAGGAAGAAGTATAATTATAAACCATGCTTCACTTTTCTATATGTATGTATGTATGTACATCAGGTGTACAGATGCATTCTACCACGATGCACTGTAATTCTAAAAACGACGGGCCAAACATGAAAATCTGCAGTAAATAAATCAACAGAAACAGTTTCCAACTGACCTCTTTTTCTCTGAAAAAGCCTTCTCCTTTGAGTTTGAAAATTTCAGCTACAGAAGTTCCACCAACCTCATGCTCCACCAATGTATCACTAGAGCCCCCACAAGCATATACCAAAATACAGAGTACTATTAGTAAGAAGTAACATGAACTCATAACCTAAATCAGCCATAAAACGACAGACAATCATTCACAGAAATTTCATGTGCCAATATCTACAGTTTTCATTGGCATAGCTTCTGAGAGTCCTCCATACAGCTTGAGAGTTTATTCCTCACCATTAAGGCTTCAGACTGGACTTGAAAATAACGAGAAAATTGATAGAGAAAAAACTCCGTCCTTCCTCTCATTGAAATCAAAATAGAGCATGCAACATTTTTTACGATGACCAAACTCAAAAGTAGACGGACTACGAACCTATCAATAAAAGAATAATTAATTGCTTGCGACAAAATCTTGCCAACAGTTGTTTTCCCAGATCCCATCATACCTGCAATTCAGAATTAGTTTCTTTAGGTACAGGGTAAAAAAAAATCCTAGATTAAAGACAAAGGGCGTACGAAGAGACTTACCAACAAGATATATACATCGTCCATTTAAATATGGCTCGATGGCTTGTGCCTTATTCTGCAATTTTATTAACTTCCAGTTAGAAATATGCCAACAAATGTCTAAGATGAGAAGTGAGAAAACATTAACCCTTTCTTGACATATGTGTGTGTGTGCTTTTGCACACATAAATAAATAATATATAGTTGGTACCACAGTTTACAATCACATTGGACATGAGATAAATTTTGTAATAAATTAATAGAGACTAGGATTTCTTTCACCAGACTTCACGGCCTAAACAAACTAGAAAAGTTGTGCCATGCATACCTTCAAAACCAGAGATTCATCAAAAGGAGTTTGAAAGTTTCCAGATTCCACTGTTGAAGCTACAAAAGTAATAATTGAAATAAAATTCAATCCTCAGAAAGAAAATTAATTGTAGTTAATATGCACACAGACATACATGAGCGGGGGGAGAGACATAGAGAGATAGAAAAAGAGAGAGACAATTTTATTGGATCCTAGGAAATTCTTGAGACTCAAAACAATTTACATTTATTGAAACCAATTTCTTTTCTTCTTTATCGAAGAGCAAATGTTTTTTTTTTCTTTTAAGAAAACAATTATACTCCTTCCATATACTTTTTTTTCTCAGCAAACAATTATACAACTTTCTAAAATTTGAAATATATCTTCTTCTTTAATCCTTTTCCTAATGCAATTTCAACACAGAAAATTAACTCAATGACTAAATAATTATTACAAATCAGGAAATAAACCGATTGAACGTCTCAACAACTACCTGGAAACTTGTTGTAGGAGCATGAAACCTCCAAAGCGACATGTCGTTGGCGATTAGAGACTCTAGAGGTGGGTAGGTGAGCTGCAACAAGCACCTGGAGCTTGTTTTGCTCCTTCAATCTCTGAGAGCACCGCGCTGAACTGCTCGGCCGCCTCGCAACCTTCTCCGAATCAATCCATGTAGAAAACTGCAACCTATGCGCAACCGTGGCCTCCATTACCATCATCAGAAAAGCTCGACTTTCACCAACTACTCCGCCAAACTATTCACCTAATCAATTCTCGATTTGTATCCACAAATTCAAGCCTGAAATTCCACCGCAGAAAGCGAAAACATAAAAAATCTGACTAAAACTACGAATTTCAGATTCAATATCAATCATCTGATACATAATATACAAATCAAAACCGTGTATCAAATGAAAATGTGGTGGATTTGAGTATTTGAGGATTTGAGGATTTGAAGAACGAGCAGAGCACCTACCTCTCTCAAAACCAAAGTGATTGGTTGCAGAGTCTTTAGCTTCAAGCACTTGGGTGCAGAGTCACTTCTCTCTCTTTCTCTCGCTCCAGTCTCGAGTCTTTTTTGGCAAACACATTATTTAAGGCTTTGCCGCTGAGCGTAATTTTGTATTTCGGAATTGAGCATCAACCTGGGCGTACTTTTGTATTTCACAAAATCCCTAATATTTTAAAAATTACATAAACTTCCAATAAAATTTAAAATTATTTTCACAAAAACTCTTTCCGTTAAAATGAAAAAGTTAGTCTTTGTCATTTGCATAAATTAAAAATTTATAAATGAAATCATAAGTTTTAGACGGACAATTAATAAAAAGAAATTTTATAATATTAAAATTTTAGAGGATTTTTGCGTAATTTATGAAATCTCAAACTAAAACTTCGGGGTGTTAATTTAAATAACAAATTCAGGTATTATTTTTGTTAGACTCACTGTAGGAGGTATCCGTCTGTGCCTCCAGGACCTACTAAATTTGTCTTGTTATTTTTTTAGAATTTATGTGGTTGGTAGCAACAGTTCTGCTAATCTACCCACCAACCACAGGCCCACGAGAAGTGCATGCTTTTACATGTGTTTTTTTGGGAGAAACCTGAAAAAGGAAAAAGAAGATAATTAATTCACGAAATAACATTTTAATTTTCATTACCATAAAAAAAAAATTCCTTAATTAGCATATTCATTTATTTACTGGTTCCTTTTTTAGAGATATTTAGTTATAAACTCATTCTTAATACTAATGCTACACCATTTAATTTCTATAAACAAACCAAAAAAATGACATCTAACACTATTCAATTTAATTTTTATTATTAAATTACTTTGACGTCCTATTGAGTGTTTGAGGTTTTTTTTAATGAAATTTTGGGGTTGAGCTTGTTTTAAGAATCTATGGTAATTTTGTAATTTATAAGCAATTAGAAGCCTCTTTATTATGTTATAAATGAGCTTTGAGTGTGTTTTTAAAGTTCATTTCATGTAGGTTTAAAAAAATAATAATAATTTAGGCTCCTATATTGAGTATAAGCGATAGTCTAAATTATTTTAGTAAATCTAATTTAAGAATATTGGAATTTAAAATTAGGTGCAAGATAATGAACACACAGCCCTGGCAATTAGTCTAACCCACCTTTGAATTTTTCTTTCTAATTTTAAAAAAGATTCAAGTATCACATTTTCACATTTTCAACACATCTAATTTTTCTTGCCTCTCCGTATTGGCAATTTTTCTTTAACAAATGAGCTCATTAGTAAAAGTGAAGACCCTGATTCTTAAATCAGTGCCACTCTGCTATTGGTCATGAGTGTCCAATAATTATGATGTCCCCGTTTTCAAAAATGTTTTTCTTATCCTGCTATTTGATGGTACATCGCAAATAATTATGTATGTACCCCCATTACAAAGTATGAAACACATTGTTACATTATGTCCAAATAAGAGAATCATAATGCTGCCAATCACAAAATGAGCGATTACAGAATAGTACGATAGTACGGTCATGTAGCATAACTTGTACACATATTATAATATAAGTGGATATTTATTGATGTTATTATTTAAAATGAGGAAATATCAACCATGTCGTCCACTCATATGCTATATTATGTGGTCATACTATCGTATTATTCTATAAAACAACTCAACTTCTAGAAGTGCCCTAAATGTGGGGAGCATTATTTTAATATTGTTTGTATAAAAAAAAAAAAAAAAAAAGGGATTTTGATTTTTTCTAAAGATACTTTTAGCAACATAAAAAAATGATAAGAGGAGTTTTTTTTTTCTGCAAATTAAAAGAATTATTTCAAAACCATAAAACTTCGTATGCCTCCACATCTCCAACATGTGAAATCCCAAGCAAAAAAGAATTGTGAAATTATTATTATTTTTTTAAATTCATGTGAAATGAATAAATAAAAAACATGTGAAAATCTATGAAACATGTGAAATGAATGAAACACACTTCATACGTAATAAACCTGTCATTTTCGTATCCACCCATTTCCCCAATTTTAAACCTTAAAATTCCCTCAATAATAGAGAAAAATAAAATAAAAATAAAAAATTCTACAGTAAGATGGTAGGTTTGTTTCCCAATCAGATTTTGACTTGACTTGATTTGATTATGCATCTCTGGACCCACAGACCAGAATTGAGTTAGTGTTGAGACAAGCACGCTTGTCCAACTACCCGCAAATCGTACCTAATTGCACGCTTGTTTTTTCTTATATGAAAATGAGCTAGAACATTACCTAGCCAAAAAATGAAAAGACCTAACCGTCCGGTCCGTCCCGTTACAAAGTAGAGGTGGGCATCAATCTGATCCATTCGAACCGTACTGATTGGTTATGTTTGGTTTTAACCTAGAAAAAAGTCAAATGATTTAAACGAATCTCATTATAATTGTTTGGTTTAGTTTTTGACTTTTGCAGACCAATTTAAACCGAATTCGACTATCTCTTTGTATATTTATTTTATTTTATTTTACATGTTGAAACTGAAGTTTGATGGAACTTTGAAATTATTGATATTTGAATTGTAATATGTAGCATACTATGAATCTTTGTTGTTGTAATTGGACTAACAAAATTGAAAAATTAAGGATCCTTATTGGCCTGGCCTGGCTTGAAATTTTTGGGTTTATGGTGGGCTCATGTCGAGCCTATCAAGCTTTTGTGTTGCTCTCTCTCTCTCTCTCTCTCTCTCAGCCCCCTTAGTTTCGCCCTTGGTTGTTGAAGATGATATGTTGAAAAATAGTGGAAATAAAAATGTGCATTTGAAACTGTAATTAGCGTACTTATGTTTTTATAAGTCTATAATTTTGGTCACCCTTGACAATTGGAAAACTACTAAGTGATTGATATAATGTTTACTTATCTAGAATTAATATTGGAATTATTTTGATTCCTAACTTATCTGTGTTTACTAACACGAAATAAAATTAAAAAAGTAAGTGAATTTTACATTACAATTCATAATCTATACATGAAAACCCAATAATTAAATTGAATAGGGAGGGTAGTTTATCTCATATCCAATCTCTCTTTCCCTTATTCACAACTTCACCCATTCAAAGTAAACTTGCAATGAATTCAAAACAAGGGCGGTCCTACGACTGGGGCATTGATGCGTTCTAATATACTCTAGGGTTTGATTAAGAATAAATTATAATATGGGATTTTGTTGAAATTAATTAGGTTTTTTATGTTAGGAATTTTGTTGAGATGTTTGATTTTATATTGGTATTGTTGAAATAGTTGATTTGTTGTTGTATGTTAATGTTTGATTAAAGGCATTGATGTTATTATGAGAGTTTATTTGATTTTTTGTTGGGTTTCTAAGACCATCTCCAACCCAAGGGGTGGAAATTCAAATTTTGAGTTTAGCCTCCAAAAAACTTCTCCAACCCATGTATTTTGGGAGGTGAAAATTTGAGATGACTCAAAACTGAACTGGAATTCCAGTCAGAATTCTTCCTGGACTGATAAATTCGTGGGGCCCAAATCTGCTTTAATATATAATTTTTTATTGGATGCAAAGCCCATGTGCTTGGCTATGATGCTGGCCCACTTTGACAAGTGGGAATGAAGATTCCCCTTCTGTTTTTGAGAAGCAACGGCTACTTTTTCAAATGTTTTGTTATGCTGTGTTTTTTTTTATAAATAAAATAAAATTCCAACAGTTATAAAATCAACGATTCTGATTCATTTTAGGCAATCTTAACGGTAAAATTTCACATCCAACGGTCAAATTAATATTTATAATTAATTTGAGTCAGATCCAACCCCAAAACTTATTCCAAACTCTATAAATAGCCATTCATTTGGTAAATAATCCACCAAAAATCTTTTTTTTTTCCTTTCTCCCTTTGTTTTCCTTTCTCCATTTGTTATAATTTTTCATTCTACATTCATTTTTGTTGAGAATGGCCCCAAAACCCCAAAGAGGTGTGAATTGGAAACCACAAGAAGATGATGCATTGTGTAGAGGTTGGGTTTTTGTCTCCGAAGATGGGGCTATTGGCACGAATCAATCAAATGATTCATTTTGGTTGCGTGTGTACCAAAATTTTTTGGAAAATGATCCGGGCATGAGCGGAGCCGGGGTACGATCACCGCAAGCTATTGCTTCTCGGTTCAAGATCATCAACCAACAATGTTCTCTTTGGAAGACATGTATAACAAAGGCCAATGCAAGGCATGTGAGTGGCTCCAATCTTAAAGATGTGGTGAGTACCCATTTTTTTCAATGCTTAAATTTATAATTTAAATTGTTTTCAATTATTAACTTGATTTTTATTTTATTTCATGGGTAGGATATAAATGCAAAAATAATTTTCTTGAATGATAATAAACCTCCAAATAGGCCTTTCAAGTTGTATCATGCTTGGCAAATCTTAAAAGATTGCCCAAAATGGAACGACCTATGTGAATCTCCCACACAATCATTCAAAGATTCTTCTCATAGTTGCAATATAGTCAATTTGGAGGAAGATGAAGATGATGTGGTCATGCCCACTCCAAGGCCATTGGGAAGAGATAAACAAAATGATGAAAAAAAAGAAAGGGAAAGATGTTGAAAGTTATCTCAACCAAAGTGGTAAGTTCTTGTCTGAATTGGTTCAACAAGGAAATGAGGCAAAAGAGGATAGGCGGCAAAAGTTAGAGCTCCTACAAGAGCAACATTCATATCAAATCCAACAAGATAAGGAGACCAATGAACAGAGGATAATGTCCATGGACCTATCCAAATTTACTCCAAGAAAGAAGAAGTATTTGGGGAATAAGTAAGACAAAATTATTGAGGCCCAGATGAATATAAGTTCCCCCTACAATCCAGAAGACAACTCTGGAGACATCCAAGGCCTCCACATAGTGGTTATTAATTCACATTTATTTGTAATTGTTGTTTATCTTTATTTATAATTGTCGTTTATCTTTATTTCTAATTGTTGTTTAGCTTTATTTTTAATTATCGTTTATCTTTATTTGTAATTGTTGTTTATCTTTATTTATAATTATCGTTTATCTTTTTTTTTATGATTGTCGTTTATTTTTCTATGATTAGTTTTTTTTTAAATTCAATGATAAACCATATAATTCATTAAAATCACACAACCACTTTTATAATTTAAACACACTTTCATAATTTAAACACACAACATAATTTAAACACGCTTAGATAATTTAAACACACTTACATAATTTAAACACACAACAACATAATTTAAACACACAACATAGCTCATTGCCCCTCTCCTTCGCATTTCTAAATGTGGTTGATCAAATCATTTATTAGATTGTGATGCACTTGTGAAGTATGAACTCTATTATGACGGACCATGTAGTCTGGGATAGTTTTTCTGTCTCGGTTTATATCGTACGTGATAGTTGGCTCAAGCTCATAATCAAGTCTTGCTCTTGCTCTTCTAGATGTTCGTGGACAATTGTCTTCATCATCAGATTCTGCATATAGATCATCATACTCATCCTCAACAATCATGTTGTGCAATATTATGCATGTCATCATGATTGAATGAAGTTGTTCATTGCGCCACATACGTGCAGGTCCCCTAACAATTGCTTATTGAGCCTGAAGTATTCCGAAGGCTCCTTCGACATCCTTCCTATAAGCCTCTTGTTTTTGGGCAAATAGTCTTTTTTTTGGAGTATTCGGTTGGGAAATCGTCTTAACCAATGTAGCCCAACGAGGGTAGATACCATCAGCCAAGTAATAACCCAGATTATATTCATTTCCATTGACAACATATTGGATATGGGGAGACACTCCATTCACTACATCATTGAACAACGGGGAACGAGCTAGAACGTTGATATCGTTGTTCGATCCAGCAACGCCAAAAAAGGTATGCCATATCCAAGTGTCATACAAGGTCACTGCTTCTAGAACGACAATTGGCTTATGCTTGTAGTCGGTAAACTGGCCTGCCCAAGCAGTGGGGGCAGTTCTTCCATTCCTAATGCATGCAGTCAAGACTGCCTAACATGCCTTGGAATCCTCTGCGATTAGCCTTGTGCAAGAGCCTGTAAAGGTCGGCCGGATTTGGGGAACGGAGGTACCACTAACCATACATGGCTTCAATAACAGAACAAAACTTTCGCAAACATTCAAGGGCTATAGATTCACCCAGTCTACAGTACTCGTCGGTGGAGTCTGCCGAACATCCATATGCGAGCATTCGAAAAATGGTTGTTAGCTTCCGCTCTACGAAAGTCCATTGGGGGATAAAGTGGTTTTTCACAGAAGTAGTCCTCCATGAGACTCTTATGATGTTTTTCTCTCTTCCGATTCTTGTATTCACGGCCTGCAACAGAACCACCATGTTTGGATTGTTGAGCATATTGCTCCAGCAAAAACGTATGGTGTTGAATAGCCATTGCAACCCTCTGTTGATGAAGGTTATCATTATCAGAATCATCATTGAAGAAATTTTGTATAGCTTTCCCACGTGAATTCATTGTAAGAAGGAGAATTGAAGGAGATTGTGTGGTCAATTCAGTAGAATAACACTTCTTAAATAGACAAGAGAATGAGATGACCTACATGTTTGAAAATAATTGAATGAAGATAGAAAAAGATAGGAAAAGATAAGGGAATCCAATAAAGTGAGATGACCAAAGATGAGCAATGGTTCAGAACGTGATTGAAACAAGACAAGATGGGAAATGGTTCAGAAAATAATTGAATGAAGATAGGAAAAGATAGGGAAAGATAAGGGAATCCAATAAAGTGAGATGGACAAAGTTGAGCAATGGTTCAGAACATGATTGAAACAAGATAATAAAGGATGGGAAAGAGTTCAGAAAATAATTGAAGAACACAAGTGGAGGTGGGCAAAAGTTCATAATATTATTGAATGAGGATAAAGGAATCCAATGAAGTAAAAGTAAAAGTAAAAATGGAAGAAAATTATGGCAATAGCTTCAATGAAGGGTTCGAATTATTCTGGGCATACGTATGGTGTTGTACTTGTTTTTATTTTTAAGTGAAATTCTATTATGTTTTGGAATTTTAATTTTTTTTTTTTAGGTTAAAATGTTTAGAAAATTAAATCACGAGTATTGAAACAAAAATAATGTCAAGAAAAATTAACAAGAAAAAAAAATAGCGGTTATTCATTCTTAAACAATTTAATAAAGTTCCAGACTTAAATTATGAGTCTGCAAGGTTGGAGGAAAAAAATTTGAGTCCTGAAAATACATGAATAGTTGTATTTTGGAGGGTGGAAATTTGAGTTTAACCTCAACATGGTTGAAGATTGTCTAATGTAAGTTTTATTGAGTCGAGTTTCGAGTTTTGGATCCACCACTGGTTCAAAACTAACAAACTATACTTAAGCATGAGCTTGTTAGCTTGTTCAAGTGATTAAAAGCAGTTAGACCATTTCCAATAGTGGGCTACATCCTCAAATTTAGCCATTTCACACCCAAAACCCATCTTCAGGCCAAACCTAGTCAGCGGGCCAAAAGGGCCAAATATGGTATACTTCTTGGGTGAGCTATATCTTATTTTATTATTTCTTGGGTGGACCAGTTGTTGTTTTTAAATTAATGTTTTAGTTTCTTGGGTGGGCGGTTGTTGTTTTTAAATTAATCTTATCCTATCCGAAAATATTTTTCTTTTCTAAAATCCTATCCGTGAATGTCAAAAATCCTATACGAAATTTTTTTTCTCTTCTAAAATAAATTTTAAATAGGGTATAAAGTAGTACTTTAATTAAATTATCCAATATATTTAAAGAATATACTAAAAAATAATAAAATATTGAAGAAGATATGATTTAGCATGCACTACTGGAGACGATAAAAAATATAGCCCATCACTACTCCTTAGAGCAACTCCACCCATTTGCCCTTAGCCATGGCAAGGGGGGGAGCTAGGGCAGCCACTATTCACGTGAATAGTAGTTGCCCTTGCAAAATCCGAATTTTGTGTTTCCACCCGTTGCCCTTGCTAAGGGCAGTTACTATTCATTTTTTGTTTTATTCACAACTTTTTTACCTCAATAATTAATTTGGATAATATTTTCGGATAAGATTTTCGGGTTCCTACGTGTCAATACTATTCATATCTCATAATCGGATAAAATTTTCAATTTCAAATTTCAGATAAATTATAAAAAAAAAGGCTGGTATTTATAGAAAAAAATTCATTAATTTTTGGGTATTTTTTTAAAAAATTTCCTAATTTTTTCCAGTATTTTATTGCAAAAAAATTGGTTGCCGTTGGATTGGAGGAAAAAATCAGATCGGAGAGCCCAGACGACGCCACGTGGCAACAGGAAAAAAAATCAAATCAGTGAGGTACTGTAGCAGTAATGTAGCGTTACTGTAGCAGTACTGTAGCGCTACAGTACCCCCCCTCGTTTTGGACCTCGGGTAAGACTTGCCTTCGGGCCAGCCCGAGGAGGTGGGTCCCACACTCCCCCCAGGCCTGGGCTGCTCCGCTGGAAATTTTTTTTTTTTTTTTTTTTTTTTTCCTAGCCTCGGGCTGGGCTGCACGGGTGGAAAGGCTCTTACAAAACTATAAATGGTGGGCTATATTTAGCCATGCACTATTGGAGATGACCTTATCCCTTCACTCAAGGTCCTATACTCGGATCTTCCCTTTCTTGCTTGTAAAAAAAAATTAGACAAAAAGCAAAAAAATTAGACAATAATTGTTGAGTTCAAAACCATGTTAACCAGTAATCACAATGTAATCAGCCTCTGTCATGTACCTACCAGTATTATAAAAGAAAGGAAACACACAATTTGAATAGAACTTCCTCTCCTTTGGTATGAGAAACTTTGCACTGCACTTAACACATTGTCAGAAGAAGATTACCAAGACACAAGCCCTCAACTTCTCCACCTTTGCGTGCCCTGTTCTTCAGTCACAAGACCCATGTCTTCCAATCCAAAACCTCCAAAGCAGAAGGCGGGCATTGGTCAACCTCTTACAACTACGCGTTTCAGACCAACCCATTTGGTACGACAAGAGAATGCATGCCCAGGTTGTCGTATCGGGCTTTCAAGACGATGTTTTTCTTGCTAATCTTCTATTGCACTCTTACACAAAATCTGACTCTATTGTTTACGCGCGGAAACTGTTTGATAAAATGCCTGAAAAGAACTCAGTTACTTGGTCCTCTATGGTTTCTATGTATACCAAGCATGGTAATGATGAAGAAGCATTGGTGATGTTTTCCGAGTTCTGCCGGAATTCCGATGGGAAGCCGAATGAGTATACTTTAGCTAGTGTTATTCGGGCTTGTACGCGATTGGGAGGGGTTGATCAAGGTGCTCAAGTGCATAGTTTTGTTGCGAAGACTGGTTTTGATCAGGATGTTTATGTGGGTACTTCTTTAGTCGATTTTTACTCAAAAAATGGCGATATAGAAGAAGCAAAACTAATTTTTGATGGTTTAAAAGTAAAAAGTACAGTTACTTGGACTATCATGATGTCAGGGTATGCAAAATGTGGAAGAAGTGAAGTGTCTTTGAAACTGTTCAACCAAATGAGAGACACTGACGTTCTTCCTGATAAATATGTGCTTTCTAGTCTTCTGATTGCATGTTCTGCGCTCAAGTTCATTGGAGGTGGCAAGCAAATCCATGCTTATGTGCTTAGAAGGGGAACAGTAATGGATGTTTCAGTTGTTAATGTACTCGTAGATTTCTACACAAAGTGCGGTGAAGTGCAGGCAGGACGGAAGCTATTCAATACAATAGTAGTCAAGGACCTCATTTCATGGACCACAATGATAGCTGGGTATATGCAAAACTCATTTAATCGGGAGGCCGTTAAGCTATTTTCTGAAATGGCCAGATTGGGTTGGAAGCTAGATGGATTTGGGTGCAGTAGTATTCTTACTTCGTGTGCTTCACTTGAGGCCCTTAATCATGGGAGAGAAGTGCACGCTTATGCTATCAGAGTTAATCTTGTTTATGAAGATTATGTGAAGAATAGTTTGATTGATATGTATGCAAAATGTGATTCCCTTAATAATGCAAGAAGAGTTTTTGATTCAATGGCTGATCATAATGTGGTCTCTTACAATGCAATGATTGAAGGATACTCAAGACAGGATAAGATGTCTAAAGCGCTGGATCTTTTCAATGAGATGAGGCTTAGATTGGTCCACCCAAGTCTCTTGACATTTGTTAGCCTTCTTGGTGTCTCAGCTGCTTTATTTACATTGGAATTGAGCAAGCAAATCCATGGTCTGGTCACCAAATATGGGTACTGTTTGGACGTATTTGCTGGCAGTGCTCTCATAGATGTTTATGCTAAGTGCTCATTTATTAGTGATGCCAGACTTGTATTCGAGGAGATGAATGAGAAAGACATTGTAGTGTGGAATGCGATGTTCTGCGGATACACCCAACAGCTGGAAAGTGAAGAGGCTCTCAAGTTATACTTGGAATTACAGTTATCAAGACAAAAACCCAATGAATTTACTTTTGCTGCCCTAGTCTCAGCTGCCAGTAACCTAGCAAGTATCCAGCATGGTCAACAGTTCCATAACCAGCTCATTAAGATGGGTCTTGACAGTGATCCATTTGTCACAAATGCCCTTGTGGATATGTATTCCAAGTGTGGAAGCATTGAAGAGGCTTGCAAAATATTTGATTCCAAAATTTGGAGCGATGTTGCCTGTTGGAATTCCATAATCTCAACATATGCCCAACATGGAGAAGCAGAACAAGCCCTTATTATGTTTGATAGAATGATGAAGGAGCAAATAAAACCCAACTTTATCACATTTGTGGGTGTGCTATCAGCTTGTAGCCATGCAGGCCTTGTGGAAGATGGACTTCGCCACTTTGAATCAATGCCTCAGTTTGGAATCGAACCAGGGACAGAGCATTATGCTTGCATAGTTTCTCTCCTGGGTCGTGCTGGTAAATTATTTCAAGCTAAGGAATTTATTATGAAAATGCCGATAAAACCAGCAGCGATTGTATGGAGGAGCTTGCTCAGTGCATGCACAGCTGCAGGCAACATTGAATTGGGGAGGTATGCAGCAGAGATGGCAATTTTGAGTGATCCAGTAGATAGTGGATCATATATCTTACTTTCAAATATTTATGCATCCAAAGGTATGTGGGCTGATGTCAAGAGGGTGAGAGAAAAAATGGAATACACTGGGGTGGTGAAAGAAACTGGGCGTAGTTGGGTTGAAGCGAATAACGAAGTTCATACATTTGCTGCGAAAGATAGAACGCATCGCGAGACCAGTCTTATACTTTCAATTCTAGACAGTTTGATTCTGCAGATGAAAGGGCTTGGTTATGTGCCTGACACTACGACACTTCTCATAAATGATTGAGGAGAAGCATGGTAGGATAATGCTAAGTGAAGCCAACATTATGAGCCCCTGATCAAACCAGGAAATGAAAATTTGCAGTGTGCATCTTGTTTGAGTGAAGGTTTGAGCTTGATAAGAGCTAAATCTTGGGGTTCTTCTAATATGGGTGTTTTAGCTGGTGCATATGAACTGGTTTGTAGCCACTTCTTCTTGGCTTTTAACTGCAAAGGATTTGCCTTTGCGATCTCAGCTTAAGTGCTGCGATAATGATGGTGGATTTTCTCTTGAGTTTGAAGCACAAGTCCCATTTAAGAAGCTGGTAAAGACGTTCACAGGACAGATAATCCTAAATTTTTTGTTCTTTTTATTGAATTGGGAGAGGAGATTTGAACTTGAGACATTTTTCAACCAACTAGAGAGAAATACCGCGAAATTTGGATCAAGATGAGGTGTACGTGTAAACAGAAAATTAATTCGAAATGTACATATGCATGAATGTTGTGAAAGCAAATTATGAGATTGAAGAAATATTACAGGAAAATTGATTGAAAAATGCAATCTTCCAAACCCTCACCATTTAAGGTAGCTATACTTTTTTTCTCTCTGTTTTCTTTTTGTCCCTTTCATGTGCTAATGAAAAGAAAGAAAAAACCACTTGTTAGAGAGTTAAGCCTCTGTATTTTAGCTTTGCAAATTTGCTTCAACCAGAGTTGCTAGACCAACAAGCGCAGAAATGTCCTAATCAAGACTGATTTGCAAGGGGATAACCTTGTATTCAAAGAACAATAGCTAGAAGAACATCAGATTTTTCCTTGATCTTATCTAGTGGAGAGCAAAATATTTCAACTTATGCATGTCTCCAACTTACATATTATAAATTCATACCAAGTTTTTTTTTTCCTCAACAAACAAACTTACTCATGCTAAAAAGAAAAAAAACTAAAAATAATTACATGAATTTTGTACCATTTAATTAATTAAAGATAAATGACCGCCAACATTTTTTCTAGCAACCTCCACCAACTCCAAGCCTTTTCCTCCTGTTAGATTTTTATTGATTCTGTCTTCACCAGAAAACTATGGCGATTGCTATAGCTGCAAGCGAGAAGAGGAAAACATGAGAATGAAAGGCCAAACCCTGACTTCCGATGTGTCTGGCACGATAACTATTTGCTTTTCTTGGCCAGTTTCTAGATCAAGAACAACATATTTTCCCGCAGCCATTTTTCTTTTCAATGTCAGAAGAGCTTCAAGCACGCAGTATGTATATATATTTTGCTCATATCATGTCAAGAAATGGCGTGTTCAATTACAAGACTTGACAATTCTGGCTGTAGAAAATTGAATGTCCTATTTTTTTGGTATGAAAATTGAATATTCAGAAACCGGGATTTTGGACCATAACCTTCCTTTTTATTTTTTTTGTGGGTGTGGAAAATCTCAAAATTTGGCCCAAGTCAAGGGAGCAGTATTTTGCACCTGGTTTGATTGTGACGCGTGGCAAGTCAAGGGAGCAGTATCCCGCATCCGATCCCCAATTCTTGACTTTGGGCAGACTGGTTTTTGGGGGGGGAAAGCAAGAGAAACTGCGGAGGTGGGCCAGCCATATCGGCTAATTGAAGGGAAAGTTGCTGACGCGTGGCGCAAGATGGGCTTGTAGTCGTTGTCATCTAATGGCTGCAATTCAAACAGCCAAATTGATTTTTTATTTATTTCAAATGTAATGGCTAGTTTAAGCCAACAGCCGTGATTAAAAAGTGACTTGATCAATGGGGAAAACAAATAATTCAACGGCTGAAATTGAGATCGGCATCGAACCAAATGATGCCGTTGACTGGATCAAGGAAAGGGTTGAGGAGAAAGAGGGAAGGATCTGGATTTTCTGCTATGATTTTTTCTGCCATAATCTGCTATACTTTTACTATAATGCTGCCACATTATTAAAAAAAAATCCAAAGATAGAGAATATAACACGTGTATTTAAGAAATAAATAACAATTTTTTTAAATATTTTTGACAAAGTAAAGTAATAAACAGCGTTCTCTCCCCGTCTGTTCATCCTTTTGCCATCCAAGGGTTGAGTTGAGGTGCAGAAACATTTGGCGAATGACACCAAAGATGGATATATAATAAATTATTGGAATTTCTTAGGAAAATTATGATCAAAAGAAAAACGATTCCTCTGTGAAGCGGCTCTTTGAGAATCCACAATTGTTAATTACAATAGGAACGGCAGCCTTAGGCATTTGGTATTTGTGCTCTAACGGCATGGTTATCATTCTCTCTTCTTATGATCTCTTGATTGGAAATAACATTTGCCTTTTTATTTTCAGTGATTAAATTGATTAGATTGTCCTCGTCAATAGAGATCAATCTAATAACACATTTTGCAGAAAAAAAGCTTGTATGTATGTCCGGAAAGCTTATGAGAGATGGAGAAGAATTATGTCAAATTCGATCAAATGCGGAATTGGTTGTCGTCTAGAAGTTTGAGAAATTAAACATGACAAATAACAAAATAAACGACGGTCACTCCCCTCCCAAAACTAGAACCATATTACGTAAAACAATAGCACAGTTGACCTTGTAAGTTGCCCACATTTCCCCCTTGCGTTGTCTGAAGTTGCAATGAGAAATGATGAAGTACTACCCGTGTCACGATAATGGCGTAACAAATGCATTTGAATGAGTTTTATGTACGAGATGCATTTATGGTTGGCCTTCTAGGCCCTTTCATTTTGGACACACATTTACTTTGCGATACCAATATGACTACAAAAAAGGTACAATACAATACGAATACAGTTGCAACAAAAGTACAATACCATGGCGATAGTGTCAATATAAATAGGGAATACATGACATTCTGTAGCAAAGGAAACCAATATAAGCCAATGTCACTGAAATCACAATACACATAACACCAAATGCAATACTATTGAAATTGAAATGAACGGTACATAACAAACCAACAGAAATGATAATTTGTAAGACACATGTGGCAGTGGAGCAGTATTTTGCACCTGGTTTGATTGTGACCCGGGGCACCGTATGTTCAACAATGTGTACTAATACTGGCCGGTCATTGAAAGGGACTTGTTACCTTGTGTTTGTAAGGCTGCCATGACCATTAAGTTAACTGACTTTCATGCTTACAGCATCACCGAAGCTATTCGTCAACTTACCAGTTGATGAAAACAGACATAGAACCTAAACAACTGTCACCTCTACGCAACCTGATGCTTGTTGGTGACGAGGATAGATTGTTTGCATGTATTTCGGTAGTGGCCCTTCACACTGCACCTTGAGCATTTGTTTTCACGCTAGTCCTCTCCTTTAGAAGGTATTCTTCGTGTTTTACGACGCACTGTCATAACCTTAGAAAGAGGAGAGATGATTTTTATATTGTGCAAATGTTCGGGAATAACCCATGTCCCTTGAGGTGGTACAGGATAAATGGATTCAGCATATGCAGCTGCCCATGTTGCTCGTGTGTAATACGAAGAGGTCAAGGAGTCGGGGTTCAATTTCAAGTGTCGACATACTGCAATAGCATGCTTGCACGGGAGTTGCTCTAAGTCAAACTTCCTGCATGTACAATTACAATTTTGCAAGTTCACCAGCCCGTTCATATCACCATCCAGAACATTATACTCCCCATCATTGATTTTGACCACATTCATCCTTGAAGCAGCATCTAACCTCTTCCTTAACTTCTTTTCGCCTAAATCAGGGCACAACGTAGATTGACATTTCCTTGCTAAATCTCGACGTTGACTAAACCAATACAGAAGCATATTTGTAATTTCGTCAATCAAGTGTACCACTGGAAGTATCCTTGCAAAACGAAGAACTGAATTTATGGACTCCACAATAATTGTTGTCATCACATTATATCGTCGTCCATCACAATGGGCTCGAGACCACTTCTGGAGGCCTGCACATACTAGATAAGTTCGCACTCGGTCATTGTTATCATGGAGAAGTGACGATTGAACTCCCCCAGACGATATGACTTCGCTGCCCTTACAAAATACCAAAATATTAGATCCCGCTGCTTCAAGCGAAATGAGGCTTTCATATTGCCCTTCAAGTGATAACAGCAAATTCCATGTGTTGCCCCAGGAAAAAAATTTTTCAACCCATTTTGTATGCTGACATTTCGATCAGATATGACAACAAGATTCGCGCAATCACCAATTGCATAATGTAGTTTTGTCAAAAACCACTCCCACGCTGCATCCGTCTCCAAATCTCCAATCCCAAAGGCAATAAGATATAAATTACGATTTCCATCAAATGCGGTCGCAACAAACAAAACACCTTTATACTTGCACTTCAAATGCGTAGCATCAACGGCAATGACAGGGCGCATTGACAACTGAAATCCTCTTATGCATGCACCAATTGACATAAAAAAATATAAGAAGTGGTCAGTTGCATCAGTCTCAATGTATGTCAAAGTTCCAGGATTTGTATGCTCCAATTCATAACAATACGAAGGGAGACGGGAATATGACTGTTCTGCAGACCCTTTAATTGTTTTGAAAGCTAACTCTCGGCTTCTCCACGCTGTAGCATAGCTTATGGTCACCCCAAAATTTGTTTTCACATCTTTCTTGATATCAGCTGGAGTATAAATGGTGCACGAATCCTTGAATCTCCAATTCACACTATCGGACAGCAGTCCAGTCGTAGCTTGAGGATGGTGACTGGTTACATACCTTAGATCACATTCATGAAACGGATCATATTTAACAACCCTAAACTCATGTAATCCAATTTTATATGCCCGAACTTGCTAAGGGCAAGGAAGATGCCAACAATGAACACACAACCGACGCTTCCCAGATTGGACGGTCCTCAATCGAAAGTGGCCTCTAATTGCTGCTAAACTTATGGTTTTTAAAAGGGAAACCTTATCTGGAAAAACTCGGCCAACCTTAAAATTTGCTTCCCAATTTATGCAACAAAGGCCTCCACCATAATCAATCTGTTTCAAACTCTGACCATGCATCAAATCAATCCGGCTTGTGTGCATTCCAGTCAAAATTGATTGTCGAGAAGATTCAGATTGCACTTGTCTACACTGCACAGTGGAGGGTTCGAAATTGTTGTCCCCATGACGATGCATATTTGGCGCAGAGTACGGTTCCTCTTCGTTGCTAGGTTCACACAAATCAGCAACTATGTTTTCGACATTTTCAAAATTAACATCTTCAACCCAATCCGTCCAATTGAATCCATTTCCACCATTTTCAGTTTCGTTCTCCCCAATGACCTCATTTCTATGTTCCACACCAAATTTAGCAGGAGCATTGCTCAATGCTTACATTGCCATTGCACCCTCCAATACCATGACCTTCTATATTTTTCGAGCTCGCTATTAAGGGGTTACTTTAGAGGCCATAACATCTGTGTTGTACTTTACAAAATATTGAACATCATCATTGTCTTCAACCCTTATGTGCTTATAGACAGATGAGGATAGAGGAACTGAATACTTCAATGTCACAATGTCTTTGTTAGGATCTGCATCCACGATCTTATAAATACGCTTAACAAGGTCAGGAAACGTTATGTTCCGTGACACTATTATGCCTTTAGCCTCCCCACCTTCATAACTGTCAATGTTATCCTTCCGAACCCAACTTCCATTGTAGCATACCAATATTCCAATAGTATCCATTTATGCAAATAACATTAATAATGACTAGACCGATTAATAACATTTAACCACAAAAATTAGGTCCAATAATAACATATGCAACTATCATTCCACTACCCGTATCATCTTATGAATCCACAAATCTTCAATTTCAAATTGTAGCTGCTTCAACAACGAAAATTTATTATTTTCTCTATTTCCTCTGATTTTGTATATATGTATGGGTTCCAAGTTATTAACAAACTCAACTAAACATACCATGACAGCAAGATGCCCCCTCTAAGCTATAAGGGTTTTAAACAAATTTAAACACCTTCTACAGAAATATCAGGTTGTCATACAAAATGAATTATGCAGTATAATATGAAACACACTCAACCTTACTCAAAAATCATTTTGTATCACAACCTGTGCAGTATAATATCAATTACCAAATTGGAAACCAAAACACACAAACTAAACTTTTTACCAAAACAAACCCGCAATAGCAAGAAATTCCCACTCAAATACCTCAAATTCCCTAGTTAAGCATCTAAATTGAGGCTACAACTAACCTAACAAACCTATTTTTAGGCCACACAAAGTTAACATATTATTTTCCTGTGTGCTGTTATTTTGGCCATTATCAAACACATTGCACTACATTATATAGAATTCAGTCAATTTTAAACAAAATTCAAGTTCACCACACATATCTAACTACAGATAATAACAAAACTATGAATTTCATCATATCAGAACTCCTTCAAATTGAAAATTTTAGGTTTTTTGCCCATGTGTGGAGAAAAGGGGATAAACGAATTTATAAGACACATCCAGTACAAAATCAATATCAGAACTCACCTCCGTTCACAACGACGACGGAAGTCGCCACTGTGGCGTCGCGACAGTCACTTCGATGTGAAGGTCCACAATGGAGGTCATGCGCTGTGCCGGTTTCGCTACGGTCAAACTAGGGTTCAAAATTTTTGGTCAACTGGTTTATGATGATGGATGGGTAGCGACCTAGAGCTGCTCAGTGCTCGCAACTTGGAGTTCAGCCACTATTTGGGAGACTGCACAAACAGGGACGAGAGGACTTGGGAGAAGTTGCATTTCAGAAACAAAGTGCTAAAGAGTCTTTTATATGGAGGGCACTTAGGTAATTTCAAGTCCCCAAGTGATTATATCAAAATAAGATTTTGAAAGTGATCATTTGAGAATACAAGTGTTGAAAAGTGATTATATCAGCATATTTCCCTTGAAAAAAAGAGTAATTATATTTTTGTCATTAGGGTCGAATTTAATTTTGAATTTTCCCATTTTAGTCATTATATTTAGGTCAAATCAAGTCCCAATTATACTTTACTCAATTAATATGCACTTGATGCGTGCGTGCGTCCAATTTCCATTGCGCCCCACCCCAACCTGACTCTCTCTCCTCTTTGTAATCGTACGAGCTTTCTCTCCTCTCTCCTCTCTCCCTCCCTGCATCTTCTCCACCCATCCAAACTCTCCCATCTCTCTGCCTCTTCCCTTTTTGTCTCTTCCCTCTCTCTCTCTTCCCTTTCTGTCTCTTCCCCCTCTTTCTCTTCGATTTGAATTCCGACGAACCCAAGCCACCATTCTTATCAGCGAGAGGTTGAAAGAGAGTAGAATTACCGGAATAAATTATGAGGTTATTTGCTCGAAAATCAACATGGAAGTTCAGAAGCCACTTGGGTCTTGCACTTTCAGCAATTATTCCCATTCTAATTTCAAGTTGAACATTGGCGTGGCGTTATGGGTTTTTGTGTTTATGCTGTTATGGGTTGCTAGTGATTAATTTGGATTTGGATTTTGATTGTGTAATGGGATTTCATGTTTAAGGGCCTTGGTTGGAATCGAGTAAGGGTTTTATTTTCTGGGTTTAATCAAATTTTTTATAGTTGTATTATTTGGATTTGAAATTGTTTTCGGTATTTGGGTTCGGTTCTTTTGGAGAAATGTATTGAAGTTTCATATCTTATTGGCGGTGTTGGACGTTTTGATTGAATTGAATTTTTTTGAAATTTCTTATTTGTAAGGGTTTTGATCTGATTTTTGGCGTGAAATTGTGTTTTTAGTTACTGGAGCTTGTTGGAAATGCTACAAGCATAGCAAGCTATACCCTGAAGCAACCACCAGACTTGGAGGCCTTTGGCTAATTGAGGGTGTGGGTGGGTATGGCTAGTGGTGGGTTTGGGTGGTTAGAGTAATTCCAACGGTAGGGTTTGGCCCGGGCAAAAGGAGGCCTAGGCCCCATTTCGCGATTCCATCGGGCTTAAGCAGCTCGGGCAGTTTGTGAGGGCCACCAAACCTGGCAGGCTCAAAGGCAAAATGAGTCTGAGCTCGTGCCTGAGGGCGATGACGTTAGAGCATGAGATTCAAATTCTCTTTTACAATTGGCAGGTGGCGTGCACACGCCAACGGTACAAAAATAAAGAGACTGTTCTTGGTCCTTGGCCGTCCTTTGTCCTCTTTCGATAATACCATAAATGCTATTGGTCTCGATCTTCAATTCAATCTGGGAATGGTTGTTTCCTTTCTTGTCTCTAGCATCTAACAACCTAAAGGGAAAGCTGCTAATCATTACATTCCTAACAAGCTTGCACACTTCCTTGCGCTACATAGTGAGTGGGTGAAGGAGTTGGTTACTTTAAACTATCCTGTGTTGACGCCAGCCTGCTTTCCATCAACTGCTACAAGCCACGTGTCACGGTCTGGTGTCTTCAATCAAAATTTCCCTCCAATTCAACGCCTGCCAATTTTTGTTATAAAAAAAAACCAAAAAATTCTGATTTTTTTTTATATACCAAAATTTTAAAACTTGAATTTTTTCTGTTAAAAAAAAATTGAATAAAGTGAACAGTATTTGCCCTTTGTTATAGCTATGGGTGAAAACATAAGTCTTTTGCAAGGGATGCCACTATTCACATGAATAGTAATAGCTCTTACCTTGTTCTTGTGACCACGAACTAAGTTCCAGTGCGCAGCAAGCAGTCCAGGCAGATGTGGGCTCTACAAGCCTGGGCAGGCCCAAAGGCATAAACAACCTGAGATGTTGCCTGAGGGCAATGACGTCAACGTTGATGTAATCAATGTAAAAAAATTTTAAAAATTCCAAAAAATTCATAACCATGTTTTTTATACATACCTAGCAATTTTTTATTATTATTAATTTCATACATTTAAATAAAATTAATCCCATGTGAATAGTGGTTGCCTTTGGGTTGCTATGACAATGGGTGGAAACACAACCTGCCTTTTGCAAGGGCTGCCACTGTTCACGTGAATAGTATCTGCCCTTACTTGCCATTGCCCTTTGCCATGGCACTATGGGTAGAGCATTTCCAAAGCAAAGGGGGGACAGGGGGAGGGTGTGGGGGGGCCAAAAATGGGGTTTCCAGCAACAAGGATCTGCCAGGGCAAGCAATGGGGCTCAGCTACCTGGGTTGGCTCGAGGGGGAGGCTGGCCCGAGCGCCAGCCCGAGGGCAAAATGACGTCAGCGCTGGAGTTTAAATTTTTTTTAACATTGGCGCGTGCTTGCATGCTCCAACGTTAAAAAAATTTGACGCACCCGCTACAGTGCCTGCCCAACGGCTCTCTTCCACGTGTCTTCTTCTGGGCTATCCGATCCGCTTTTTTCCAGATATCCAACGGCAGCCATTTTTTCACGAATAAAAAAAACGAAACTGCCACCCCTAACGGCTCTCTGCCACGTGGAAGCTTCTGGGCTCTCCGATCCTCTTTTTTCCAGCAATCCAACGGCATGCAATTTTTTGCCCAATAAAAAAATGAAAAAAAATCGGAAAAAATTTAAAAAAATACTGATATATATTTTTTTTCTATAAATACCAACCAATACTCTTTACTTTTAACACCAACTCCTCATACATTTTCTTCTCCTTCTACTATTATTCACTTTCTACTCAATTTTTTTCACTTTCAAGTTGTTTTTTTCGCTATCATATTATGGGGTTCTTCTAGTGAAACTGGAGGAGGGGCATGGAGCATGACGGAAGATGTTAGCTTGTGTGAGGCTTGGCTCCAAGTTAGTCATTGTTCCGTAACGGGCAATGAGATCAAATTCTGTCATATGTGGAAAAAAATTCATCAGGAATTTTGTGAAAGGGTAATTGGTTCGACCCATACGGATCAGACATTATCTAGTAGGTGGAAAATTCTTAATAAAGAGCTGGGAAAATGGAGAGATGCCTTGAAAAAAGCGATGAACAACCATAGAAGCGAGGAAAACCTTAGCAGTGAGGTAAATTATTTGTAATTTTTGTTTTATTAATTTCTATGTCATATTAAATTTTATTTAAATGTTTCTTGCAATTTATATATTTAGTTAATATTTCTTGTATTTCCAATATTAATATGAATGTTTCTTGCAATATTTATATTTTGTTTTGCATTTCTAATAAATGGTTAAAGTTTCTTGCGTTTCCATTATTTTTTTTAATACTTGTTGCATTGCCAATATTTTTTTAAGTTTCTTGTATTTCCAATTTTTTTTTTATACTTGTTGCATTGCCAATATTTTTTAAAGTTTCTTGCATTTCCATTTGTTTTTTTGTTTTTTTGTTTTTGTATAGATTATGCAAGCACAAATGTTTTTTGGTGCTACTGGGCAAGGGAAAAAAAGTTTCAACCATACCCTATGTTGGGAGGTGGTGAAGAATTGTATCAGATTCCAAATTATTCCAACGGGTCCGACGGTAGTGTTGAACAAGATGCCACTCCATGAGACACCGACATCAGATTTACCTATCGATTCCCCGATGGGTCAAGACTCACCTATGGAAAAGGAGCCAAGGCCTATTGGGAGGAAGGCGGCGAAGGCGAAGAGAGGGAGTAATTCTACCAAGAATACATCTAAATATTTGGAGGAGCTTTCAAAGATGCAAGCCATGAGAATTGAAATGGATATGAAACAACAAGAGCACGATAGGGCAATGGAAGTAGAATATGCAAAAGAAAGGGAGTAAGTATGCCAAGGAAAGATTGAAAAAAGGATCGGGAAACCATGGCTATGGATACAACCCATATGTCCCCCGAAACAAAACAATATTGGAAGTTAGAACGATGGGATGTTATGAGACGAAGACTTTTTCGTGACGATGGACCTAGCAACACGGATTGGTTAAATGATCAAAACCATTAAGTTAGTTTGCTTGCCTTTCATTTCATTGTACCATTAAGTTAGTTTGCTTGCCTTTTATTTCATTGTATTTTTTGTTTTGTTTAAAAAAGTAGTGGTAATTCATGTATTTTATTTTATGAGTTCTATTGATTTTCTTTTAGTGAATGAAGAAAATATTCAACAAAATTCCTTTTTATTCAAAACATTCCATACATAAAAAGCAAACCACAACCAAAGCATAAAAAATAAACAAACCACAACCAAAGCATAAAAAAAAAAACAAACCACAACTAAAGCATAAAAAAACAACAAAGCATAGCTAAAAATACAACATAACATAATACATTAAAAAAACATCTTCACTTCACTTCATTGTCCTTCATTGCCTTTCACCGCCCACAAATGCTCCATCAAGTCAACTTGACGGTGTTCATGAATATACGACGATTGCATCTCCGTGTAGCGCTCAATCATACGATGCATGAAACTACCGTCTCTAACTAACGGATCATGCTGCACTGGTTCTCCATTTGGCCCCATAGGTTTTTCATAAATTCGTGTCAAGGCCGTGTTCATGGGATCTGGTTCATACACTTCATCAGCATTGTAATCATACTCATCTTCCACAATCATGTTGTGGAGGATGATACAAGTCATCATTATACTCCTAAGGACCTCCTCATCAAATAGACGCGCCGCGCCCCTGATAATTACCCACCGAGCTTGAAGGATACCAAAACACCTTTCCACATCTTTTCTGTACCCCTCTTGAAAGGCAGCAAAAAAAATTTCCTTATGGGATCGGGGATGTGGAATTGATTTCACAAACGTTGTCCCCCTCGGTTAGATACCATCAGCTAGATAATACCCGTTCTGGTAGACGGTATTATTAATTTGATATGTGATAGTTGGGCCTTCATCTCTCAAAACATCATTGAACACCGAGGATTGACCCAGGATGTTCAAATCATTTTGAGAGCAGACAACTCCAAAGAAGGCGTGCCGAACCTGTGTATCAAAACTAGCAACTGCTTCGAGGATGATGCTTTTTTGCCCTTTCCAATTGCTATAATCCCCTTGCCAAGCAGTTGGACAATTTTTCCATTGCCAGTGCATGCAGTAAATACTACCAATCATCCCAGGAAATCCACGAGACTCAACTTTTTGTAGAAGCCGTTGCAGGTCCCTGGGCGTAGGTCTGCGCAGGTAGTCCCTGGTGTACAGAGTTTCCACTGCATCACAAAATCGCACCAAGCTCTCCAAAATAGTGGACTTCCCCATCCTGACAATCTCATCCACCTGATCAGCAGATGACCCATACGCCAACATTCGTATCACAGTTGTGAACTTTTGCTCGGGAAGAAGCCCCAAATTTCCAGCACAATTTTTCTTTTGAACAAAGTAGTCATCATAATTGCAAATATCATGCATGACTTTGTTGAACAAATAGGGTTGCATTCTATATCTTGCTCGAAAATGAACATCAGAGTACAGAGATTGTGGGATAAAATAATCTTCCATAAGATTCTTACCCCGAGAATGTCTATGTCTGTCCACATTTGGTGCCCGACCTTCTCGTGAACCACGGCAGCTCTGGTTTTCTTCCTCCAGCAAAGCAACGGCCACACCAAGTTGCTCATCTAGTTCTCTCTGCACCCTTTTGCTTGTAGCTCTTCTACGCATTCTTGCTCGCCTTTCTTGCTCTTGCCTCTCCAAAACCTCTTCCATGTCGTCTGACATTGAGAATGGAGAATGAAATCTAAAATATGAGAAATGAAGATGTAGAGAAGATATGGTGTGGGATGTATGAGCTAAGCCTCTGCTTTTATAGTAAAATTTAGGCAGATAGAGATGACACGTGGCGCAATTTTAGAGGGTGAAGATCTTATCTGAAATTTGAAATTCACATGAAATTTGAAATTTATCTGGAATTTGAATTTTGAAATGGATCTGAAATTTGACATTTTGAATTTATCTAAAATTTGAATTTTGAAATGTATCTGAAATTTGAAACCGAAAATTTTATCCGATATGAATAGTATTGACATGTAGGAACCCAAAAATCTTATTCGAAAATATTATCCAAATTAATTGTTTAAGTAAACAAAGTTGTGAAAAAAATAAAAAAATGAATAGTATTTGCCATGGCAAGCCTTGCACTGCTGAAAACACACTTTGCTAGGGGGGGTAGGGCAGCCACTATTTATGTGAATAGTAACTGCTCTAGGGCTCCCCTTACCATGGCAAGGGGCTAACTGGTGGAAGTGCTCTTATGGATGATGGTCCAGTGGTTGGTTGTAGAAAGAGGACAAAGGAGGAAGGTGAATGGGGGTGGGAGAAACGGGGATGATGGATGTATTATTTTATTTTAATATTTTTAACTTTTTAATTTTCAATTACTTTTTTTGTTTTCATTTTATTGATTAATTGTTTAAATTTTGGAAGTACAATTTTGCCCCTACACGCACTTAAGCACGTGAAATTAAACTAACCAAATTGAGTTTTTATCAAAAATAGCCAAAATTTAACCCCCAAATTCATAAATGTCGGTTTTTTAAAATACCTTCAAATATAACCAAAAACTCACTTAAATTGATCCAAATGCCCTCTAAATTATAACTCAATTACACCTAAAAGCTAAAACCCAAAATTGTAGGAGCACAAAAACAAGATTGGCTTCGTCAACTTAATCATGCCTATGAATCCTATTATAAAAATGACAATGTAATTACCAAAAAGAAGAAGAAAAGTAACAGCTGATGTTTTCATAAATCCAAGCAATAAAAATCATCTCTGTGACTATGGCTTGATTCGTGGGTTTGGGAGTTTTTTACAATAAAAAAAGTTAAAGTCAGTTTCTTGACATAATAATTTTTAATTGAGAAAAAAAGTTGAACTTTCTCACAAAATTTGTATCATATACTGCTAGTCTGCATATGATATGGGGGTTAAACTTTCTTGCAAACCATCATATGTGCTGCTGAGGGCTGGTGACCTTCCCTTAGCACAAGAGGTCTAGAAAAATTGCAAGGCCCTCGCTGTTCATAGAGTATCTTCCCACAACACAAACTTGCCTATATTAACTTTGCTTTCCATTAAGGGTGATTGGCGAGGGGCAATGTCCTTGTGTTTGATGGTAGGCTGGGTGGAGAGTGAGGCTTGTGCTAAGTAGCTTACGGCTTGGAAGAGCATGGTTTTGGTTAGGTTTTAATTTAGAGGGCATTTGGGTCAATTTAAGTGAGTTTTTGGCTATATTTGAAAGTGTTTTTAAAAAACTGACATTTATGAATTTGAGGGATAAATTTTGGCTATTTTTGATAAAAACTCAATGGAATTAGAGCAAAGAGTCAATTCCATTATTAATTTTGATACCCGTAATTGGGACCTCAACCCAATTCAGCACCTAATTGATGACAGAGCTGCTAAAGCCATTGCCAATATTAAATTTGAAAAGAATGGATGCTACTCTATAAAATTTGGGTATCACTCGCTGCATAGCTCCTCAATTACTCGACATCAAAATAGACCATCCTCCTCTTGCGATGTTGATGCGGTTTGCTGAAAGTTTGTTTGGGGAATAAAAGCTCCTCCAAAAGTTTGTAATTTTATTTGGAGAGCTGTCCGGAATGGAATTGCCACGAAGGAGAACTTATTTCGGCAAAAAATGGGCACCTCCCTTATTTGCTCTATTTGTGGTGAATTTGCTGAATCTATTGAACACATGCCCTTACTTTGTCCTTGGGTTGAACCCGTGTGGTTTGGTGGCTAATTGAATAAGATAGACAAGGGAGCGATCACAAGTATAGATAGATGGTTGTTGTCAATCATAAATGAGGGGGTTCTAAGTGTGACCAATCAAGAATGGATGAGTAGTATTATTGCCCACACATGCTGGTACATTTGGAAAGCCCATTGCAAAGCTGTTATGGAGCATAAGGCCATGCATCCCCTCTCCGTTATAAGGGCAATCCAAACCTCTTGTGGCGATTTTTTGGAGGTTCAACGTTCCATCAATCAACGTCGAAATGGTACATCTCAAGTATATAAACTACCCCAGTGGTGGTCTCCTCCCCCAAGTAATATCATCACGGTTAATGTAGATGCTTCATGGCGATCTACTATTCAACAGGCAGGTGTGGGAATAGTCCTTCGTAGTGCTTTGGGGGATTTTGTGGTAGGTGGTGAAGGGAATATTGTGGGAATGGTGTTGTGTAGAGATTTCTAAAAACTAGGGATTCATGCAAGTCTCATTTGGTCCCAATCTTTATAAGTGTATGAAAGTGTGCACTAATGACTCTCTAAATCCTATTTGAGAGAAAGATAAGATGTTTATACTCTTGGAGTAAATCTTGAAACCAAGAACGGTGTTCAAGTATAGGGAGTGGTCCCCTTGTTGTTGGCTCTCCCTTTGATGTTGATTCTCCACCTTGTAGCTCTCCAAATAGATACAAAGATATGCATTTCCCCAAAGCTCTTCACCAAAGATTGAATGGGATGAGAGAATGAGTAGACAATAAGTGAAGAGTGGTGCTAGCACCCTCACTTGATGTGATAGATTGAAGGGGTTAGGGAGAGAGAGCTTGATGTTTTCTTTCTTCAATTTCACCAACTTGAAAACCCTAAGATGATAGGATTCCATAGCTACACACTTATAGGATAAAAAATGTCACAAGAGTAACAAAAATGCCCCCAAACCCCCTCCCCCTTTGTGTGTCATCTTTTGTTACCACAATTAATAATACCTCAAGGATTGTCCATTTAACTGTTGGAACTTTAGGTTCTCAATATTGTCAGATTTTGAACTTCATGCCAAAATCGCATATTTTCATGGTATGGACATTTTTATAATTTCCCGTACATATTTCGAGACTTCAGGCCCTTACATAATTGTCCATGTTTTGAGGAGCTTCTAGCTTCTCATTTAATTGTTCATCCATGAGTTTAAGGAACTGCAGGTTCCCTTTTGTATACAGTGACTGAACAAACTTCCCTCATTCCTTGAGTGAAGGACGTAGTTCATTTCATCATGAATTTCAATGCTAAACCCTAAAGCATGGACTGAGGAGCAATTATACGCATGTAATTGCATACATGGGGTCGACTATTACATAAACTATGTACTATTTGCATATATGTCTATGCAATTTTACATAAACTACAACATATCATTGTCAACCTACATGCAATTACCCATAATTGCATACATAGGATTCATTAATGCATAACTTTTATACAATTGCAAATATTGATTCACAAAGGGGGTGTATTGAATTAGGATTTTAATAGATTTTTTTTTAAGCTTAAAAGTCTAGTGGTATTCAATTATGATTTTTAAGTGATCAATAAAAATCTGATGGTATTCAATTAGGATTATAAAATCATCAACAAGTATGATGGTATTCAATCAGGACTTTTAAAAGATTAGAAAAAGTACGGTGGTATTAAAAAACTTCCCAATTTTGAAGTATTTCATTAAATGATGTAATCTACGAGACTTTTCAGTGGGTGATATAAATACCAAACCCATAAAAAAATCACACCCTTTTACATCTAATTCTCACGTTGGTTTGTGTTGGGAGAAGATGAACAGACTTGAGAAGTAACAACAGCAACGGAGAAAAGGTTCTCATCTTTTCTCTTCACATGCTTGCTATTATTTTTTTGTCTCTATTTGCATTATTTGTGTTGCTGATGTGGTACATCCGTGTATATCTGTGTTGCTTTGTTTATGTAAAGATTGATAGGAATGATAATAGACTTGATAGGAATGATACCAAACCCCATTATTATATGCGTTGCTGTTGTTGTGTTGCTTTGCTTTGGTTTGTTGTGTTACTTTGTTTTTGGTTTGTTGTGAACAGACTTGATAGGAATGGTTTTACTTATTTATATTTATTATTTCATAAAATAATATTTTATTACTTTTGTAAAAACTGGAGAAATAACTATTCAAATAACAATAGAGGCTTTGTTTTGATACTAGTTTTTTTTATCTTTCCCACTTGGGAGAAAAGCATCACTGTGCTACGATTTTTTATTTTTTTATTTTTTATTTTTGATAAAGATGAACTTTCTTTTTTGAAAGTATGAATTTATACTAATTGCATTTTCTCATGTGCTTATTTAGCTCTATCATTGTTGTTTGATGTAAAGTTGTGAAAATTATGTGTGATATATGATATAGTAGTAAAAGAAGTTTCTCTTACATGTATGATGCAGTAAAATGAAGGATTCACAACAAGGAAAAGACAAAGGAAAAGGAAAAATTTCCGATAATTATGAACTTTGGACCAAGGAAGAAAGCGATTTCTTGTTAGAGCTATTGGTTGATGGTATCAGTCTAGGATGACATGATACTAATGGGTCAATAAGTAAGCAAACAATAGACAAAAGAGTACTTCCTCACCTAAATTAGAAAACCGTGTCTCCTAAAACATATAACAATTACGTGAGCCGAATGAGATGGTATAAGAAGCAGTTTGACAAAATGACTACCCTTATGCGTAACAACTCTGGATTTGGGTGGGACCCAATTACAAAGAAGTTCACGGCTAGTGATGAAGCATGGGAAAATTACTTGAAGGTGAGCTTCATATTATAAGCTATGTCACTTACTAGCTTGATCTAATATTTTATTTATAATATATTAACACTCATCTTTTTTTTTTTCTTTGCTAGTCCCACCCAAGTCACAAGAATCTTAAGACAAAAAGTGTTGCTAATTATGATGATTTAAAAATTGTGGTTGGGGGTGCAACTGCTACTGGAAATGGCTCACTTGCATTAGGTGTCGATGATACTGATGCAACAACTTTTAGGGATGAGGACAACCTAAATTTTGGGATGTAAGACTTTACATATGATGCTGCCAATGAGACATTTGTAGCACCAAGTCACTATCAACCATCCTTCCAACCTTCATCACCCAACCAATCTACACCACCATTTGAGTCCCCTTTAGGTGTTAAGGTTCCTCAAGGAAAAACAAGTCAAAAGAAGCGAAGTAGATCCGAGTATGAAGGGAGTTCTAACTCAATTGGTTCCACCAATCAAGCCAAAGTTCTTGAAACCTGTTGAGGCCCAAAAAATCCATGGTTGGGCCCAAATAAATTATCAACCCAAAACGACACTCTACTAAGGAAAAGCGTAAAGCGGAGTACACGAGAACCCACCACATGTGAGTTGTAGTTCACGTGCCATGCTAAATAAATTAGCCATGCTAGGGGTTGACATAAAATATACCGACTCTACAAGCCCATGCCAAACTTAAACATCGCAGTCCTTCCCAAGGATGATAAAATTAAAACATGCCAAGCAACATGCCATGCCAAGCACAAAATCGTTATCTCACACCTAACCACACTACAAGCCAAAGTGGGCCCAAGCCACAAAATTAACCGGGGCTTACTGAGAAGGTTGTGGTATGGAAGGAAACAAGCAATTACGGGGCCCATTGAGGGTTCAAGGAATGTAAGTTTCAAGCCACTTGGGGGCTTTGGAACTCAAGCCCGTTCCTAGAACCCAAGCACATGGGTTAGCATGAGAGAGAAGAGAAAAATTGCCCCATGCTCTAGGAAGACACCAAAAACCTACCAAGATATTTAGCCCAGCCCACATCAATAGAATTAAAGGGAAAGCCTTTCCAGCAGCTTGAGGAAAGCCTGTCAAACGATAGAAGCAACAAAGCCAGAGGACCCAATACCATATGTACAAGCCCAAGCCCAGCAACTTGCAAAAATTTGGCGTCAAGTCCTATTCCCATTTGAATTCCAAAACAATGGTCATAAGGGAGCCACGGCAAGACTAGAGGAAATCCATGGGGGTGAGAGAAGTGTCCATCGGACAAAAGGCTCCATCTCTCCCCTTTCCTCTGTAAGCTCTGCCTTGGAGAAAACATAAGGAAAGCAGGTGGCGCCTTCCCCTCTATGGGAAAGCCCAGCTGCGTCAAATCGTTGGAACCATAAAGGGTTCCTTACCCATGCTCCTTGGATGGAGAAATTCATCAAAATAGGGCTAAGTAGGAGCTGCCAAGGAAAAAGGAAGAGGAAAATCAGACGAAATTAGAGCTCCTAACGCCTATAAAAGGAGACTTTTGCTACCCAGAAAAGACATCCACAACTAAACCATCCAGAGCCTAACCAAGCTTTGTTAAGCAACCTGGAATCTGCTCAAGCCACCCAAACCTTTCTTTCGTTCATCCTTCTTCTCCCTTAGGATAGGAATCGTGCTAATATTTCCTCTATAAGAAACCAGAGCCTGACCAAGCTTTGTCAAGCAACCTGGAATCTACTCAAGCCACCCAATCCTCTTTCTCCGTTGTTTTCTTCTTTCCCTGAGATAAAATCTTGCTAATTTTTCCTTCGTCCCCAGTTTAGATTTTATCCTCTGCAAGAAACTCATGTTGTTCTCTCTCTCTCTCTCTCTCTCTCTCTCTCAAATTGCTAAACTCGTGAAAGCTTAGCTCCCATGCCACATGCTCCTCAGGCTAAGTCATTAGTGAAATCATCATGCTTATTTGGGTGTTAGTAAAGTGATCCTGAGAGTGTTCTTTTAAAATCTCATTAGATTTTCTAAAAACTCTCTTGGGAGCTTGGTTTCGAACTCAGGCATTTGGGGGATTTTGCTCGTTGTCTTCTTACAGCAGCCCAGGCCCATTCGTCAGGCTGCTGGAACAAAAAACCCCCTACAAAACCATATCCACCAATTTTGAGAAAATATATGCTCTAATGGAGAAAAGAGAAAGAGATAGAGAGAATAGTATTTGGGATGCTATGAAGGATGTACCAAACTTGGATGACAATGCTCGATTCTTGGCGATTGAATTGCTTAATAGTAAAGTAAAACAAGACATGTTCTTGAAGATGTCACCCGAAGAGCGCTCATCTTGGATATCCTTCAAATTGGGATGAATTGTTATTTGGATCACCTTGGTTTTTGGTTGAAAATTGTTTACTTTGAATTGCTAAACTATGAATTTGATTTTTGGTATTTTTGTTGAACTATGTATTTTGGTTTTGTCATTTTGGTTGAACTATGCATTTTGTTTAATTTGTTATATTTTGATTGAACTTTGTCCTATTTTTGTTGAACTACGTATTTTGGTTGTGTCATTTTGGTTGGACTATGTATTTGGTTTTCATTGTTGTATTTTAATTTCCATGAATATGCTTTTTTTTTTTCACACCATGAACAAAAAGTGGTGACCAACTAAAATAATATGTATGAAAATCACTAGAAACGATAAAGTAATATGGCCAACTAAAACTATCATCTATACAAAGTAATATGAGGTCCTCATGCAGACAGTACGTCTCCATTAATTACTAGAAACAATAGCTATTATTTCATTAAAATTGATTGTTCTAATTAATATGTATGAATTCTTTTTTATTTTTTATTTATCAACATGTGAATTACATGATAAAGAATTAATTTTTAATCTTTTATTTTCTTTGTAGTCTCATGTATTTGAATTCTACAAACAATGTCACTGTCTGCAATTCCTAATTTGTTGGTTTTTTGTTTATTGATTTTTTTTTTTTTTTTTTTTTTTTCAGAGAGGAAGAAGAAATGGAGAATGAAGAAATTGGTGAACAAGAAATAGATGAAGATTTGGATGAAGAATTTGATGAAGGCATTAAGATTTTACTTATGGAAACTCAAACATTAATACAGGTGCTACATCAGTCAGAGGGGGATGAAGGACATATGGAGCGTCCGCTAACTCGACGACGAATTACTACCGTTGGATATGATTATATACATCAGGCATTGAACGAGGATCCCGCAATTTTCCGACAGGTATATAGGATGTATCCTGATGTGTTCCAAAAATTATGCACTATCCTTTGAGAAAAAACACTCTTAAAGGACACAAGATATATTTGTGTTGAAGAAATGCTAGCAGCATTTTTACAAGTTGTCGGTCAAAATTCTAGATATTGTGTCATTCGTAAAACATTTGGGCGATCACAATTCGCCACAAGTGAAAATTTTCACAAAGTTTTGAGGGCTTTGAATACAATAGCATCTGAGTTGATGGCTAAACCAGGATCGGGAGTGCCATCTAAAATAAGAGAAAGTACAAGGTTTTATCCTTATTTCAAGGTAAGTGACAACCATTCCATAATAATAATTATTATTATTATCCTTATTATTACTATTACTATTACTATTATTATTATTATTATTATTATTATTATTATTATTATTATTATTATTATTATTATTATTATTATTATACCATTACATTTTTGAATTATTGCAGGATTGCATTAGAGCTATTGATGAGACACATATTCCAACAATAGTGAGGGTACGCGATGTCAACAACTATCGTAATCGACATGGAAATATATCCCAAAATGTATTAGCGGCTTGCAATTTTGATTTGGAATTCATGTATGTCCTTAGCGGATGGGAGGGTTCGGCTCATAATTCAAAAGTGTTAAGTGATGCTCTATCAAGGAGGAATGGTCTTAAAGTTCCTCAAGGTAAATGCTTATCTTTTTGGTTGGAAATGCGTTTTATTTCTATGTTGCATACTAATATATATATATATATATATATATATATATATCTGTGTGTGTGTGTGTGTGTGTACTACATAATTAGGTAAACATTTCTTAGTGGATTGTGGATTGTGGATTAGCCAACCGACGCCAATTTTTAGCTCCATTTCGAGGTGTGCGATATTATCTCCAAGATTTTGCAGGTCATGGTTGTGATCCTGAAAATGAAAATGAGTTGTTCAACCTTCGCCATGCGTCCTTAAGGAATGTGATCGAGATGATATTTGGTATTTTTAAATCGCGATTCACAATTTTTAAGTCAGCTCCTCCATTTCTATTTAAAACACAAGCAGAGATAGTGTTGGCATGTGCAGCATTACATAACTTTCTTCGTAAGGAGTGTCGTTCCGATGAATTTCCTATTGAGCCAACTGATGAATCTTCATCATCTTCATCCTCATCAATACCAGTTGATGAAGAGGACAATTTTGAGCAGATTTATCAAACCCAAGACCAACAAAGAGAGGATGCTAATACATGGAGAGCTAGCATAGCTTCAGCTATGTGGAGAGATGTTATCTAGGTCATATGAGGATGAAGCTCCAACAAATGTTTATTACGTCTTGAATAACTTTTGTTTTTCTTAAGCCATGTCTAATTGCTACATGACGTTATTGTTATTACTTTTATCATTTGGTTATTTATTCATGTAGCATAATTAATCCATGTTATTATATAATTTTTATTTCATATGAAATCCTAGAGCAAATATGTTGATTCTTTGGAGAATACAAAAATATCCCAAGTGAATCATAAGAGAATCATGTAATTACAATCTATTAAAATCATAAGTAAAATCTTGTAATTACAAATCTTGCTGAAATCCTTTACATTAAAATCATGTGATTACAATCTATTAAAATCCTAATTGAATACACCCCCCAAAGTCACTTCACGAAAAAAGTTTACTGGAAACATCATACTTATATTGCAAATTTTTAAACTAATAATTGTATCAACAATAATATTATTAACTTAAGTTGAAATATATATTAAATGTTGACGTGTCTTTGGGCCAACAAGTTGAAATAATTAAGTAAAATATACGGAGAATGTGAGACTTATGAATTTTTTTTCTTCTCATTAGTTAGGAAGGGATGAGGGAGTATTATATTGGGTTGCTTTAAGATTGTCTCTTATGATACGTGTTCAAATCCGATGCCCTTAAGGAGTGAAAGGATTTTATCGTTAGATGGAGAACAATTAAAGGGGTGCACAAGTATTGAAAATACACTTCAAAGAAAAGTTAAGAAATTAAACAAAGAGAAAACAGGAAGAGCCATAGAGAGAAATTAGTAGGAATTCCCTGAATGATGGAAAATCATAAGATTAAATATTGTCAATTGTAGTTTCATAAAGTAAAAACTTTTCCACTCTTATATTTTGTAGTATTTTCTTATATTTCACAATATTTTTATTTTTGTAATCAACGATTTGGTAATAATAAGTTGATAATCGACAAATTTCAATTTTTTTCTTACGTTTATTCAATTGGGTTCAATCATTTAGATATTATATATATATATATATATATATATATTTATACAAGCGATAATTTATTTTAAACTAATCTAAATTACGATATTAAAGTTTAATATCGTCTCACTGCTTCAAATATTAATAAAGCATTAAAAATTTATTTTTAAAGAAAAACTTAAATTGATTAATAACTCCAATTAAAAAAATTATAAAATTAAAATCATTAGAAGACTTTACCTCCCATTGCCCGACCAAAACAACTGCCGCCACCGCCCAGCCCATCAACCAAACCGCCACACCCCCTTTTCTTGCCCCAAATTCTCAATCCAAAAACCCTTCCCCTTCTAAGAGGTTAGACTTCTCAATTCATGTACTTAAATTGTCAATAGAAATTAATTGTTATTTTTAGTTTCTCTTCCTTGTTTATTTTCCTTGTCTCTGTTTGGTACCTATCAGCCCCCATCCCCTCCCATTCTGGATATTGTCATGTGTAAAATTGAAATTTTGGATTGAATTTGTTTGGGTTGTAGAAATCTGGAAATAGAAAGAATGAAGAAGTTGAACAATAAAAATTAAAAAATTAAAAAAAAAAGGAATGAAGAAGATGAAAATGATTGAGAGATATTAAGGATATTGAAACTGCTTTTGGAACCGTATATGTGTAAGAGGCAACCCCTCAATTTCAATATATTGATTTACAATGCACAGAAAAACTCAAGAAATTATGACTTAAATCAACCTAAACAATCTTATGATTAGGAAGCGATTTCAATTGTATTTAGTCAGACTTTCTACTTGGGCTTTCTCAGCCGCACAATAACACTCTCAACGTACACACATGCAAAAATATTGCAGTTTGGCATCCTCTTGTGGAAGCGCAGTTTGAGCTAACAATATCATTACTAAAATAAAATTCATAATAAAGTGCACCCAAAATTCAATTACAGGTTATGAACAATTCCATTTCCAAAACTTGTGCATACACAAGAGAGCCAATCTGGGTCGTCCCTAAATTTCTCGACACCTTTGTACAAAAAGCAAGAAATCAAACGGAATAATGATTTGAGAGCTTATATATCGCATGCGAATTGCTCCACCCCATTTCATGCAGACACCGGGGTTCGTTCTACGGGAACCTTTGTCGGGGAGCTTTCCTTAAAACCTAACATCTTATTCAATGCGCCAACATAGGCCTTCACACTAGACACAACAATATCCATTCCTGCCCCAATTCCACTGGCACCAGAAGACAAAATAGAGATTTCCGTACTGTTAACATGCAAGTAGATGAAAATATGCAAACTTGAAAACAAACAAACTTTTAGACACCGCACCTGAATGTCCGTTGAACTGTTTCTCCGGTGAAAGCATGAGTAGTTATATTACTGTTTTCCCCTCGGATCAGAACACGAGTAGTTGCTATTGCATCAATTCCTTCTGTGACCGCATTCATAGAGTACTCAAGGAGTGTTACCGGTTCCTGCTACAGAGGGAGAAGCCAACTTCTTACAACACATGCAAATAATGATGTTTCCATCATAAAGAACATATGACAAACAAAACAAAAAAAAAAAACAAACAGGGCATTAAAAATATTTCAAACAAAAAGTAGTACAATGGTCATCATCCATCATTCATCTTAGTTGACATAAATCCTATGAACACAATAAACTCATCGGAGCATGCATGTCCACTCTGAAAATAGCCTTCAACAGCACACTATAGATTCCCAGGGTTTCATTATTATTAGTCTTATGGTAAGACTCTTACCAACTACCACTTAACAAATTAAAGAAAAAGAAGAAAACTGATGGCAAACTATGACTCTTATTCAATTGACCGAAAGAAAGAAGGCTACATACTACAAAGACGACTACATGATGAAAAAAATATAATACTTTAAAAAGGGAAACCCAGAAACCCTAAAGACGCTAAATACAATAAATACCCTAACAATATTAAGTGAACCTAACCTAAAACCAGTACAAGTGTCAAATGCAAATGTAAATATAATTGAAAGTTGCAAATTTTCTTATCGCACCTTTACAATGAGATCAACAGCCTTGTAAGCTGAATCCACTGGACCTGTTCCAACTGCACATGCCACATGTTCTCTCCCATCAGCATCGATTAATTTAACAGTTGCTGTGGAAAGACCAAGAGTTCCACAGGTAACCTGAGAATCCAATCCAGGTAAATTGGAGATCATTTCTTAAAACTTTAGAGGATCAGAAAATGAACAAGGTTAAAAACTATCTTGACAAACCTGTAAATCATGAAGCTTCCAGACAACTTCTGGCTGAAAAACTTCATCCGACACCAATGCTCTGAGATCTGCATCGGTTACTCTCTGTGACACAAACAATTAAAATAAGAGAGCAAACAAGAATACTAGAACCAAAACAAAAATATAAATATGTTCAAATATAGACATGTTCCGGTGTTCATTCAGTTTTGCATAAGTAAAAATTTTGTTTTGGTTCAACCCGTAATCATATGTGAATTTGCAGACTGTATCAACTGGATGGTTTCTTTTTAGATTCCAATGTTTCAGAGTTTTGTTCTTCAAATTAAACTTTTACCATACGTCAACAAAAGAGAAACCCAGGAGATACAATAACTCATCTGATAGCCTCACTTTCTATTTCCGCAATGAAATACAAATGCCTATCCAACGAGGTTAATGTCTTAATGGTGTTCCCGTAAGATATAACAAGCAGGGGGGAAAAGCAAAGAAAAAGAAATCTATAATTCCATTGAGGTTTCACCAATGTTTAAACCATTGGCCGATATACCAAAATATTGGGTAATATTTTAGTTTATGGGCAGCACCCACCGTGGTTAGGGTGGCTTCACTTTGGTTTATTATTGTATCAGTGGAAACTCAGGTAAGCCTTCTCATCCTAGCATTCGACAAGTTAATAGAGAAGGGAATCATACCCATGGAGTATACATAGGGAGAATATTACACCTTTCAATTTACCTTTTTTTGGTCAGCTACTGCTTTGAAACGCCAGAATATAGTCTCAAGTTGATCATCAGCAAGTTCATAACCAAGCTAACAAGACCAAAGAAGAGCATAAGGGAAATGCAGGAGAGAAACTACCAAATTCAATTGATACACCTTGCGAAAAATGAGAATCATTGTGTACCTCTTCAAGTCGCTTTTTCAAAGCATGGCGTCCACTACAAAAGAAAATTACACACAGAAAAAAGCAACACCAAAAAAACAAAGAATCACTATTTGGAGGGAGTGAAAGTGTAATACACACTTAAAAATAAGTAAATTCCAAAAAAAATACCATACTTTATTTATCGGGAAGTATCATACATATTTAAGTCAAACGGAAATCCAAATGGTGCCTTTTATCTTATTGAACAAATGACAAGGGCTTTAAGATTATTAATGAGCTCATTCCCAAACAAATTACAAGAACAGTAAGTTAAGAGGATATTAAATTTGAATCGAGTCAGGTTGATTACCATAAAATGACAACTAACATTTAAAATAACATGCAGACTACATCCACAAACTTGTATTTGATGATTAACAATCAAATTTGACAATCTACCAAATCGCAACTACTCAAACAGGTTTGGCATGGGCTGTTTGTGTGGCATCTTTACCTGTCATGCCAGATCCTTCCCCAAACCCCAGGTTAATAAATCTGAATACAATTGTATTCATCTGAGTGTCGCTGAAAACTGAAGCAAAAGTAGTTGGAAGTTGGAGGTCCCACGTCCCTTTTAAAAATTAAAAATAAAAACCAAAAGACTTGGCACCTCTTTTTGGTAACAATTTTTGTTGTCTTTAATCAAAGATCTAGAAGGAAAAAAACAAAAGGATAGTGAGAAAAAGAGATGACACATGTAAGGAGGATAGGAATGTGTATGGAATCATGCATATGCATTGCCTCGTATACCCTTCATAGCAAAGAAAAAAAAAAGAATATAAAGAAATGAAAAACTCGAATGAAATTTAACTTGTTGGAAACTTAACTTGAAAGAACTAACTAGTTGCAACTCACAAACCAGAAGAGATGAAGCAAGAGGTTTAGGTCATCGTATTTGTGCATGGTAGACAATTTGTTTTTTTTTTAAAGTACAATGAAACAGAAAAATTGAACATGATTTTGAAAGCCAAAAAAAAAAAAACAATCTACAAAAAAAAAAAAAAAAAAAAAAAAAAAAAAAAAAAAAAAAAAAAAGCAAGATTCAATTGATTGACTATCTAAACCAAATCATTAAGCTCTACAGGAAGTGCAACAATGAAAATGTAAAAGTGAAAAATAACAGCATAACTTCTTGTGTGATCATGATAAAAACAATTAAATTGGTCTCCGCACTCATAAACATGCTTAAGGGAACTAGTCACCGAGAGGGATGCTCTAATATGAACATCATTGCCTGTTTATAATCAGCCTCACTATAATAACAATGTGATAGTCAGCTTCACAAACCATGGTTCACTTACGCTAGGGATTGCAAATACAATTCTCAAGATTCAGTTCACACCTCAGCCACCAAGCATGCAGAAATTAAGAAATTATTCCTCAATAAAATGTTTATTAATCATTCTATAGGAGGATGGAGCTCTTATTTTTCCGCATGTCATTTTCAACAACACAAGAAACCACCCAGGAAAAAAAAAAATTTCATCCCACAACCTAGAATTACCATAATAAAAAGACATTATACCTAAGTTTCCCGAGGACAATACCAGCTTCATTGGACCGTTCATACCCAATATCTTCAGGAGATATAATTTCATATGTACCTTTGTGCTTGAGCATTCCATCCTATAGATCAGAAAGACTTTTACAAATACATATTAACAAATTCAATGTATAACCAACTGAAAATATGAAATTACCAGAGACTTTAAAACTGAAAAGAGTGAACAAGTAATATGAGTAATGTAAATGATAATCCAACAAATAGAATATATCCTTTCAGCTGGAACTTAAATGACAGCAACCTGATGGATACCACTTTCATGTGCAAAAGCATTAGCTCCAACAATAGCCTTGTGTGGCTGCACATGCAACCCAGTATATTCTTCGACCTAAACAATCAAAACATTGAGTAAGAAACGCCATTCAAAAGGACTTACGGTAATGAAGGAATAACAGGATGAAATTCCAAAAGAAGTTAAACAAAATACAAGATACCATCTTGCTTGTTATATAGATATGCCGAGCATTGATCCCGGTATAAAGCCCCCCAAGCACATGATCCCCACGGCAATCTAAGGTCATGACAACCTGCACGTTATTCAGTTAAAAATGTCATTTAAAGGAAAACAAGAAGAAACAATGTGAAGAGTAACACCTGCAGAGAAAGCTTTAAGAATTGAGTGAAACAATACAGAAAAATGAAAATAAAAACCTTATTCAGAAAGACTTTTTTAGCTTCAGTTTCATTTCCTAACGAAGAATGCAAATGACACAGAACCAATAGTTTTGATACCAGTATACATGGGAAAGGAAAAAAATAATCATCAAATTTCTGAATACAGTTTGGTGACCAAATGGAAACTTTTAAGAGGCTAGAAATATGTAGCAGCGAAATTTCAGAAGACTTATCCAAACTGTATCCATATAAGATATGAATAACTCTGTAATATTTCGGAATACATAACAGAATCTTCGTAACTGAAACCAAAATATCAATATTAAATCATGGAAACATAAGTTTCCAATATTCTCAGTCACCGATTGATGCATACTGGATCTATCACAATATTCGCCCTTTTAGCATAGAAAAAGACTAAACGATTTAAACGCATAGTTTCCAATATTGAATCCAGAACACATCTCCTTAGAAACATATTGTTATTAGCATATCCTTGATGTATCATTTCTATACTTGTAGATGCTTGTACAAAATGTTTAAAGGGCTTGCAACTCAGATAGCTGTCTGGTTGCAGGACACTTAGTTAGTTTCAGGTTGCATGGAATTCAGGCAAAGTGGCAAAAAAGAAATTTGAGACAAACCACAAAGCATCTGGTGGCAAAAAAGGTTAGGGAGGTAAGAGGGTCTAGGGCCTTGAAAAGATGACACAAAAAGAGAGTCATTTGAGCTTGAGGTTGGAAATACATAAAAGAACAGAAGCAGGTATCATAACAAATGACACTCTAAAGCATGGAAGACTTGAAGCATTACTGTATTTCAAAAACTAGCAAAAGTAGATATGCTGATAACAGATCATCAGTCCACAAATAGAAACAACTCAATGGAATAGGCGAGAATTTATCTCATAGCCAGACATCTTCGAGGTGTTATTTTCTTGCAGATAACATAATATCAAACTGGATTGATTCGAAATCAGGCTCATAAAAAGAGAGTCATTTGAGCTTGAGGTTGGAAATACATAAAAGCAGGTATCATGACAAATGACACTCTAAAGCATGGAAGACTTGAAGCATTACTGTATTTCAAAAACTAGCAAAAGTAGATATGCTGATAACAGATCATCAGTCCACAAATAGAAACAACTCAATGGAATAGGCGAGAATTTATCTCATAGCCAAACATCTTCGAGGTGTTATTTTCTTGCAGATAACATAATATCAAACTGGATTGATTCGAAATCAGGCTCATAAAAAGAGAGTCATTTGAGCTTGAGGTTGGAAATACATAAAAGAACAGAAGCAGTTATCATGACAAATGACACTCTAAAGCATGAAAGACTTGAAGCATTACTTTATTTCAAAAACTAGCAAAAGTAGATATGCTGATAACAGATCATCAGTCCACAAATAGAAACAACTCAATGGAATAGGCAAGAACTTATCTCATAGCCAGACATCTTCGAGGTGTTATTTTCTTGCAGATAACATAATATCAAACTGGATTGATTCGAAATCAGGCTCATAAAAAGGACTTATTCCGAAATTTTGCTTTTTTCACATTCAAAATTGTGCAAAATAAACTTGAAACTATGCAATCTTATGTGGCTGCAGAAGTAAACCCTCACCTCCTCTAATGAAGCATTCCCAGCCCTTTCACCAATGCCATTGATTGTTACTTCCAGTTGCCTAGCACCTGCACTTGCCCCCTGAACATGGATGACATAAGATGTGAGTGCATGTTGTTTTTATTAACTACACGCCTACCAAAACAAAACCAAAAAAATAAGCAAAACATGGCATACCGCTATAGTATTGGCAGTAGAAAGTCCAAGATCATTTTGGCAGTGAGTCGAAATGATAACATTCTCAATTCCAGGGGTATTAGATTTTATGTCAGAAATCAACTGACTATATTCACTTGGCACGTTATAACCCACAGTGTCAGGAATGTTCAGAGTTGTTGCTCCAGCCTTTATAACTTCACCCAAAATCTGGTACAAAAATTCCCTATCGGATCTGGTAGGGTTTGGGCCAAGAAAACAGAAGACATTTATTATTAAAAACACAAGAAAATGAAATGGATTAATTAGAAATCGATAATTAAAAGGACCCAAAGGAGTTTACAATTCATGATATGGACAAATAGATTCAAATAGCAAGTCAAAATAAAAAATATAAAATGAAATTAATATTAAGATATCCATATGAAAGGGAATATATTAATGACGTGTTTATATTTGGAACAAGTACAAATTTTACAAAAGTAAAGAAAACTATATGGCCTAAGTGAATGAAGGAGTTGAAAATGGTGCCTGTCCTCCCCCAGATTGCTCTTTAGCATTGGAACACTTTCCACATTCTCATTATTTGACCAGAAAACAAGAAAGAAGGCCAACTGAACTCTGATGTCCTTGCTGGTCAGATACATAACATACTTCAAAAGTAAAAATTTAAATTATGGTTATGCTTAAAAGAATACCAGCCTTTATAAACCTATGAACAGGTGACAGCATGTAACATAGATTCCATGAGAATCAATTATTAGGTCATATTAAAATATTCACAAGCTCAAGAAACAATTTGTCAGCTTGCAGACAACAAACAACCACTAGCCATCATCCTCAAACTTGAAATAATTTCATTTCTCCTCTAATTGGTAGCAGTAAAGTAAAAACAGAACAAGATTTGATGCATTAGGTACCACCAAACATTAGATGACATCTTGATATAACTATTAAAAAGCTCTGACCTTATGGCCAACAGCCAATACCACCCTAAATTCTTACCAGTAATGCCAAGGTCAGTATCCATGTTTCCTGCATAAGCAGTAGATATTTTCTAAACGTATACTATCTAAGCCTTTATTTTCTATTTTTTTGTGAACGATGAAGGGGGTACCATTTCCCACTTCAGTTATATAAAACGCAACCTTGCAAAACCCTTAAATGTAAGAAAACTTGCACTAATTAGTCGGGCATGATTTCTGAAGTGTCAACATAGCACACACACAGTAATATATATATATATATATATATATATATATATAGTGTGCATCTGTGTATGTAAATTGCAGTAATTTAAAGATTATAACCCATCACTATAACACATTATAAATTTACTAAATTGCAGAAATGATGGCATCACCATACAATTTACATACAAGGCCAGAAGATAGTAACTCATAGTTTTCTTTTATAAGATAACACAAATTTCTAGTTTTTCTTTTAATAAGAAACCAACCAAGTAGGCATTCCATACATATAATCACAAAATTACAGAGAGAGAGAGAGAAAGAGTCAAAACAAAAACCTACCTGCCAGCATCTTCAGGACTAAACTCAACATCATCACAACCCAAGCTCCTGGCATAACTCACCATATCCCTTGCAATCTCAACCACCTGTTCCTTAGTCTTCCTCAGCTTATGCTCCATATGAATGGCACTGGTTGCAATAAAAGTATGAATCCTGGGCCTTTTGGCGCACTCCACGGCATCCCATGCCCTCTTAATATCTTTCTTATTGCACCGCGACAACCCACATATCACAGGCACATAACCATCCTTGTCAACTGAATTCCCAACCTCCTTCGCAATCATCTTTACAGCCTCAAAATCATCATTGGACGCCGCGGGGAACCCGGCCTCAATTATGTCAACTCCAAGCTTTGCGAGCTGCCGAGCAATGTCGAGTTTTTCTTTGGAGGTCAAGGAGGCGCCAGGGGACTGCTCACCATCACGGAGTGTGGTGTCGAAGATACGGACATAGTTGGGATCGGAGATGCGGTTGGGGATGTAATCAGGGCGTCGAGCAGTCTTAGGGTTAGTGCTTTGGGAGCAGAGAATGTGGGGTTTGGACTGGGGTTTAGAGGTGGTGTGGAGATGGGGAGTGGAAGTTAAAAACGTGGGCTTGTTTCGGTTGAGCAAATGTGAGCGGAAGAGAAGTTGGGCTTGGGAGCTCTTGGAGATGTTGATCGAGGACATGGAGGTTGGTGTTGGTAAGACTTGATGGTGTGTGCAGACAGCTGCCATGGTGAAGGGGGAGAGGGAGACGGGGACAGAGAGAGTAGACAAACCAACCCTGAGAGAAAAAAATGAAATGATTCAAATTAGTGGGGATTGTGTTTGTGCGGCTAAAGTAGTAAGTGTACTTGAATTCAACCTAATGGTTACGGTAAGGATACCAATCAAATGGCTCTGTTTTATAAAACAGATGTCAGCAAATATGAAAGGGTACTGAACTGTAAGCTCAAATACCAGCAAAAGTGTTCCTTACAGAAAATCAACTGCAAACACGCTGAAAGTTTCAATTTTTATAAAAACATACTTTAACATTGAATTAAATATCTTGAGAGGAGCCAAGGTGGGTTGGGGGCTGGGACTTAACAGGACACCAAAAGAAAATTGAAGATTAAAAACAAAGCAACCTCAGACTTGCACGCATCAAAACCCACACACAAGACACAAAAACCCCAGGAAAACATCATTGCAGTAACCAGAGATAAAGAAATAGTGCAGAAAAACAAAATGGCAGACCTCAACAAAAAACCAAAAAAGAACCAGGAAAAAAGTTCAGAGAATAAAAAGAACAAAATCAAAGCATACCTATTGGATGATGAAAAAATAGAAGAGGGATTTGAAAGACTAAAAAGAGAGACTGAAAAAAGGGGAGCTTGAGCAGATGAGGAAGAGAACTCCGGGTATGAGAGTCGTGTTTCTACACGGGTCAGTTGGGCTGTGCCAGTTTGGAGTGTGGTCCCATTTCTTTATTAATGTGACCAAAAAGACAAGAGAATCTATCCATTTGAAGAACCACCCAGTTTTCTATAGAAACCAGAATATAATAATCTCAGTCAATGAACATGAAAGGAAGATTGAAGAATATGCATTAAAGTTGTTACCAAATGCCTACACATTACAACTATGAGAAGAGAAGAGAAAGTTGAAGAAGAACAAACTTGTAGGGAAGAGTAGAGCGCTGAAATCTCCTTGAAGAAAAAACCTTTAGTGCTGTTCAAGCCTTCTTAGAGCCACTGGGTTGTTGTTGTTGTTGTGGGTCAAAGGGTTTTTTCAGCTGCTGAGGAAGGAAGGCTATTCAGATTCTCAGTGGAGTGAGAAGAATTTCAGGGTTTTTCTTTTTTCACATTTGGCGGCTGTATCTGTAAGGGAGAAAGAGCAAAAAACCGTATCCTTTTTTATCTTTTCAGTCGAGGTCACTTTGACTGTGAATTTCTTAATTAAAAAATAGTTATTTTAATTAAAAAATTAAGATTTATTTTTCTCTTTTTCTCGCCGATAAAAAATTATCTCATTTAAATTGATTTTTTTTAATATAAGAAAACGATATTCTTAACAAATATTTGGAAGCTGTTTAAGGGTTTTGATTAACTTTCGATATTTATCAAGAATTCAATAAAAGAAAATACTTATCAGGAATCTAATCAAGTTAAACGAGGTTATACTTCTCCAACTATGTGTGTGGTTTGAGAATTTTTGTTAGTTAAAGATCTTCTTTATAATGTTTATTTCTTGACAAAAAAAAAAAAAAAAAAAAAAAAAAAAAAAAAGGAAGGGATGGATGAATTGAATTCGTGTGAAAGTGCAAACACACTGCTTTGGATAACTTGCTTAATTTTACATCTCCTACAAAAAATTGATCCTATATCGAAGGGCAAATTCTTATTATTGTTTTTAATTGAAGAGACAAATCTGAAAAATTCTAAACAATTAATTGACAAGGGATAAATAAATTTTTTTTTATAGACATGTTAAGGGATAAATTTGTAATTCTGATAAGAACTAAAATTGAGTGGGTATGTTTATGAAATAAATGGGTTCAAAACTTCAAATAGACTTTACCCTACCCCCCCCGCTTGCTTCTGGTACCTTCCTCTTCTTCTCCTTGCTCTACCAGTCAGAAAACACTTCAGCAGAATCATTCCGAGCCCGATCACAAGCCCTTCCGTACATCTCCATTCTATCTATCCCACTCCCTCTCCGAGCTAGTGTGCTTCAAGTGCTTCAACAATGGCGACTTTGATGCAGAAAATTAAGGACATCGAAGATGAGGTATTTGCCTGTACTGCAATCTCTGTTGTACTTTTTCTGCGAATGAAAAACCCTAGAACATTCTTTATTTTCCATTTGGTCAATGAAAACTAAAAGAAACTGAGTGGAAGCGGAAAAAAATTTAGCCTTATCATTTCTTTGATGCTTAGGGCTTTAATAGCTAAGAAAAAAAAATTCGAACAATATGTAAATAGAAGGGGAAGTATTTTTTTGTCATAATTCTTAGGGTCTTTTAGATTTGTTAATTTCCAACAGTTAGAAACTTTCTATGTCCACTCAACTCCAATCAAGGAAAATAGAAGAACAAAAAATTGAAATTTTGAGTTTGGCTTTTGGTTCTTTAAATGGATTTCCAAGATTTTTAGACTGAAGTTAAATTGAGGGCTCTCTGCTGATTGTTTGTTTTGAAGATAACAGTTTTAGGAAACAAAATTTCATATCTTTGTTTCTGTTTTTCTTCTTTCTTGTGTATTTTTAAAACTACATGATTAACAGTCCAAGTTTGATTTTATTGAATAGCTGTAGGTCCAGGTTTTGGTGCTTTTGATTTATTACTTCTCAATCAACTGTTTGAAATGCAGTTATTGTTTTGGAGGTGCTGCTTCTGGATATTGCATATTCCTTTATTGAATTGGATATTAATAGTTCTTTGTTTTTTTCTTATTACTTGCAGATGGCTAGGACTCAAAAGAACAAGGCTACTGCCCATCACTTGGGCTTGCTGAAGGTAAATATTCTTGTTCGTTGTAATATTTGCCATTAAATTTCTGTTTATGATTTCATCCATTGACAGAACTGATCCAGATGTAATTTGGTCATTCGTTGCTAGGCTAAACTTGCAAAGCTCAGGAGGGACCTACTTGAGCCTCCATCAAAAGGTGGTGGTGGTGCGGGTGAAGGTTTTGATGTCACTAAGAGCGGAGATGCAAGAGTTGGTTTGGTGGGTTTCCCGTCAGTTGGGAAATCTACACTGCTGAACAAATTAACAGGGACCTTCTCAGAGGTAGAGAAATGTTGATTAATCTCAATCTACGCAAAATCTGTATGAGGCAAATAAATTTTTTTTGGAAAAAGAATTATTTGTCGAAGTATGTTAGGCATGGAAGCATATAGATTTTGATTGAGATTACTTATGATGTTTAATCTGTTGACACGTCTATAATATTGGGTCAAAATTAAATTTCCAATTTTCTGTGCAATCTACTGGGATTCATTGCCTGGTCTCCCTATTTAGAGATCCTCAATCAATGTCATTGCCTGAAGTACTTTTTTTTTATTTATCATTGTCTTATGTCTTTTAAGGATGCTACTGCATAGAAACTCTCAGCAAATGTAATTTAGGATCAGCGGATTAGAACTATGTGTAGAAATACTTTGTAATTTGGTTTCATTTATAACCTTCTGCTTTAAAACGTTGGGGTTTTGGGTGTTAGGCATTCCTGTGTTTGTGTCTGATATCTACATATGTGATCAAACCTAAATGCTTGTTTCCTTTGTGAAACCTGAATGTTATTATTGTTATTCCTTCCTTCATTGTGCAGCCCTGCAATAATTGTGGGTTGCCAACTAGGATTTTAAGAAAATCCCTGATATTCTGAAGACCATGTAATGTTTTTGTTTACAGGTTGCTTCCTATGAATTCACGACCTTGACTTGCATCCCAGGTGTGATCGTGTATCGAGGTGCAAAAATTCAGGTAGTATAATTTGCAGTATTGTTATCTCTGTTACATTTAGCTATATACTTTAGAAGGAGAAACCAAATTCTCTCATCTCAATGTGGCTGTGTGTATATATGCGTATGTTAATTCATACATCTAAGCATGCGTGTGTAGATATAATAATATAGTACAATTTTTTATTGTCTCACAGTCATCAACTTCCACTTTTTGTTGTCTTTTTGTCAATTCTATTCTTTTTTTGGATGTGTAATGTTGATAGAGATTTGACAATTGAAAATAAAATGTGCATGTTTTCAATGTGTTAAACTTTGTATTTGTATTTTTCTAAAAAGTATATAAGTAAAGCAAAGGTTTCATGAATGGTGAACCATCATCTTAGGTAAAAGTAAAGATAAAAGACCAGTTGCTGAAACAATCCCCAACCTGCTGCACCCCCTCCTTTTCTCCCTTTTCCGCCTTTATTTCCTGGACTCCTTAATTAAGTTAATGCTGTTTATGTAGATTAATGTTACCTTTTTCTTCTTTTAATTATTCTTTTTATCATATTTACCTTCGGGAAGTCATTTTCATCATATTACATGCTTTATGATTTGAGTGCCTTACATCATTTTTCACCATTATAGGTTGGTAGCCACCATTTTGAACTTATGCATGATATGGAGGGATACTTATATAAATTAGGGTAACTATGTGTGCTGTGTCAAAACGTGGCCTTAATGTTTTAGTTTTATTCAAAATGGCTGTACTGGATTTTATGGAAGATGTGCTTCCAAAACATGATACCAAATTTTCACTTGTCAAGACTGGTTCATTTGTTTCCCTTATTGTCAGTTTCGATTCTTTAACTTTTGAATTTCATACTTTAATTTGCAGTTGTTAGATCTACCTGGAATTATTGAGGGTGCTAAGGATGGAAAAGGTAGAGGAAGACAGGTAATGTGTGATATTTGTTCCACATTGTGCTACCCTAGCATGCTGAGGATTTATTTCAATGCACTTATTTCTTATACTCATTTTTGTTTTTGATATCTGCATTCTGCTTTTAAATCTCAGCACCGATTTGATAATGTTTCTCTCTCTCTTCTTTCTTTTTTTAACTATCAAGAGTGAAATTAGAAAAGAGAAGAGAGATGAGATTGGTGACGAAGTTTGAAAGATTTGAAACTAAAATTAAAAATAGAACCCTTATAACTGTATGTAGTTTTTAATTATATCTTAAACAGCATCTTTTGTATTTTCCTTCATCCCTCCCTAACTTCTCTCACCTCTTTCTCCTCTACCTCTCCCCTCTCACTTTTCAGTTTCCTGTTCTCTTTCTGTTCCGTCAGTCCTTTTTCCAAGCAATGATCTCACATCCAAATTACGTATTCAATTTGATTTCTCCAATTAGGAGCCTTTTATAAACTTCATGGTTGGTCAATGAAATTTTATATTTGGCTAGAAAATAGATTTTACAAGTTACATGCTTATCTGATAAGATGTGCAGATTCTCCAGCATTATCTTTTCGAGATTTTTTTTCATGTTTAAATGGGCAATAACTCTTATGCCAGACTTGTATTTTACACCATCACAGTGGCATGTTTGTTTGACATGCTTACTACTGGACATGAATGTGGCAAACATGTTAGAGAATGGGAATTTACAATCCCCTGCATATCTTCTCTTAGGTCCTGGAGAATGTTACTACTCACTGTCTTGAGTTAAACTACAGGTCCACGTAGAGGTCATGTTTTTGACATGCTTGCAGCTGAACATAAAACTGGGCAAGCATGTCGTACAATGCTCAGACGTGCCAATACCCCGCCAAGTCCATGAAAATTAGGTTATATTATACAGGCTGCTGGGCAAGGACCTGAACGAGTGTTTGATAATGTATAGATGCTCCTATACCCTCAGCGGCTCAGTTTTCTATGAAATTTTTTTAATACTGTATGTGGTTAGATGGATAGACCAAACAATTGCTGAATAAACAAATGACTGGTATTGTCTCCTTACATATTGCCAACTATTCCAATGGTTTTTGGTCATGAAAGTTTATAAAGACATTTTATAACATACTTTTGCAAAAGACCGACCTTGTATATTTTGCACCTTTTCCAATTGTAAAAGACGCTTGAGATATTTTTCCCTTTTGGATATGAATGGTATTGATATGATTTGTGTGATGTGTTATACCAATCAAGGCTTGAGATATGGCAGAGATTGTTTGGAATACAGAAAATGAGTTGTTTTTTCCTTCCTGGGTTTGTCTCTGCTTTTTCCTTTCTGGGTTTGCTTTTCAGCTTATTGAACTTTCATGTCATCCAGGTTATCAGCACTGCTAGGACATGCAATTGCATTTTAATTGTTCTTGATGCAATAAAGCCAATAACTCACAAGCGTCTAATTGAGAAAGAGCTTGAGGGATTTGGCATAAGGTAATCTATGTGGTTAACTCTGTATCTGGTCTGTATATGTTTGTTATTTTGTTGTTGTAGTGTTAACTGTGTGTTATATGATTTATCAGATCTAATGCATTGGTCAATGCTATCATGCCATATGAAACATCAGATTATCGAATGATCGTTTATGTTGGTTGTACCTGTACATTTCATTTACATCATATAAACCTTTTTTTCAAGTTTGAAATATTGGTTGACCAATATATGTGTGTGTGTGTGTGTGTGTTGTATATATATTTTCTAATTTCTTGTATGAAATCTTCCTGAGAACTACATCCTAGGGTGCACATTTCGTGAGGATGATGTAGTGTTGAATTAGCTGGTACAGACCTGTCTGGATTTGAAACTCAGATCTCTTTAAATGGTTTAGTAATGTACACTGTGCTTTTCTTTTTTGGTAAACGGTGGAAGCTGTTCAGCTTTCTGTTATTGCCAAATATGGAATATTTCAATTACCTTTATTCTTTTGCGGTAAACACCATGTTCCATACTTGATACAATTTATTTTTAGTACACACACACAGATGCTTAAAAATGTTTGTATGTGTGTGCATCTAGATTTATATGTATGTAATCTTTGTCACACACTATCTGGAGACATTACTTGTACATTCTCGTCCTAGATAGTTTGTACTTCTTATAATGGATACATGCTTACTCTGAGCAGGTTAAACAAGGAACCACCTAACCTGACCTTCAGGAAGAAAGATAAGGGTGGGATTAATTTCACGTCAACAGTTACCAACACGCATCTGGATCTTGATACTGTGAAGGCAATATGTAGCGAATACAGAATTCACAATGCTGATATCACTCTTAGGTTTGATGCAACTGCTGATGACCTCATAGATGTAATTGAAGGCAGTAGGATATATATGCCTTGCATCTATGTTGTGAACAAGATTGATCAGATTACACTTGAAGAGCTTGAGATTTTGGATAAACTTCCTCACTACTGTCCAGTCAGGTAATTTTTATTTATGACCGAAATTATAATTTCATAGCAGATTATTGTTGCAACACCTTAGTAGGAGTATTTGAAATTTTGGATGTTCTATCTATCTCCCCTTCAAGAGCTTGAACCTCTGTATTATGATTGAGATATAACATGTTGGAAACTCTAATTAAAATATTAAAAGCCTGTTAGAGGAATTCAACTAGTGCCAAAACATTACTGCCAGTGGACATTTTCAACAATGCATTAAATATTATAATTTTCTAGAAAAAACATTGTATTTAAAGTATCTACAAATTAAGAAGCGTTGTAGTTTTCAATATAAGATTAATTAAGCATCAGGCTTAGTGTTCAAACATTATGCAGTTGTACAAAGCATGAAATAAGGAATAAGGTATTTTACAAATTCAAATAAATAGCATACAGCTTGTAGTCATTGATCCAATTGGACTTGGGATTGTGTAGTACCTATGCGTCATTCTTTGGATTTGTTTTTCCGCGGCATTGTGTGTTACTATATTGCTGCTGTTTGTTTCTCATAACTTTTCACCATTTTCTGGTATTGTTTGGTTGGTTCACATTTCTGAAATTACCGTGTGGTAGTTTTTTAACTTTAATTGTGTAATTTTCCATGACTGATCTGCAGTGCTCACCTGGAATGGAATCTCGATGGTTTGCTGGAAAAAATATGGGAGTATCTTAATTTAACTCGGATATATACAAAACCTAAAGGGATGAATCCAGACTATGAAGATCCTGTGATTCTGTCGTCTAAGACAAGAACGGTTGAGGATTTCTGTGAACGGATTCATAAAGATTTTATTAAACAATTTAAGTAGTAAGTACCTCTCCTAAATTTTCTTAATTTTTTTTTGTTTGGAAATGATAACATGTAGTCCAACAACAGAAAAAGGTACTTGAGGCACTTGTCTTAACATCTGTGGAAAAGTAGAGCTTTAAAGTGGATATAGGCTTCAACTTTTGTGTGGACCAGATTACATATAAATACCCTGTGGTTTCTATACTTGAGACTTGTTCTGAAGCACTGTTGTATGCCTCATTGTTTCTTTTGAGCTTGTTTCCCCATCGCCGTTCATGAAAGTTAACTTTGAGGTTCTGTTGCAGTGCTCTGGTTTGGGGGTCAAGCGCGAAACACAAGCCCCAAAGAGTTGGCAAGGTTGATTTTTAATCTCAGTTCAGCATGCTCATATCTTCCATTTGCCACTACTTGATTTGTGACTTATTCACGAACGTTCGATTTATTAATTAAGTTGCATGTTTGTTACTTTGACACAACAGGAGCATCTCCTCGAAGATGAAGATGTTGTTCAGATTATCAAAAAGGTGTGATTTGGTGGGAAGTCAGAAATCCTTGTAACCTTAGCATCAGGATGTCATTTACAAGACTAAAGCTTTCGAGATAAGGCTTTTCTCCCCCAGCTCTCAGTTGTCTGTACTTTGTAGTCCATACAGCACTTTTTCTCTGTTGTCCTGCTTTCATAGGTGTTTTAAGGGTAGGCAGAACTTGAGGCAGCTTGATATTTAAACATCATAGGGCACATTTTTTTGGTAAAGCTAATTTTTGGTCATCTCAACATTTGTTTAGTTTGTATTAGTAATGTCATCTGTGACCAAATTGAGTGGTCGCATATATCGAAGGAACTAATGGTAAGGCACTTGGAATTTTCGCACTTGCATATTGAAGTTATAATCCAAAATCTCTTGGGATCAATAGAACACTTTGTTGATCTCTTGAGGTTAACTTTTCATGTCCTTGTACTAATTGTGGATGCTACTACTGCATAAACTTAATTTTTGAATGGCATGTTTACTTATCGGGATGGATACAAGAAAGGGAATTATTCCAGTTCCTCTATACTAACACAAAGAATCAAAAATTTGTAGATTCCACCTAAAAATCAGTAATGCAATACCTGCAAAACTAGGAATTGAATCAATATTCAATTCGGGGGATTAAGTTGATTCAATTCCGATTTCTTACTTACCCTATTCCAGGGGCACAAAGGGATCGAAAAATTACAAAAGGGAAAGAGTGGTTCAATACACCAAGCTGAGTCAGGACTCTTTACTAACACAGGATAAATAAAAAAATATGTAGATTCCACCTAAAAATGAGTAATGCAATACCCTCAAAACTACGAATTGATAGAATTGAATCAATTAGGGGATCAAGTTGATCTAATTCCGATTGCTTACTTACCCTATTCCAGGGGCACAAAGGGAACGAAATATTTAAAAAGGGAAAAAGCATTTCAACACACCAAGCTGAGTCAGGACCCAAAAAAAAGAGAGAAGGATATTTACGTGGCAGAAGATCAATGGACTTAAAATAATGAGAAATAATGATTCCACAACATATCCATCCAATAGTTGGTATCCTTTGCATTTTGGATATCTCTATGAAATTGTCTATATTACGGCTTAATTATCACTTGAAGTTGTAACAAATGTTATCAGATTGAGTTAAAAACATGGATTTTCACCATCAGAGGTTCATCCAGAATACATAGTTGCGTCATTTGTTATACGTCTTGAGGTTTACGAAACTATCAATTATCGTCATTTATTTTCTAGTAAACCTCGGATACATTTTGTGATAAAGACCCCTTTATAACATCCAAATTTTCAATATTACTTTCCAAATGTGTCTATTCAGCTGTTTTTCATACAATGTCAAATTTTACAGTTCCAAGCGAAAATAATTGGTTCAATGATCAACTTACTAGGACTCATCTTATTCTAATCCAAAACTAGAATTAGCTATGGTCATCAACTAGTTCAACCATTTAGACCTAAGTATGGCCCAAGAAGGGAGGGAGACAGATGCACAGTGTAGAAACTGCAGTCCCTCTCATATAAGATCCTTAAAATGAGGTCCTGTAAGGTCCTCTTTAATAATGGCCCTTAGATTAATCTAACGACACTCATAATTAATAATTTTATCCCTCCATCATACTCCTTGTCTTACTCAAATGCCCATTTATTTTGTTAAAAAAAGAAAGAAAGAAGGGATACACGCTTCGTCTTCCGGCTTCTCTGCACAACCTTTTCTTAATTATGTATCCCTATCTCTCTTTCTTCTTCGCATCTACTGCAATCTTCTTCATCTCTTGGTGCATTTAATTTGGGGCATTTCTATATTCTATGTAATTTGCAAATTGGTCTTCTCTAACTCAAACGACCTCATCTTCAATTTTAGATTACATATTTTTTGCTTTTTTCGCAGTTTATATATGATGGAAGAACACTACTATTAACTAATATAGCAGACTTATCTAGTGTTCCTATCTATTTGTAATTGGTGTTTATCACCCTATTTCTGGTACAAAAACACCACTAATAATCTCGGATATACGTAGAACGTAATGTTATAACTCATTTCATTATCCCTATTTCTAGTAACTAAGCAACATTAATAGTCCCGAATAAACATAGAACGTAATATTATGACTCATTTCACTATTCGAGATTAGGTCATGCCTTTGTACTTTGTTATTAATTACTTGTAATTCGAGAATACTTCTCATAACTTTTTTGTCACTAAATTATATTCAACAGAAATTACTACAAATGTTCAAGTGAAGGGTGCAATGCGAAGAAGAGGGTGGAGAGGGACCCAGAAGAATCGAGCTATGTGATAAGATATGATGGAGTTCACAATCACGGGAGCCCTAGTGTGGTCTATTACAATCAGATGCCTCCTCCTATGGATCCCAACAACATTTGGACATGCGAGCTTCTTCACGGTCTTCGGCTGTTCTCCCTCATTTTCAATATGGCCCTCTAGTTTTAATTTCATCAATTTATATTAGATGGTTTTCATATATGACCAATTTAAGCCTTCTGTTAAGTTGATTATTTAGTCAGACGTTAACCGATGACGTGTCTTTTACAAGGGCTGACACTGTTCACGTAAATAGTAACAGCCCTTAACCTCCCTTTGCCATTTGTCATGACAAATAGGTGGAAATGCTTTTAGTAATGTGAGTGTGGCGTATGAATGTGGTTTAAAGTAGTGCTATAGTCTCCAAATTAATTAGCAGCAGATTTAAATGAGCAAAGTTGAAAAAATAAAAATTAAAAAAAGACCTTTATGGAGCCTGAACCTTGTTTGAAATTTCATGGAACCATCTTCTTTGAAATTTCATGTAGATTGATAACTAGCCTTTTGGTTTGTTTTTTTCATGAGATTTAATCCTAACTTAGTAGCCTTTTTCTTCCAGGTTATGTTTTTTACTTCTATTTTGGTAGAGAAAAGGCCTGTTTGAAATAAAAAAGAGAGATATTCGGTTGGAAAGTCTGAAATGTCCTCAGTATTTACTTTAGTTTAGTTGGTCGGCGACGGCTGTTGGGCCTATGATGGTAACTGAACATAAGAGGCTGAGGTTTTCGTCGCTGGCCAAAGTCTGTCCTCAACTAAACAAACTACATTGGTTACGAATGCCCGGTCCCCAGTTCATACAGGATGTCTTGGCTGCAGATGTCGTGTATGTAACTTTTGTTATCAATAAATTGCATCGCTTATTCTAAAAACAAACAAACAAACGACATTGGAATTTGGGGTTTTAGTTAATTTTAACTTAACTAAATTTATCCGTTAATTATAAGGCTAATACATTCTCACTATTAATGATCTAAATTAAAAGGAGAGACTCTACTTGTATTGGTATCAAATTCTCTCACTTAAATTCATTTAAACAAAATATACAAGAGGATTGAGGTTCAACACACACACACACACACACCATACATGGAGTGATATGTTAAAAGTTAATGAAGTGACAAAAATTGAAACTAGGGTTGATTTTCGAAAGGATCGGATTGGAATTAGAGGATTCCAATTCCAATTTTTTAAAAATCGGAATTTTAACATCCATTTCAATTCGGAAACTAGGAATTTTTGAGTGGAAATTTTTGAAAAATCATTGAAAATCTTAAACATGTCTACCATTTTGAAAGGTTAAAATTGGGTCAAAATTGAAAAATCATACAAAAAAAAACTCGAAAAACTATTATATGCTATCACTTATATGTTGTTATCCTTTATAGAATAGCTCGCCTATGTCTATTCGATCATTAAGTCATATCAAATTCAACATGAAACTAGTCATTATATGTAGTCGTCAATATATTTCATAACTTTCGGATCTCAGAAGGACTTGCCAAAATTGGAAATTTTCAAATTGGAATTAGTGGGATTTGGAATTTCCAATCCAACTTGCACCCTTAACCAAAACCAACTAGTTTGCAGTCCATAGGAAGTTATTATATTAATAATAAGTACATTGATTTCCAAATTCCTAGTGAATTAGCACACTCAGAACTCTTTTTTTTAGTAAAAAAAATTGCAAATGCAACCATTGTTTGTACCATATCTGACCAACCACTCACGTCGTGACACGTGGAACACCCTCAAAGCCGAGACCAGCTCAACCAGGCCATACCGAATGTTCGTTCGGCACGCTGTACCGATTTAAGAGGTCGACTATGCACCATCAGTCCCTTCGCTAACCTTCGGCATGGTATGCCGAGCGACCAACCATCACGTCAATCCAATTCTGTCAGATTACCTCATAACTTCTGCCGGAACCTGTCAGAGCACGTGTCGATCTCCGAAGACACTCCCACGAGTCCTACATCGAAACTAAGTGCCAAGAGCATCACAAATGCTCTCTATAAATAGAGCCCCTTGGCCCAGCCAAGTGGTAAGACTTTCTGACTTGACTAGTGCTTCCACTGTCAATAGAATCGCTCTTAATTATTAACTTTGGCATCGGAGTGCCTTCGGCAGGTACCATACCAGTATCCTCTCCTCAGTTCAGATCCAGCCCCCGCTCGAACCTTAGGACATTACGGAAGAAGGTCATTCCAATCCTCAACCATCAGCACACTTGTAAATTAGCCTAAACTCTTATCTGTTTAGATTTAGCGCGAACAGATTGGCGCTGTCTGTGGGAAGCCGATTGACAATCAGCCCATATCTCCCTTTAACATATGAAACCATGAACCCACCTTCGCCCCTTGCGGCCGAAGGTCCCATCCTCGGCCTCACCGACCGAGAGAACCCTGCTGTGCCACCCGGCACACCTCGAGTGGAAACGCCTGGTCAGCAAAACACCCTGGAAGACAGGATGGAAGCCCTGCAGCGGGAAATGATCAGGATGCAGGAGCACAACAATATCCTCTCATCCAAACTGGACGACACCCAGAAACAGCTTCACGAGTAACAATCACGTTTAACTCCAAAGGAATGCCTTCGGCATCTCCTGGCCAGACGGCAAGCACAAGTCAGCCTTCGGCATCCACCTATGACCGTTTCCCGCCACACCAAACCACTAATCAAGCTTCCTACCGAATGGCACCCACTGTGCCCGCACCTTGCACAATGGGCGATAAGCGAAGGGACTTGTTCCAGGGTCGGCAGGACGGAGGGAAACACAATAAGGGGTTAGGTTGCCGAGACTTCCGAAGTACCAAAAGAGACCGACCGCCGGAGGCCTTCACCATTCTTAACTCAACCTACGAACATGTCCTCATGGTAGAAAATCAGATGATTCAGAAGCCAAGCCTCCGGAAGCTCCCTCGGCAAGTCGACAAGGATACAGGAGTCTTCTGCCGATACCACTAATACAATGGCCACGATACCGAGTCCTGTATCGCCCTCCGAATGAAAAACTGATCAGCGAAGGCAAACTAGACCAGTATCTGAGTGCACAATCGAGTCCCGAGCACCAGGGCAATCGGCAGATCAACATGATCAGCGGCGGTACACCGATCGCTGACTGCAGCCGTCGGTCCGTCAAAAGTTACGTACGTGCCGTTCGGCACCCTCAGGTCCTCAGCCTCACTAAGGAGCGCAACAGCAAAATCCGGCGATTCGGATGGGAACCCATCACCTTTTCCGAAGAAGAAGAGAAGGGCATCATCTTCCCCCATTCCGATCCCATGATCATTCGAGCATACATTGCCGATTTCGACGTAGGCTGAATCCTCATCGACACCGAAAGCTCGATCAACGTACTCTTTGCAGATGCTTTCAATGGCCTCGAAATCGACCATCAAAGACTCAACAAGGAGATCACTCCCCTTCTAAGCTTCTTGGGCGATGTGGTCGAGCCAATCGGGAGCATCCAGCTTCCCCTTGCTGTCGGCTCCGGCTCCAGAAGGGCTTTCATCTATACTCACTTCCTGGTAGTCAACTGTCCAATCGCATACAACGTCATCATTGCCAGGCCCGCCCTCACCCGAATGAAAGCCATTTTGTCACCACATATGCTGCTGCTTAAATTCCCAACACACTCAGGAGTCGGTCAGGTTCGGGGGGACCAATTGAGCGCACGGGTATGCTACATGTCATCCACAACAGAATCAGCAATCCAGGCGTCAAGGCAAAGGCCGCCTGAAGCACTGGCCGTTACCCGCCCAAGCATGCCGAATGGCAAAGGAGGGACTAAACGCCCCGATGACCCCCGGAACGACAACGTCACGCTGCAAGCTCAACCTGCCGAAGAGCTCGAGACGATCTCCATCTCCAACACACAAGATCGGCAGGTCCGAATCGGCACTTCCCTCAGTCCGTCTCTCCGAACCGACTTCATTACCTTTCTAAGGGCTAATTCGGAAGTTTTCGCCTGATCTTACAACGATATGCCTGGGATCTCCCTGGACGTCATAAGCCACAAGCTCAGCATCTCCCCTTCTTTCAAGCCGATTCGACAGAAGAGACGATCCTATGATGCCTAACGATACGAGGCCATGAAGACCGAAGTAGACAAGCTTCAGGCAATCGGCTTCATCCGCGAAGTCACCTACCCCATTTGGCTCACAAACTCAGTCTTGGTGAAGAAATCCGGCGGCGCCTAGTGAATGTGCCAGGATTACACCAATCTGAATAAAGCATGTCCGAAGGATAGCTTTCCACTACCAAGAATTGACCAACTAGTGGACGCCACAGCTAGCCATGAGCTCCTCAGCTTCATGGACACCTACTCCGGCTACAACTAGATTTTCATGCATCCTACGGATCATGAGCATACGGCATTCATTACCGACAGATGTCATGCCATTCGGCCAAAAGAATGCTGGAGCTACATACCAGCGACTGGTCAATAAAATCTTTGCCGAACTCATTGGCACTTCGATGGAAGTCTACGTAGACGATATGCTAGTCAAAAGTCGGACCACCGACGATCATCTTCGAAACCTCTCACTCATGTTCGGCAAGCTAAAAAAATACAACATGCGCCTGAACCCGAGCAAGTGCGCCTGCAGCGTCTCTTTCGGCAAATTCCTAGGCTTCATGATCAGCCAAAGGCGGATTGAAGCCAACCCTGAGAAGATCCAAGCGCTCATCGATATGCGGGTGCCGAGGACGAAGAAGGAGGTTCAAAGCCTTACCGGCCGAGTCGCCTCCTTGGCCCGTTTCATATCAAAGGCCACAGTCCGGTGCGCCCCTTTCTTCAAAGCTCTCAAAGGGAGCAAACGGCAGGTCGATTGGACTTCTGAATGCGACCGAGCATTCGAAGATCTGAAAGCCTACATGAGCAGAGCCCCTCTGCTGTCTACCCTTTTTCCCGATCTCACCATCTATCTCTCGGTCTCTGCATCGGCCCTGAGCTCCGTACTCATCCGTCGACCGAATGGAATTGAGCTCCCCATCTTTTATATGAGCCATGCATTACAGGACGCAGAGCAACGGTACCCCCAACTTGAACAGTTGGCCTACGCTCTCGTCCTCTTTGCGCGCAACTTTGGCCCTACTTTCAGGCTCACAGCATCGACGTATTAACCAATCAACCCCTACAGGAAGTCTTGCAGAAGCCAGAGACATCAGGACGACTGATCAAATGGGTCATCGAGCTTGGCGAGTTCGACATCAAGTATCACCCTCGGCCTTCCCAAAAAGGACAGGCCGTGACCGATTTCATCTCAGAACTCACACTTCCAACCAACAACGGTCAACCAATCGACCTTGTCACGGCACCACCTTCGGCATCTATAGATTCACCTTCGGCCGACAATACGTTCGATCACAACAACCCTTACTGGACATTATATGTGGACGGCTCATCTAATCGGTAGGGTAGCGACGCAGGTCTAGTCCTCAAGACTCCGGATGACACCACAATAGAATATGCTATCCGCTTTCAATTTCGTACTTCCAACAACGAGGCCGAATACGAGGCACTCCTGGCAGGCCTTCGGCTTGCCCAAAGCTCGGGTGCCGAACGGCTGATGATATGTAGCAACTCCCAACTCATCATCAACCAGGTAATCACCGAATTCGAAGCAAAAGACGAATCAATGGCTGCCTATCGAAGATCAACTGGTGAGACACCGTTCTCCCTAGCCTTGGGTACCGAAGCTGTTGTACCGATAGAAGTACATGCGCCCACACGCCGAACGACATCTTACGATCCTCAGCAGAATGAACAGCAGCTCGCCCTCAATCTGGATCTCATTGACAAATGCCGATCGCAAGCGCAGCTCCGGAACGCTAACTGCAAACAACGAACGACTCAGTATTACGACTCGCACGTAAAACACCGATCGTTCAAGATAAGAGACTAGGTTCTGCGTAAAGTGTCTCTAGCAACGAGAAATCCTACTGAAGGCACTCTAGGCCCATCATGGGAAGGACCCTATGAAATTGTCAGCATCTGCCGACCCGGCACTTACCGATTACGGGGCTCCGACGGTCAAACCCTCAGCCACCCTTGGAATGTCGAACATTTAAAATTCTATCACAAGTGATTGGACCTTCGGCCACTACACTTTTGTACAATTTTTCTTTCAACAACATGCTTATAATCGGCATACATGCTTATATTCAACAAAGACAAACACCAAAGCTGATTCAAATTAGACTTGGATATAATTAAAGCCTCAAATTGGGCAATTGTCTTTACAAAATTAGCCGAACGGCCTCCATATCCAAACACTAACTATATGTTACAACAACAAAATGGGCAAGTCGGGCAGCAGTCAAGGAGTTGGAGGATCGGCCACGGGCGGTGCCGGCCCGCCCTCATCCTCTCGGGCACTCAACGGCTCGGCAGGGGGAGTCGTTTCTTCCTCCTCACCGTCCGATTCTGAGCCGCTCGAGGAATCGACTTCGGCATCTTCCCCAAGGTACGCCTCGACCATCTCCTCGGTTACCCTCTCGGGCAACGGCGGCGGATCCCAGACAAAATTCAGGTTCAGTTTTTTATCAGCATTGAAGCGCTTGAACCGGTAGATGAGATCCTCGCATTGCTCCATCACCTCCTTGTCCAGCAATGCCACGAACTCCGGCGAGTTTCGGTACTCAGCTATGGCCTGTTTCTTGGCCTCCTCCAGCTCCGTCGCCTGAGACAGACGCTCGGCCTCCTTCGCCGCCTTTGCCCTCGCCCTCGCCTCTTCGGCATCCACTGCCGCCCTTTCGGCCTCTGCCAACCTGGAGGATAGCTCGGTTATCTTGGCAGCGTTCTCCTCCGCATGTCGATCCGCATCCTGGAGTAGCTTCCCAGCCTCAGCAATTTTGGCTCAGCCCTCCTCGTACTTCCTCTGGATGCGCTCGGCCGCGTTGATAGCCCACTTCATGCCGAGCCACATCTCCATGTTAGCCTGCAAACACAAATACAAACGTTAGCACTTTCCCATCACCTCAACCCTTGGACAAAACTCAGGTAAGCACACTTACGGCAGCTTGGAGGCGAAAGCCACGTCCGGCTTGTTCGCGCATTGACTTCTTTCGCAGCTGCTCCATCTCCGGGAGCTCCATCTAAGCACCGTCGATGAAGCAGTTCACAAACGGTACCACCTTCTGGGGGCAGGCGATGTTCACTGGCTCCGCTTCGGCATCCTCCTCGTCCGACACAAGGACGGCTGCTTCCTCGTTCGGCCCCCTTGGCCTCTTCGGTAGAGGGGTCACATCGAAGGCACCCTCGATCACCCTTTTTCAGGTCACCTGAAGATGGACCTCATGGATCAGCTCGGCCTCCACCACCCTTCTCTCCCGCCGCTGATCGCTCGGCGTTCCCTCCTTCGTTTTCGGCCTCGAGGAACCGGTTTTCTTCTTCTGAGGGGCCTGCTGTTGGTTCAATTCCTAACAACTAAAATGAGTTATTAAAAACAGCAACTTTAATTCTCGCAAGTGTACGAACTATTTATAGTATAGCTTATGTAAATACGAGGTCGATCCCACGGAGAATGGTAACTTGGTTCCAAGTTAAATTACTTCGAATGCTAGAAAATCATAGAACAAGGAAACTGATTAGCTAGCTAAAGGCAAGGTCGAATTCAACAATGCCTCTTGCTAATTACTCAAGGTCTAGGACAGAATCCTAGCACCACACACGCACTCAAAATGGGGGGTTTTGTTGTTGAAATGAAAAAGAAGAAAGTGAAATGAAAGTGCTCGAAAGTAAACCTTGGACAGATTGTGAAACAATAATTGAGAGGTGTTAGAGCCTTGGAATCCACCACTAGTTTTCCTATCCAAGTTATGAATGCATAGAAATTGACTCAAGCTTCATCAACAACAGATTATCGCATACAAGCCTATGGTATCTAGGTGCAAGACGCATGATTCTCCTAAGGCATGTAATTGTGCATGGTATCTACACAACACGTGATCTCTAATATGCAACCTAAGCATGGTATCTACTTAGAATAAAGCATACAAGAGTCATTAAGCTCCTTGAGAATATGATAATCACACAAGTCCTAGAACATGGTATCTGTCCTAGTCAACCTATGGTTATTAACCCCTTGAATGATTCTTAGGCCATTCATGTGTTGCTTGTGAAAGGAGAGTAGAATTGGTGAATCTAAACCCCTTCCCAACATGTGCTAGATGCATAAAATCCTAGTTAGCTACTCTAAGAAAACATACATCAAGCACATAATAAACTGGAGATTAACAACTTGATAATGAAACCAAGGAAATCAATTAACTATAAAATCATCCATAACATTGAATATTCATGACTAGGGCTTCATCCTAAGCCCTAACTAAATGGATTAGTTAGACATAACAATGAATACAGAAAATAAGAAATACATAGATAGGATAAAGAGAGGAGAAGAACTAGGCAGCAAGGAATTCCCAGGACAGCTCCAAGCTCTCTTCTCTCTTTGTGGTGAATCTGAATTTGTGTATGAGAGTAATGGGTGAAGTGAAAATGTGTATCTGACTCTCTCCCCCTTGAATGAGTGTGCAGCCCTCTATTTATAGAGTGAAATTTCGTCCTCCCCTTTGGCTGGTGAAGCACACCTCTCTTAGCTGCTCCCAACAACTCCAGCAGCCCATACTTGCCACCTGCTCCAGATGCCCATACTTGCCACCTGCTCCAGCTGCCAAATACATGCTTTGGTATGGTTTTTTAATGGAAAACTTGACTTTTGTTCATCATTCTGAGTTTCTGAACTGATTTGACTCCCATGTATGGCTGCCCATGCTTAGCACATGGCTCTAGGGATGTAGATGTGATGGCAGCCAGTCATGACATTTTTGTGAACTTGGTTCAGTCTTTGACGTGCTGAGGGCTCCAGATTTATCCAATTGGGCTGAAATTTGGATATGTTATAATAGACACCAATTGGAACAACTTCTATCAAGGATGTCTCCTCATCCGACCTGTGTAAGTTGCTGAAATGAGAACTGCAAGATGACCCACGAAACTGGACTGACAAGGATTGTGGCCCAAATTGGGTTTGTCCTTAAGCTCATATTCCTCTTATCCCAATCAGCCCTTATCAAGCATGGATTGCATCAAATGTGATCTCTTGCTGTCTTAACCTACAAAACACACAAACATAGGTAAGAGACTCAAAATAAAAAGAAGCTAAACAAAATTACTAACCAAAGAAGGCATGCAAATGTGTGAAATTATGACTTTATCACCTGCGACTCGAGCCTTCTCCTCGTCGCTTCAGTCATTGCCCTCCCACCAGCCACTGCACAAAACAAAGGGAAGTTAGAGCAGATCCAGCATACGCCACAATAACATGAAATCATGAAAGGCCGAACGGCATTACTTACTTCACCTCTCTTCCTCTTCTTCCTCCTCTTTCGTTCGGAGGTACTCAGGCTCGCTGATCAGACCCGCTCTGAACAGGTTCTTGTAGTCTAGCAGAGCCTTGTGCACACGACCCTCCTCAGGTATTCTTGACCGAACACGCTCGATCACTTCTATCTCCCTCTTCGTAGCGATCGGTCGTTTCAAAGACACTGAAACACAAAATACAACCTCCAGTTAGCTTCAAAAAAAAAAAAAAAAAAAATAAAAAAAAAAAAAAAAAGGCCAATTGCCTTTCCAAACGGCACCCCATGAGCCTACCGACTGTCTGGAAGGAAGTGGGGATACGCCTCTCCACAATCACTCCCAGCGCCGATTCCCAAGCTCCGGACACAACACCAGACGCCAACGTCAAGTTTTCTGTGAGGTCGGCACCCCGACTACGAAGTGCCCCCTCTGCCCCGCCGACAGACAGTGCAACTGCACCCACCCCTCCTGATCGGCGCTCTTTGCCCTCGTCACACTGTATAGATGGGCGAATTTCTCATAGCTCGACTCCCCCTCACCAGCTATGCCGATTGCTGCCAGGATCTTCTGTACCGAATGTCTCAGCGGTAGCCTAAGCCCGTGCTTGAAGACATTCGTGAAGAAGACAACCTCCCCCTTCGAATTTCTCAACGATTCCAACGACCCTGGGATCCGCATATTTACCAATTCCGGAATGTTGTACAAGGCCCGGATCTTCGCCACCTCCGCTTCGGTTAAAACGTTCGGCTCTAGGTGGTCCACCCCGAACACAAGGTCCTTTGGCTTCACCATCGGTATCCTTTGTCGGCCGGTGACCACCGTCAGCACGTCTTCCCTAAGATCGGCAACCGACACCTCGGCCTTAGCCTCTTCCATTCGACGACCAGATGTCGATGGGTGGGCGTCGTCCGCCCCCACTACTTCCACACTCGAAGTGCTCCCTGTATCGGTGGACACCTCCGACACTTCTCCTCCCTCGGTCTCCTCCAAGTCAGCACATCAAGCCCTGCGGTCGAGCTCTCCAATGCCGATTCTCCATCAAACGCTCTTAGGCTACGACTATAGTCTGATTTGGTGTCTGACCTCTACAAACAAAAGCAACGCAACACTAAACGACATGCTCGAATCAAACCCCTATCCTAGAGCCCAAGAGCTGCCGTTCATCTACGCTCATCTATGTTCTTACGAGTTCTTACTTGTTCATACGTGTTCATAAAAATATACAAGCATTTGATTCATGTCAGGTGGGAAAACATTACCATACCTTGTTTTGCACGGTGGTGGAAGTCGCCGGAAATCGCTCCGCCTTCGCAAACACTCGCCGAAAATCGCCCACAACGCCGCAATGCACTTGCCAGAAATCGCCTCTCACTCAAAACCTCAAGTACCTCCTCTTACCGCCTCTTCCCTCAATTTATAGGACAAGCCTAGCATCGGGAATCGAAACGTCACAAGTTTTCGCAACCTTGCCGACACTTGGCACCCATGCACAGGGGAGCCCAACCGCCCTCACCTCCCCACTTGCGCCTACACTTCAAACATTTCGCCTTCTCCCTTTCTTCTCCTTTTTGAGACAGAGCACAACTTTCACAGCATACGGCAGGCACGCACGGGTCGAGTATTCACTCACCTCTCGTGCCGAACGGCAGGCACGCACGGGTCGAGTTTTCACTTACCCCTCGTGCCGAACGGCAGGCGCGCGTGGTCGAGTTTTCACTTACCTTTAGTGCCGAACGGCAGGCGCACGTGGTCTAGTTTTCACTCACCTTTTGTGCCGAATGGCAGGCGCACATGGTCGAGTTTTCACTCACCTCTCGTGCCGAACGGCAGGCAAGCACGGGTCGAGTTTTCACTCACCTTTCGTGCCGAACGGCAGGCGCACGTGGTCGAGTTTTCACTCCCCTCTCGTGTCGAACAACAGGCGCACGTGGTCGAGTTTTCACTCACATCTCATGCCGAACGGCAGGCATGCACGGGTCGAGTATTCACTTACCCCTCGTGCCGAACGGCAGGCACGCACGGGTCGAGTTTTCACTCCCCTCTTCCTGTCGATTCCCTTCCAATCTTCAACCCAACCTCTTGGCTTGAGGACTTGGGGGACTACATGATCATCACCGGCTTAGAAACGATAGACGCTCGTTCCCAAGTCAGAATGCCGAAGCTCAGGGATAAGCAATTCCCCAACCAAGAAGTCCCTCCTCGATCGGAAACTTGGGGGACTACTGTTTGTACCATATCTGACCAACCACTCACGTCGTGACACGTGGAACACCCTCAAAGCCGAGACCAGCTCAACCGGGCCATACCGAATGTTCGTTCGGCATGCTGTACCGATTCAAGGGGTCGACTATGCACCATTAGTCCCTTCACTAACCTTCGGCATGGGTTGCCGAGCAACCAACCATCACGTCAATCCAATTCTGTCAGATTACCTCAGAACTTCTGCCGGAACCTGTCAGAGCATGTGTCGATCTCCGAAGACACTTCTACAAGTCCCACATCGAAACTAAGTGCCAAGAGCATTACAAATGCTCTCTATAAATAGAGCCCCTTGGCCCAACCAAGTGGTAAGACTTTCTGACTTGACTAGTGCTTCCACTGTCAATAGAATCGCTCTTAGTTATTAGATTTGGCATCGGAGTGCCTTCGGCAGGTACCACACCGTATCCTCTCCTCAGTTCGGATCCAGCCCTCGCTCGAACCTTCGGACATCACGGAAGAAGGTCATTCCAATCCTCAACCATTAGCATACTTGTAAGTTAGCCTAAACTCTTATCTGTTTAGATTTAGCGCGAACAACCATCAAAATGATTACATGCCAATCTGGTGTAGTAATCTAATTTGGGTTATCAAAATTTGGGCATCTTATAGTACTAACTTTACTTTTTAAACCCAAACCCGCCACAACCCGCCTCCTCAAAAGGAGAGTATTTTAGGCATTTCCTAGAATTTCAATTAGTTTGTCAGAGCGAGCCTAGTCTTCTGCAATGCAAGCAAGCTCTTTAGCTAGAGTCAGCGGCAGATCCAGACTTTTTTTTTAAGGGAGGAGCAATATTTAAAAGTCTAAAGCTAAAAATAAAAAACAAAAAAACCTTTATTTCATAACAAATATCTATTATAATAATATATTCTATTATATTGACTGGTTATGGGTTAAAAGGGTTTTTGTTTGTTGTATAATCTTCTATTATATTTTTCGATCAAAATAAAATCTTATATTATATTGAGATTTCTAAATTTTTAATAGGTAACATTTTGATTTTAACTAGGCTGAATTGTTATTTCTTTTTGGATTTAGTGTAGGTGACGATTTGGGTTTATATGACTTGGGTAGTGGGCCCATTGGGGCACTTCTGTATTTCCAATGGCTTAGAACCAACATTAGTGAAACACTGCGTTTCATTAAACATAATGAAACCAGATTTTTTACAACGCCGTTTTAGAAAAAGGAAAATTAGGGCGTCGTAAAAAATAATACCCTGTCATCTTTTATGTACTAAATGAATTTAAATAGACAATGGTTGAATTCTCTACTGTCTACATATGTTATCTGTTAACCCTCAATTCCTCATGGTCTTATGACGTTTTTTGATGTATTGCATTCATGTCATGCTTGTCTTTGTCTTTTTATTATTTCTTTCTTTTCACATTTAAATGAGATTTTCCATGTGTACTTCTGTAAATTTGTCTTAACTGATTACATTTACATTTGCTTGCTTTTTACATGTCATGCCCTTGACATTTTTGTCCGCTCGAGTTCCTTTGTGGAAGGATGGCCTTGATATATGTTTGTGTTGATCACTCACTGATACATGTTTTATTTTTAATCTTTATTTCAGATGGAAAGGGATCAAATCCAGAGTTAACATCAAGATTTCATTACTGATTGCACAGAGCATCCTTGAGGTTATTATCCGATTTTTCTCCATATTCTCCAAGTCTTACATCCAATTTCCCTGTAACTCATGGCTTCAATTACGTGTTCTTGAACTTTTTGTGAGAAATTATTATTTTTATTACTTCAACTTGAGACATCCTAATGTTGACATTCTTGCTTCCTCAAGTTCCTTTGTGGAAGGGTGGTCTTGATTATTGACATGGCACATTGGAACTGGTGTGTCATTGGCTCTTACATATGTGTGTGTTGTTGATCACTGATTACTGATACATGTTTTATTTTGCAAGCTCTCAAAATGAGATAGATTTCATTCATTTCAGATTTTTCTTTTCTTCTGTCGTTTTCTTCCTTCTTTTATCTATTAAATGAATATAAATTGACAATGGTTGAATCCCCTACTGTCTACATATGTTATCTGTTAATCTCCAAGTCCTTTCAAGCGAATCCTCATGGTCTTATGACGTTTTTTGATGTATTGCATTCATGCTTGTCTGTCTTTTTATTATTTCTTTCTTTCTTTCTCTTTTGCACATTTAAATGAGATTTTTCATGTGTAGTTCTGTAAATTTGTCTTAACTGATTACATTTACATCTGCTTGCTTTTTACATGTCATGCCCTTGACATTCTTGTCCGCTCAAGTTCCTTTGTGGAAGGTTGGCCTTGATGTATATGTGTGTGTTGATCACTCACTAATACATGTTTTATTTTCTAATCTTTATTTCAGACTGAAAGGGATCAAATCCAGAATTAACGTCAAGATTTCATTACTGTTTTCATATTCTCATTCTGAAACCGTAAGTCTCAGCATATTTACTATTATTGGTATCCACTCTCTGAATCGGCATCACCTGGTACATCAGAACAACACATCATCAGGAAATGGAAGGAAACAAACAAGTTGGTTTACATGACTTGGAAAGGCAGTACATTTCATTAGCAAATTCCATTAAAAAAAAGTTCAATCATGTGTCTTCCACGTCCTCCCAGCGTTGTATCTTCAGAATTCCAAAATGACTACGACATGTGAGTGAAAAGCTCTGCACACCTCAGTCACCCTCTATAGGCCTCCTTCATATGGGGAAGTAAGGTTTAAACCTCTTATTGAAAGATTACAAACAAAAGTACCTAGATGACTTTGTAATGCGGACCGGGATGGATGAACATTACTATCAGGATAAAATGAAGGGTCAAGAACAAAGAATCAAGAGTTATTACGCAGACCGAATCCTATTGGACAGTGATGACTTTGCAAGAATGATGGTACTTGATGGAGCATTCATTATCCATCTGTTATTGAAGAATTTTTTGGATGAATCTGTCAATGACCTCATATTTGGAAGAGCTTTTTGGCGCAAAGAAAATCACACTGCCTTTTGATGCTGAGGGGACCTCAATATTGAAGCTACCCTTATATTTCTTCGATCCTATATTGTCAACGGAGGGAATGGAAAACCTCTTGGGATCAATAGAACACTTTGTTGATCTCTTCAAGAAAGTGTACGAAGGACCCTTGGACTCACATGTTGGAAAGAAATCCAAACATGAAGTCATACCCAGCTTGACACTTCTATACAAAAAAAGGCACTTGATTTTCAAGCATACAGAGATCTGGCATATCTTTGCTATCAAATGTGGTTTTCCAAATATGAGGTCATCGACAAATTCATCCAAAAAATTCTTCAACAACAGCTCGATAATGAATGCTCCATCAAGTACCATCATTCTTGCAAAGCCATCACTGTCCAATAGGATTCAGTCTGCGTAATAACTCTTGATTCTTTGTTCTTGGCCCTTCATTTTATCCTGATAGTAATGTTCGTCCATCCCGGTCTGCATTACAAAGTCATCTAGGTACTTTTGTTTATAATCTTTCAATAAGGGGTTTAAACCTTCTTTCCCCATATGAAGGGGGCCTATAGAGAGTGACTGAGGGGTGCAGAGCTTTTCACTCACATGTCATAATCTTTTTGGAATTTTGGAGATACAACGCTGGGAGGACGTGGAAGACACACAATTAAACTTTTTTTTCATGGAATTTGCTAATGAAATGTACTGCCTTTCCAAGTCATGTAAACCAACTTGTTTGTTTCCTTCCATTTCCTGATGATGTGCTGTTCTGATGTACCAGATGATGCCGATTCAGAGAGTGGATACCAATAATAATAAATATGCTGAGACTTGCGGTTTCAGAATGAGAATATGACAACAGTAATAAAAGGGTTTCAGAATGGACATGTTTTTATTTAGCAGCAACATGAAATGAGTAAATGTTTAGTGGTCTATCAGAAGACCATAGAAACAGTGACTAACTGAAGTGGAACATAGAGAGCAGGAAACTGGTGCGATGCTTTTTTCACAAAATCGTTAACAAGATAGATTCATCAGCAAGATGTTTTAGTTATCATTGTTAGGAATCGTATTAGCTTTTATGTGAATTCTAGTGCTGTATATTTCACTCCTTGGAGCTATGTGAACTCAAATGTTGTATATCACTGTTAGGAATCGTAGAAGCTTCTATGTGAACTCAAGTGCTGTATATTTCTTGAGCAGAACTTCACTTCTTGGATCTATGAATTTCATGTAGTAGTATGGTTGTGGAGGAAAACTTAACTCGCTTGAATCTGTTTGTGAATTGTTCATTTCAATTGACTGGTATTTGCTTACTTGAAATCTGTGTCTATTCTTATACTGGAAGAGATGAGCTCCTTGTCTTACTCAAACACTCCTTTATTTTGTTTTTTTTTTAAAGAAAAAAGAAAAAAAAAGGGGTATACACTTTGTCTTCCAGCTTTATCGTGTCTTCTTTCTTCTCTGCCCGACCTTTTCTTGATTACGTATCCCCAAGGATTGAAATATCGGCCGATACACCGATATATCTGCCGATATATCGGTATTTTCAACTATCGACATCAATACTGGGGGGTAAGGTCATATATTCCCCTATATCGACGATATATCCCCGATAAGTGTGATATCCTCGATATTTTGCCGATATCCCCGATATTTCCCGATACCCATAACAAAACCCAAAAAAAATTCAGAAGTTTTGAAGGCAATTGAAGCAAATTGAAACCCAAAAATAGCTAATCCTTGCCCAGAACCCTATAATTTATTAATATGATCGAAGAATCTATGCACAATCCACTGTCCATATACCTCCAATCCATAGGCGATCAGTTGATCTATGAGCATAGGAACTAGACCTAGTACTAACTCAAATGAATTTTATAATGGCTATGGTTATGTCATGTCTGATTATAAGGGAACTAGTTATGGAGCTCAAGATGATAAAAAAAAGATTATAGACCTACTAGTTGGTTAATCATAACTATCCTATATATGGGAGGACAATAGGGAGCTCAAGAGAGATCTATGTGCATCATGTTCAAACATGGCTTACAAACTGCTCAGGTTACATGACTTGATATGACTATTATATGAATCTAGATGGTTGTTCCTCATAGGAGCTCTTCATTTATGTAAATGGACACTTATCTAAATTGTAATCCAATGTTTAAACAACTTATGGATTTATGCATGATTTATTCATTCTAATTAACATTTTATTTTCGAACTTTTCATTAACGCGCATTACATATTACTTATATTTCATCATATGTATATCTTATTATTAGTAAATTTTGAGTTTTATTTGTTCAATACATTCATTGATAATGTACATAACATCTATGAAAGTTTTACACCAATATTATGTGTTTCAAAGCCTATATCTGTCATTTTTGTTGATTTTTTCCCGATACCTAAAACGATAACGATATATCCCCCGAAATATCCGTAAATTGAAGGCCCGATATTATCTGCACGGCCGATATTTTAATCCTTGCGTATCCCTATCTCGCTTTCTTCTTCGCATCTACTGCTCGATCTTCTTCGTCTCTTGATGTGTTTAATTTGGGGCTTTTCTCTATTCCATGTAATTTGCTATTTGGTCTTTTCTAACACAAAAGTCCTCATCTTAGCATCTTTTACGTTTGAGATGACCTTAGAATTGGCGATGGTCTTAGAAAGAAGCATTATCCACTTCTTAGAAGGATGAAACTTGCAAGAAAAAGTAGCCTATACTTTATGTCTCTCTTCCCCTTTCCTTCTCCCCAAAATTCATAGATATATTAGTCGGATTGATTGTGAAGTTGAAACTTTTACGATGGTTTTTTCCCTTGGTAGAAATACTTTCATATTGGGCATAGTTCACTCATCATAGTTTCTTGACATCATTTATCTCTGTTCAGTTTATACCAATCCTTAAGCTAACTTCGAAACTCGTTAACAACTTCTATTTCTACTAATATGAAATAAATTTTTCAAGTTGACATTTTATACAATGTATATTGACTACAGAGGGAGAAGCACTTAAGGTTTTGTTAAAGAGGCCATGGCAGCATTACATGATGCAGAGAGCAGAAACATGAGCAAAGAAAAATCAGAAACACCACTAATCACCAAATCCAACAACACATAACAATTGAGGGGGTGGGGTTAGGAAAAATAACACCCATTCTCAAAGTAGAAAACATGAAACACATAACAAGGCCAATGAGGTAAGTTAATCCCCTCAACATACAGTCTACTTGCTCATCAGGCTCTCACACAGCAGTTGAAGTAGCTGAAGATGCTCCTTCGAGTCTGTTCCGAAAACAAACAAAGCCAAATTAAAGATTAAAGTATATGAAAAGGACAGTTCATGATCATGTAGCTGAGTCAAACCCATTCACCATCATAGGGCCCTTTCTTATATAAAAGTAATCCATAATTATTTAGACAACTAATCACTATGTTTTTTTTATAGGAAAAATGGTCCAAATGACATGATTAATTACATAAATGCCATAAGAAACATTCTTAAAATGATTCCTTTCTATTTCTTGTTGGTTGATGACTACATAAAATATATGTAAACCATTGGGAGAAAAGCAAATAGATCATGCATGCATCCTGTGTTTTCCCCCACCCTCTTCCAAACACACACAAACAAATGACATCTTCTCAAATTGACAGATAAATCCACAGACAATACAATTATCGACCAATATTAAATTATATGGCCTAAATCAGCCGGTGCATGTGCACCATTTGGACTTGCGTGTACATATCTAGGATCACTCATTAAATTCTTATTCCAGCATACAGAGGATATCTTTTTCTTTTTTATAGTTTAACTAAACACAACAGATTATTTTAATGGCCTGGAGCATCTCATGCATGTGGAACCACTTTTAAAATTAAATGTAACCTTAATATATTCATAAAAACATTCTAATTTATTTCTATCAATGAACATTGAAGAGGACACAGCTCAAAGATAATCACCACAACGGGTTTTCCGCAGGATTTTTCTGTATGTATATAAAAATAAAAATAAACTTTCCTATGGGACTTTCTCAGACCCAAAAAGACATTTTGCATGTTTCATCAAGGATTTGGTCAATAGGCTTAGCTGATCCCTGAACTAGATGACTTGTATCCTTTATTTAAACTCCCAGGAAGGAAAAAAAAAGTGATCCTTCCCTAAGTAATCCTCATGGGGCAAAAAATCTTTCAAGTATTAAATTTTGGACTCAGCTGCTTTAATAAAGGGTGGTCGATTTCACGATCCCCACCATCCCAACAGTGCTACCACATGCATGCCTCTACCATAATTATTGTTCATAAGCCTACTCTCTCTTCATTTATCACTAGACCAACTACCACTTGTATAGTTGTATCGTAATGCCATTTTATCACATTTAAATACCAAAATAAGAACTGAAAAGAAAGGCCATAAAAGGAATCTCTTACAGTGGGAGAGTGGTGCCTCTGATGGTAATGGGGGTGGTGGTCATTGTGGGGAGGTTCCACATTAGCTGTGTTTGTGGCAATGAGTTCTTCTTCATTTCCAAGACTGGCTCTGGACACATCTCTCTTGTTTTGCTTCCTCATTTCCCTTATTTTGAGAAATCAAGAGAGTAGTCTGGGACTTGGCCCTTCTGATCCCAGTCCCCAAATTGGGGCACTGATAACCATGGGGCATTTTTCTGCATGAAGCAAAGTAGCAATAAATAAATAAAATGTAATTAGTTGCAAATAGGAATCAACATTGCCAATTGAAAATTGCTTTTCTCCATCTTCAATGAGCTTAAACATTAACCATAGAACAAAACAATTTAGACCCACATACATTGGCCACAATTTTTACCATCCATCTAATAGAGATGAGAGAAAACAACCTATTTCAAAGGACCAAAAGACTATTAAATAATATGTATGTTAAGGAGCAGATATGGGCTTAGTCATGTTGACCCCACTGTACCTGAGTATGAATCTCACTCCCCGTAATTTAGATTAGATTATAGTAGAATATCATTTCTATAAAATAATAAAATAAAATAAAAATATAAAATATAAAATCTGTGGGCTAAGGAAACATGAAAAGAAAGCACTCAATCAATAAATAGCAACCTACATGGATAGGATTAAATAATCTGTACGTTCAAACCCAAGTTATAATGAAGAGGTATGAAATAAACACTCATTAACTAGCCATTTCAGGGGGTTGTATTCAATTGTGAGTTTAATGAAATAAACACTCCTCCAAATTCATTGAAGTGATTTTAATAAAGAATTTCACAACACTGTTGTGGAAGACCAACTGGGACAGAGTCATAGGCCAGCCAAGACACGGACTTTTTTGGACTTTGGTTCATGTAGTAAAGACTAAAGAAAGAAAGTAACATGGTTGGTATAAACAGTTTTAAGATTCAAGCTTTGACAAACTCAATCCCTGTATTTCATTCTGTTCTTTCAAAATGACAAATCACATAGTTGAATTGTATTCAAAAGACTCTAAATTGTGACAAACATTGAAATTCAAAACCCTCCAATTATATAAAAAAGGAGACAACTTTGACTGTTTGTAAGCTTTGAAAACGGTAATCATTGCTTCTGTGGATGTCTCAGCGAAGGTCAAAGACTCAACAGCAAAAAAAGCTGCTTTAAGTTTTCAAACTGGAATTAAGAGAAAGAAACAGATGGAAACTTGACCAATAAAATCATAATAATAGATCTAATTTTCTATGGAATTTCAAGCCAATGAACAAATTAAACAGAATTCACAACCCCCCTCCCCACCTCTCCCAAAAAAATGTTTAAGCTCCGTTTGGTTACCCAGAAAACGCAGGAAAACAAAAGATACTATTTACAGAACAGATTTTGAACTCCACACTTGTTGTTTAGTCCAACAGAACCATTTACAAAATTCAAAGAAAATTGCTAACTTGGGTTTCTTTCTTTCACCTTTTGCAACCAAAACAACCCAAACTTCCCTCACTTTTCCTCAGTAATTTTTTTCCCAGAAACCAAACAAACCAACCACAGCCAATAGAAGAAAAAAGAAGAAGAAGAGAATCACCTCCTTTCGATCCTCCATGAGATAAAGACTGGTCTCAGATCCTCAAAGAAACTTGCCCACCGTTATAATCACCAAGATAAATAAAATACAAAGAGGCTACAGACTCTAGAGCTTTGGTGAGAGGGAAAGGAGACTCTCTGTTGCATCAAACTTTTACAGTATCATACACAGCACGGCAGACAAATCAGATATATGTGTATATATAAGAAGAGATTTATTATAATAGACCTCTTCTTTTTGAGTAATTACAGAAGTGCCACTCCTATGACGCGCTTTACTTGCCTCTTTGGTTTGGCCTATCTATCCCTTTTGCTCGGGTGCCGCCTTGTCTGGCTTTGCTTTTGCAAGTTTTGGCCTTGGCTTAGCTGTATGTGCACTCTGTGGACACTTCATTTGTAACTTTCCTTGTTGGTCAGAATGCCTAGTCAACTTTCATGTTATCTGGCATACAAGCATCTTACGCGTGTCGTACGTGGCTTTCTTATCATTTTGGGCCCTAGATAAATCTAGTCCATGGGCTGCCCTAGACGATGAATGCGTAATTGGCATAAATTACATCTCGTGCCATTGGGTGTCAGTAAATAGGGCGGGCACGGTCCAATTCAGTCCGTTTTACCCCAAAATTGAAAATCAAACCAAATAAATAATCAGTTTGATTTGGTTTAATTCGGTTTTGGTTCGGTCCCACATGTTGTATTAGGTTTTAGTTGTGCATTGATTTCATTTTTTTTTGGTTAGGCTTGTCTCATCATTACTTGAATTCAAAGAAAACCAACAATTAAAACAAATATATATTGTGGATAATGGTGTTGTAGGCATGTAAAATGGGTCGGGCCGAATTAGGCCTGCCCTAATAGGCGTTGGCCCAAGCTCTACCTAATAGCGGGTTTGTTTAGCTCTAAGAGTTATACGGGCCAGGTCGGGTCTCTATCTTCAATAAACTAAGTATTTTTGAGCTTATGGGCGGGCCAATGGGCTCGGCCTACATGGCCTTATCAAATGCGCCAATTTTTTTAAAAACATTATTGGCTTATATTTTTAACATGAAATTAAATTTACCTCTCATAATTGTTAACTTTATTATAAATAAATAAAATTAATTTTAATTATATTAAAATAGTGGACAATTATGATTTATGAGATTAAACAACTTTTTTTATTTCATTCAAACTGAGGTTTGGCCCGATTTTAATTTTGGTCACTGCACTTTTAATTTTTCGATTTTGGTCATCACATTTTGCATTGTTAACAAATCAAGTTCAATTGGGAATTTTGTCAGTTAAGACACTTGTGGTGCGTACGTGCAGGGGTATTATTGCCCTTTCACCTCAGCCCCTGAATCAAAACATGATTCTCGCACATTTCTCCCGAAAACAATTTTAGGGTTTTGGGATTGGGGGAAAAGGCGGGTCGATTTTGAGGTTTAGCATACGATTTAGATTCGCAAGTAAGAAGCATACAATTTTTGGAATATTTGGGGTTTGAATTGGGTTTGATTCAGCTCTATTGCTATCGGGGACTTTCGTGAAGAAGCAAACATGGTGAATTCCAAAGGTGTGGACCCAAAGAAAGCTCCAATTCATCCAAGTGAGTTTTTGAGTTAATATACGAATTTATTGTTGTTGTGACGTTGGTTTATTGTTGTTTTTGGTGTGTTGTGGTAGTATTTTATATCCATTCATCACATGTGAAATGGACTGAGCATGGTGGATGAATAGTGTAAGGTGGAAAAAAGATCTTGCTTGTAGAGAGGGTTGTCTGGTAGTGCTTTAGGAATATAATTTGGATGTTTTTAAATTCTTTTTTTGTCAAAATATAATATGTCCGCTATTGTTAACTATATGCCAAAAAAGTAAATTTTTTCAGATGATTGACACTTTATTATGGAGTTAAGATATGTTGGTAAATTCATGAACAATGGGAAGGATTATGAGGGAGGCACAATAGATGTTTATGATAATATTAATCCAGATAGGTTTTCTACAACAGAATTAAGGGATATTATGAAGCAAAGTGGGATTCAAAATTGCAGAGGATTTTATTACACTTTTGTTGGTAAGGGAGTGCATGAAGGGGTATTAGGGTTGAATTCAGATGCTGAAATTTTAGATATGTTATCTGTCATCTTTATCAATCTGCATATCGTGGTATATGTAGATCATGAGGTTGATGTGCTTGACATTATTGAGGAGAATTACAGCCAATCACAACAGACAGAATATGAGTAATTCTTTAATGATATTCCAGATGAATGCTTCAGTCAAGTAAATGAGAATTATGTTGAGGTTGTTGCTGTTGATGACGATGAGGAAGATGATGTTGTTGAGGCTAGTGGTGAGGCTTCACTTCATAGTGTTCCCATATATGAAGACATTGGTGATGAGTCTGCCAAATAAATTTATGATGAGGAAAATGATGCAGCTCTTGAGGATGATAATATTTTTATGCACAATGTTCAAATTCCCAAGGTTCCAGTGTATGTTGAAAAAAAGATGAAGAAACAAGAAAATGGTGGTTCCCTTATAAAAACCCCACCCTTGGGGAAGATCCACAAGACTCCTTAGTCTAATACAAATCCACTATAGAACGATGATTACAAGAAGTACTCACACATTTATCCTAGACACATTCTAGATAATGTTTACCAACTTCTTCGTAACTCAACTTCTATCAGGGGATGATCTTTTGACACTCCTTATATTGAACGCAATACTGGTCACGATTGCTTCAAGCTCGTCGGAGGAAAACTGTCACCACGATCTTGGTGCCCTCAACCGTATGAGTCACGGAACATGCAAATGAATACAATATGAATGATGAAAGTATTTGATAAATCACCAAGTAAACATGGAACACTTGATGACTTATCTCAAAGATATGCACAACATATTTTCTTAGAAATTCTATATGCTTTAAACAAATATATCAAAGCTGTGTTTTGTAAAAGGGAAGCACACCATGTTTTATACATAATCCATACTCCTCTTTGCAAGAGAAGGGCAAAAAGCTACAAATCAATATCTTGCCATTAATTAGATTTGATACTCTTAGAATCTTAATTGATTTCGTCAGCTCTATGACTTTCACTCTAACCAATTGTTTATAGAAGGAAACAATATTAATCATGGAAATCAATTTGGTATTAAAAGAAACATGTTCTCCAAGTCAAACATGAAAAAGGATATTTTTACTTAAACCAAAATAAAGTCCAACTAGGAAAATAATCTCAATAGATAAAGTCTAATCCTATTAAAATATGTCTAATATAAAAGCACTTGAGTGAAAATAACTCCAATTAGGAATCCTATAATGAATGCATGTTTATGTCATGATTTACTTGAAATTAGTTTCCTCATATCAATCAAGTCACACTTCGAAAATTCGGAGTTGAATGTGTTGCGCCAAAACTTTCAGTAAAAAATATTCACACACTAATTCCCCACCTATGCTAAAATCTAGGAAATGCCAATACAATTTTCATACTAACACAAAGTATATGAAATGCAAGTGAAACCTATGGGCTTCTTTCATGGCAGATGGAACTTTGCAAATTAAGAGCATGGCAGAGACACATACGTGTAGCATAAGTTATAGCAACCCTCAAGCTACTGCAAGTTGCCTTGCTAAAAAATATCTTGATCGAATTAGAGATGAGCCCAAGATGGGGTTGAGGTTATTCCAAGCTCTTATTAAGAGGTAGATAGGGTATGAGGTCAGTTTGAGTATATATGATCAGTGCATAATTGTATGCCATTTTGTACCCTTCTAGCATATGGATTTGGTTATGTTTTTAGTTAAACTTGTGCTTTTAATCTCTTTTGTGTTTAACATTCAGTTCATTAAGCTTTAGGCAGCAATGGTGGTTTTGAATAGGAAAAGGAGTAAGATGGTGCAAAAGCGTGTAGACTAAGCTACAAACTTGTTTCAGACTTAACATCTTCATCCGACCTTGGATTGGCCCAAATGACATGTGGTTGGAAAGATGACATTCTGAGCTTCAAGTTAGAGGGCTTAAAGCCGTCAATTGCTGAAGGAAAGCCCAATTCATGAGCCCATGAAATTAATGGTTATGCTGAGCTAGGCATGAGATATTTTTGCTAGTGGGATTGTTGGTGGGCAGACAAGATGAAGTGCATCAGCTAAAAGATATAAGACAAGATGAAGTGGGAGATGTAGTACTAAGCATTATAAGCTAAATTATTTTCAAATGCAATTGTGCGTTAGGTGGAGTGGGTGTAGTTGGTGGATTCAATTGTATAATCTAAATTCATCTACCCCCTGTGCTTATAAATAAAGAGTCTTTAAGGAGCTGGGGATTCATTCACATTCCATCACATTGTACACATAGAGAAGGAGAGTTGAGTCACAAAGGGAGATAAGAGAGTAGGCAGAAGTTGGGAGGCTTTGGCCTCCTGGCAGCCATGGAAATAAATCTTTTCCATCTCTAGCATCTTCTTCTCCTCCCTTTGCCTTTTATTTTCTTCTTGTATTTCCTTAGCTTTACTTTGTCTTTCTATTTAATAAACACATTGTAATTTTATGCTATTGTTATGAACATGATGATTTTAAGTTTTTGAATTTTGATTGGTTTCCAAGTTTCAATTATTGTTCTTGTTCTTATTCATTATGCTTATCAGTTGATATGCTTGTTTGAATGTTTGATAACCATTTAAACTTGTATGTTAGCTAGCTTGGTTGGAATTAAGAGTAGACACCATTTATCTTAATTTGAATTGTGTGAGAAATTTAATATTAAAGTCCTTGGGTTAAGACATGACCGTTGGGTTATTATAATAGCCCATCTTCAAATAGGGGATGACAACTCTTCATATATGTTTGGAACCCTATTATAGACCTAAGGATGCATTGTTTGCCTTTTCAGATTGGGATACCTTTTTGGAAAAGGTATTTCATCATCTATAAATATAACAATCCTCTTGCAGTCATTTTATTCTATTAATTCACTATATATAGGCTTCCATATATAGAAGGCATTGAAGTTTTCATATTCACAGAGAGAGGTTCTTGCATAATTTGGTTCAAAGTTCCTTGTGAATTGTAATGTTTCTTTCATAAGGAGGGGAGTCGTTGTATCTTAAGAGGCGAACGCTAATAAACCATAAGCACTAGTATGGAGGCGTAATTTGTCTTCAGGTCAGAGTGTCCAACACTTGCCTCGACTCAATTAAGGTTCTTCTATTTCAATTTTCCTTTTGTAAAAATTTGTTCTGTTTGCAGTATTTATTTATTTTATAGCAATTTAGCACTGATATTTCTAACAAATTGAACTATGAATAGGAAGAGTGTATGGAAATGCGACAACAGGGATTAGATACATGCTTGGTTGTTTAAAATGTTCTCCTATACTTAATGGATTTCTAATGCTTAATTTAGGTTCAACAACAATGATCTAATTAGGGAATCAGGAATACAAAGTTTAGACCAGACACCATGGCTAAATTATACATGAGAGAAATCAATCTTTTTACTTGAATTGAACTTGTTAATTTGATTGCTTGAGACTTAGAATTGGATTGTTCCCTAAGTTCTAACACTGTTTTCAAACCCAAAATCAGTTTTAGTGTCTATTTCTTTTATTTAATTTTATGTTTTCAATTCTTGTGCTCTTCTATATCATCTTTAAACCTTGTTTCCATTTATGTTTTGTGCAGGGAATCGAATTGAATCAATCTATCATTAATCCTCGTTGGATCGACCTTGCACTTACATATGCTATACTACCCAACATTTCGTGCACTTGAGAGTATCACAAGTTAAGGATGCAACTGAATCGATTTTGGCGCAACTAAATTCGACACAACAATATGTGGTAGGGCTAGGCAGAAGGCTATTGAAATCATTAAGGGTACTTATGGTTCACAATACTCTAAGTTGTGGGAGTGTTGTGCAGAGGTTAGGGAAACCAATGTGGGCAGCACTATAATGATAAAAATTGAAGCCCCTTATTTCCAAAGGCTTTATGTGTGTTTGGATGCCTACAGAAAAGACTTTCTAGCTAGATGTAGACCTATCATAGGTGTTTATGAGTGTCATTTGAAGGGCATATTCCAAGGTATGAATCTCCTTCTGATTTTCTTATTATAACTACATTATCATAGGGCAATTTCTTATCCAAAGCATGTGAATCCATGTTACACTAACTATGTTAATGTATGACAGGGCAATTTCTTGTGGTAGTAGGTATTAATGCAAATTACAATATCTACCCAATTGCTTATGTTGTGGCTAAGTTGGAGACCAAAGAAACATGGTGTTGGTTCCTTCAATTGCTTATTGAGGATTTGGGTCTTGTTAGTGTACATGTATGAACTTTCATTTCAGACCAACAAAATGTAGTTTAATATTCTTAGTTTAATCTTTAGGGTTTAATATGCTTAGTTTAATATACTTATTTAATATTCTTAGTTTAATATCGTAGGGATTAGATGTTGCATTTGATTTAGTTGTGCCTAAAGCAGCACATAGTTGGTGTGTCAGACATCTTTATGGGAATTTCAAGACATTGCATAAGGGAAAAGTTTTGAAAGATTTGTTATGGAATGCTGCCAAAGCACCAAATGTGGCTGAGTTTGAGTGTGAGATGAACAAGATGAAGGAATTAGAGAGTGGTGAAGCTGCACATGATTGTTGATGAATATGGACATAAACAAATGGGTTAGGCATGCATTTACTATAAGGATTAAGTGTGATATGTTATTGAATAACCTCTGTGAATGTTTTAATTCTTGGATTCTGCAAGCAAGGGATAAACTCATCCTCACCATGTTAGAAATGATTAGATGCAACCCAATGAGGAGGTTACAAGTTAAGAATGATTCTATAAGGGGTCATGAACAGCCAATTTGTCCTACAATCCAGAATAAACTTGACGAGCTCAAGTCATTGTCCAGGAAATGTGTCAATGTACTCTGGAAATGGCTTGTTCCAAGTGAGGGAGTCAATAGCAGATCAATATGTTGTCGACTGCAATAGATGGGATCTCACTAGCATTCCTTGCCACCATGCCGTTGTTGCAATTTTCCGAAATAGGGAAAATGCTAAGGTATATGTGGATCCATATTACACCAATGGGACATACATGAGGGCTTACGAATCTATCCTCAATCCTGTCAAAGCTATACACATGTGGCTTATGATGTAGATTTTTGAACACCTAAAAAAGAGTATCCAAAAATCACAAATTAAATTACTCGCAAGCGGATGAATCAACAATAGTATAGAGATATGCAAGTACGAGGTCGAATCCACAAGGACTGATAAAAACAACATAATTAATTAAATCGCACTAAACCTAATTAAAAGAATGATTGATTGATTTGAGGTTAAATAGCAAGAATTAAAAGAAAGAAAAATTAAATACTCAACAAAGAATTTTTAAAAAATCAAGTTATGAATGCACCAATGACAATCCTATTTCCTTTTCTTAGAGCCAATTACTATCCAATTATTATGCCAATGTTAAAGGTTGTTCTTTCTAAAGTATGAAGTAAGCATGTCAATATCATAAATCGTGTATCCCTATATGCAATTCTACCCTGTCAAGGTGTTAAAATTTAGCATACAAATACCTGTTAAGATTAGAAGAATTCAATAAACCAAGTATGACTAGTGGATGGCGTTTCTCTCCTAGCTATCTACTCTTCTTAGACTTAGTTCCAATAAATCTAGTGGATGTCGTTTCTCTCCTAAATTTATCCAATTATCTAGATGCAAAGTTCCTAATGGTGATCAAGTAAGGCTTCATCATAAACCTTAGAAAGGAATTTAGTTACACATAGTCATAATAAAATCATAAGAAAAGTCATGAAGAAATAAAACCTGGAAAATAATGGTGTTGTGCACGCTTAAGCTCTCTGTCGTCTCTTGAATGGAAATTGTGTAAAAGGTAGTTAGAGAGAGCTTAAGGTAGCCTTATATAGTGCAAAAATAACTAAACCCTAATCTCAAAAGATCTCGAAAAACTCTCCTAAAACAAAACAAAACCCTAAACAATTAAGGAAACAAACTAGGAAAGAATCCTTCTTTGACTGGGAAACACGTTAGCTGAATTGCACGAAATCTTTGGGGTCGTTCAACTTCCTAGAAAAATTTGGAAAAATATGGAAAACGTAGCTTTATCTATTAGCTTTCTAGGGACATATTACACGTCACTTATAAAAATCAGGAAAATCTTCAAATGTTCAATCTCCCATAGCAACACAGTTTTGACGGGAATGCAGTTTTGGCTATCTTGACTTGTAGTTCTGGAATTAGCTTCCTAGAAAATTATGAAAATTTGACACAATGATCTTCAATGTCTTAGCTTTCTTCTCCAACTGGCCTTGTGCTAAAACTGCAACGAAAAGTCAATTTTCCATCAAAAACCTTCTAAGAGTGCAGAAAGTTGAAAAATAAGGAAAGTAAAGTAATAATGCTCTTTTTAATCAACATTCCATACAAAAACCAAATATAAATGGTCTAAAAATTTAAGAAATAAGGCACTTATCAGCTTAAGAAGACTCAAGTTCCACTACTACCTCCAATGGTTAAAAAAGCAGCCAGGAAGGCCAAAGAAAAAGAGGATAATAAAGGATCTAGAGATAGAAAAGAAAGATCCATAATGTGAGAAAATAAGGCTGAAATGAAAATGTGGCACAGTCACATGACGAAGATGCTCGAAAAAGGGTCATAACAAAGGGAGTTGCAAAAATAAACCAAAGCGTGCTCCTAAAGGAGTTTATATTGACAACTAAGTGCCTGTTTGGCATTGCTTATTTGGGGTGATAAAGTGATTTTAAAAAATGTTGGGAAGCCTCGTCCGTTGGTAAACTATGAGAAAATCACTTATTATTAAAAATTGATGTGAGAGAAAGCAGCTAACGAGGTGCTTTCATTTTGTGATTATGCAGGAATCAGTTTTGAAGAGGCGCTATATGGCAATCATTTTCTGATTATGCGGGAATCAATACCAACAACATTTTTAACAAAAAGTTTAGCAAACGCCAAACTGCTTTATCTTACAGTTGATTTCTCTCACAACAAATCTGACAGAGATTATTTTTACAGCACATCAATGTCAAACTGGCCCTAAAACCCCATATGCTGCAAATGTTAGCCAAACCCCATCTGCTGCAAATGTTAGTCAAACCTCACCTACTGCAATTGTTAGTCAAACCCCACCTCATTCAATACCTAATTTGGGTAGAATTCATAAGCTACCAGTAAGTCATGCTTAGTATTTTTCTTTATTAATTACTGATTGTGTACATATATATAAGTAGCATGTAAAGATGTATAATTTGTTGTTGTGTTATTACAGCTGAGGAAAAAATATGTGTCCAACACTCAAAGAAGATAAGGAGGCAAATATTAGAATGCTGGAGTAGTAAGACATTTGCCTATATTGATGACTTATGTTGATGAAATTTTGTTGACTTATGTTTTTCTCATTAAATATTTATATTATCATTATATTTTCCAATTGCATACTCGTCCACCATCACCACCTGCCCCGAACCACCATGCCCATAGGTCCTAGAGGTGGAACTTTCATCACACCTGCTTATGATACAATTAGAATGAGGCCACCCATTCCTCCACCTACTTCTGCTCAAAGTCAGAATGCACATGATTCTAGTGGACTGAGGTGAACTAGAAATTCTCCTCCATGGAAATTAACAGGAAAGGAAGCTATTAGAAAATAAGGCATATTCCAAAGAAGCAGAAGACCTGATTTTAAAGGGATGAGACTTTTTTTATTTTTATTTTTATTTTTATGTAGACTGATATAATTCAGATATTGTATTTTGCCTTATTTTGTGAACTATGGCCAAGTCCGTGTACTGTAGCATGTGTATATTGCTTCTAAAGACATTGTATTTTGGCTTATTTTGTTAATCATGACCAAGTTTGTATACAGCAACATGTGTATGTTGGTTTGTGTACTACACCATGTGTATGTTTCCATTCCATTTCATTTCATTTAAGCCAAATAATGTAAGAACCAAAACAAGAGCTGAATGTTTTCATTTCATGACTAGAAATTTACAACCTCTGAGACATGTCTTTCCCCAAATTTTAATCACAATGTTACAACCAAAATGTTTGAGCAACCAAAACATGTCTTTACCCAAATTGAAGCACTATCTAAGCACCTCATTTTTTTAACTAAATTGAAAACCACATTGATAGTAATCAAGATACAAATAATCAACAACATCTCTTTTTTTTCTTTCAACAGATTCAAAACATCTCCAACTTGTAATTGCATAGATTGAAACAACACGTCCCAGCTACCATTGTTTTCTATCCGTTGTGAGTCTCTAAAGATTATATCTTCCCTCTCTTTTGTTTTGTCAACATCATCACACCATACGAAACCTTTGCATCCAGCACCTTCGTACATCATACATCCACTTTGCATAACCACAACATCCATATCATAAAATAAAACTAATTCAAAATCATGGATTACATATTTCCTTGTAGACTTCCAGAAATATTTGTTGTAATGTTGTTTTGTAGTTGATAGAAATAATTTCATTTCAGCTCCACATAAAGGGTACCTCAATCCATGAAAAGATGAAGTAGACATCTACAAACTACAAGAAACGCAGCTAATTGTAAGAACTGAAATAATAATAATAATAAAAAATACAAGAAATAGGCAAATTTAGAAACTAAAATCGACATATAACCAAATCAGACAAGAAATTACCACCAAAATGGATGAATTCCTACCTGAAATTGATGATTCCCTTTCAAATCGTGACCTCGCCTATCAAATCTTCATCAATTGGATGATATTGAACCTTATACCTCCAAATTGACCAGCCTTTTCCCCAAATTCCAGAACCCTAATTTTTTTTTCGGGGGAGAAATCAGGCGCGACAATGGTGTTTTGATTCAGGGGTTGAGGCAAAGTGTAATAAAACCCTTGCACACACGTACCATGTGCGTCTTAACTGACGGAATTCCCAATTTGACTTGTTTTGTTAACGGAATTCCAAATAGTTAAAGGCTATTAAGTCAATGTCATTTTCTCAAAAAAAAACTCTAAGAAATAACGTTAATAAATTTTATAGGAAATGAAGCTAATAAGTCTAAAACTCTCCAATTCTCTAATTCTCATATTGCAGTCAAGTTTCTCATTCATCTAATTTACAATTTTGCTCTTAAATCCTCTTCATATATTGGATTAATTACAATTTTGGTCACTCGAGTTTGGCTTGATTTTAATTTTGGTCACCGTAATTTTAATTTATCAATTTTGGAATGTCATATTTGAAATTGGCAATTATTAAATAAAGAAGGGGGGAGGGGGGGGGGGGGGGGGGGGGGGTGTGTGGGGGGGTGGGGATCCATATTGTAAAGACTTTTATCAAGTGAGTGACTTTTATAGAGTTGACAAATTCTTAAATACTTTCATATAGTTGATAAAAGTCACTAGTAAATTGGCAAGACTTTTGCCATTAACAATTAGCCTGAAAAGTATGGAAAAGTCATTCATTTAATAAGCTTTTTAGATACCACCAAACTTGTAAATACTTTTTAAAACTCACAACTAAACACCACCAAACTTTTAAATACTTTTAAATACATTTTAAAAGTCACAATTGAATACCACTAGACTTTTATAAACTCTTTAAAAATCTAAATTGAATACCTCCATACTTTAAATTATATAAAGTCATTAAAAGTTTGAATTGGATACTCCTAAGTGTTTTACAAAAGGATTATTTTAGAATTGGGGATTACAAACTTTAGAGCATCTCCAAGGGAGATGTCAATTGCAAAATGTTAAATTTGAATTTGATGACTTATGTGGCAATTTAACACTTTGGGAAAAATTGAACTCCACCCCAAATATCAAATATCATATTATTTTATTATATTTTTAAAAGCAAATGAGTCCATATGATGCATAAAGTTTGAAAATAGAGTAAATGACAATGGGTCCATGACAAAAGAATATTTGACATCAAATTCATATAGAATTTGACTATTCAGTTGGAGCAACTTTAACTTTTAATTTTTATCATTTCATGTCCATGTGACAATTTGACATATTGGTCGAAGATGTTCTTTACGGCCCTATTTAGTTCATGGGAAAGGAGACTTGTGAATGAGAAATCAATTTTTTTATCATGTTTAGTAAGTCCAGGCATGGTAAATTGTTGCTTGACCCATAAGAAAGTAGAGGGGAAAGTGAAGCCATCCTCCCAACTTAAGTTTTGTTTTCCTTCATCATGAGAAAGTTTGGAAAAATGAGTCAATATTAAATAAACATTTTTCATGACTATTTTGTCTACATTAACAATTTAAAATTACAATATATCATTAAATGCATTCTTTTTTTATTTGATTTAATATGGGTATAATTGAAAATGTATACAAACTTTGTTTTCTATTCCTACTTAAAACAAACATAAGAAATGAAATAAAGTGATATCTCTCAATTACTTTCCCAGCATTACCAAATGTAGAAAATTAATCTTCTATTTTCCATCTCTTGGGAAATGACATGGAAAATGATTTCCTCTCAAATTCATTCCGTGAACTAAACGGGGCCTACAAGTAATGCAATAAGGAATTTACAATTTTAGGCTTTAGTTCAGTAAAAGTACCAAAATATCCCTAAACCCTAATAGAGTGGAAAGATCTTGTTACCTTTATATTTCTCGGTTCCCCTATTTATTTGTGTTCCTCCAGTTCCTCTGTAACCCGTGTTTCCACTTGGGCGCCGTCACCAGCTCCCCAAAGAAACCCTAACCCCCAAATCCCCAATCTCTCTATCTGAGACGCCTCCATCCACCCACAAAATGGGGAGAAAACGAAAGCTCGACGCCAACAACACCGAGTCCTCCGAGCCCTCCAAGAAACAACAACCGGTCGTTGAAGAAGAGGAACCCAAACCCCAAAACGAACCAGCAGAGGAAGTAGTCGAAGAAGAAGAAGAGGAAGAAGTTGAAGAAGAAGAAGAGGAGGAAGATGAACCGGAAGAAGACAAAGAAGATGAAGGAGAGGAAGAGGAAGAGGACGAGGATGAAGAAGAACCTGGTGTTGAGTATAAGCAAAACGAGAACGTGACGACGACGTCCACGTCGGCAGCTTCGGATCTGGCCGGTGACGGTGCCGACGAGGATGAGCCGATCCAGAATCTTCTAGAACCCTTCAGCAAGGACCAGCTTATTGCCCTGCTCCGCGAAGCAGCCGATACGCATGGTGACGTATCTGATCGGATCCGTAAGGTTGCAGATGAGGACCCGATCCACCGCAAGATCTTCGTCCACGGGCTCGGATGGGACACCAACGCCGAAACCCTAACCAGCGTGTTTAAGGAGTACGGTGAGATTGAGGATTGCAAGGCTGTGTGCGATAAGGTCTCTGGTAAGTCCAAGGGTTATGGCTTCATTCTTTTCAAGACTCGTTCTGGGGCTCGAAAAGCCCTAAAGCAGCCGCAGAAGAAGATCGGCAATCGGATGACTGCGTGCCAGCTGGCGGCTATTGGCCCAGGCCCGGCTCCGAGTGCCGCTGCCGCTGTGCCTGTGGCGGTCCAGGCGGCCCAGTCACAGACAGTGTCGGAGTACACGCAGAGGAAGATCTATGTGAGCAATGTTGGGGCTGACTTGGAACCCCAGAAGCTGCTGATGTTCTTTTCTAGGTTTGGAGAAATTGAGGAAGGGCCACTGGGGCTTGATAAGATGACTGGGAGGCCTAAAGGATTTTGTTTGTTTGTGTATAAGTCGCCAGAGAGTGCAAAGAGGGCATTGGAAGAGCCGCACAAGAATTTTGACGGCCACATTTTGCATTGCCAGAAGGCTATTGACGGTCCAAAGCCGGTCAAGTCTCAGCACCCGAACCAGCACCACCACAAATCCCATAATTCCAAGTTTCAGAGGAATGAGAATCCGGGTTATGTTGGTGGAGCTGCGGCAGGAATGGGGCATTTGATGGCGCCAGCAAGTGGTGGGATTGGGTTTAACCAGGGTGCTGCGGCCGCCCAGGCATTGAATCCCGCACTTGGGCAGGCACTGACTGCATTGTTTGCGACTCAGGGGGCTGGTTTGGGGCTGACAAACCTTTTGGGAACTTTTGGAACGGCTCCGAATGTGAACCCAGGTGTTCCTGGTGCAGGACATGCCATACAGGGTGGGTATGCGAATCAGGCAAGTATAAGCCCTGGAATGATGGGAAGCTATGGAAATCAAGGTGCAATGCAAGGTGGCTACCCGAACCCGCAGATAGGGCAAGGTGGTTCAGGAAGAGGGCAGCATGGTGTTGGGCAATCTGGTGGCGCTCCTTACTTGGGGCATTAGGTGCCCCTGAGGTATAACAAAATCACTCTTTTACTTGGTAATTTTAGTTATTCTCACGTGCACACCACAACTGATCACAAAGTCACTCTTATACTATTCCTTTTTTGGTAGTCAAATACTATTTGTACTTTAGTAAGTTTAATTGAACGAGTGTAGAAGATTTAATTGTATAGGCTAATAGGAAATAGAACATCATTGGTTGAATCCTATTCATTTTCATCTACTAGGTTACTGAAGGCTATTAGGGTTTTGAAGTTTTAGATGCCATCTATTGTCAATGCAGGGGTGATTCCGTTGCGAGGAAAGGCCTGGGGTATAATTTGTTGTGTGAAAACACATTGAGTTTTGGTTTTAGATGACAGAAACTTTGGCTTGCTGGGTATTTAGATTGATTTTCAAGAACTGAATAAGTGACTTTTCAATTGATCAAGGGAGTGTGCGGTCTTTTGAGCAATTCTTTTAGAATTGTTAGATCTTTTTCAATATTATTGCTTCTTTATTACAGCTCCTTAAGATGGATACTTTCTTGTCAAAGTGCTTGAATTTAAGCATTTTGAATTATCTAATGTTTTTGCAGCAAGTTGATATCATTTTTGCATTTAGAAATTAACTGTCGAGACCAGTTCGCCTTTTGACTTTGAAGTCTTAACTTGTATTCATTTTAAAGGGATTTTGGGTTTTAAACCTTTCATCTCTTTTGAAATTATTTTTCACAATTTTTTATTAAATGTGCAGATCCCAAATAGGTGCATCAGTGTTTTTGTACTGGTCTGGTGATTCTTCTGAAGTTTAAAAGGAGCTGATGGTTACTACAAAGAGCAGAATCTTAAAACTGTCAAATGAAATTTCTGTTTTCCTTCCCTTTTCTGTCTTTTCCTTCTTCAAAGTACTGTAGTTTTTTTAATTTTATTTGTTTGAAAGCTCAAGAGTTTGAGAAATTCTCTTATAAACCTATCTGTATTTTATGGAGTCGCGAGGTTGAACAAAAATACTTTTTAAATTCCCAATCCTATGGATTAAATGAACTTTATAATGTAGTTTTTCTTCTGCAATGCTCATTGTTAACTTTGTTTATTAATGCTCTTTTATTGTTTTTTATTGGTTTTGAATAATTTTCTTGTATTTAACCCCACAATTTTATCATCTATAGTATATTTGATGGATCTTTCTAAACTGTGTTTTTGTCAGCTCTAAATGGTACTGAATGGTGCCCTATGAGTCATGATATTTTTGTGTGAAACATCAGACTTCTTACGATTCGCTTTAGATGATAACATGATCTTATTGTTTACTGTAGTCCTTTTGGCAGGTAATGTGATGCAGGTTGTGAGGCCATAGAAAATCTATTGTTAGGTTTTTAAGAGTTTTGAAGTAGGAGCTGTGATCAGTTTTCAAGTAAATGCTTCTTAATATAAAAGTTGGTCATCTGGCCATGGGTATAGAGCTTGTAGCTGAATATAGAATAATGGTGTGGTGGAGCTGGTGTTTATGTTCAGTTACCAACTCTAATATCATAATCTTAATACCCATGAGTGAAACAAAGTTCATTGACTTCAGGATGTTGATAGTTCTCACAAAATAATTTATAGGCTTCGTGGAATGGAGGTAAGACAATGAACTTAAGATATTGCTGTTTTTTGCTGTATATTTTTTGGTTAAAAGAAGCTTGTCCGGCACCATTGGTTTCAAAATACATTTAAAGTGATTTGGTCTGGTTGGGACAGGATTCGAACTCGCAATCTTCAGGTTATGATGGGGTTGATGAGTTGATCAATCCTCTATCCCGTGCCTTCCCACTTCCCTTTCTTTCATTAGTTCTACTCAGGTCTACCCCTTACCTCTCCTTCATTACTCTTGCATGGTCGGGATATACAGCTGAACTTCCGAAATTATCGTCTTTTTGTTAAGTAACACTAGTTTTGCATTGATAAATTTTGGGTCAGCAGAACAAGGGACTCATGTTCTGCATGCATATATAGAAGTCAATTGAACTTCCTTATCGAAGGTCTTTCTAAAGCTGCTTCGCAATCTCATCCTTGGTTGTTGAACCTAATGGAGGTTCAATCCATGGATCCACTGTAAAAGTAAAACTTCGGATATGATAGATGGGAACTACTTGACGATAGTTGCCGTTTTCTCAAGCAAGATTTGTAATCATGTATCTGTGTGCTTGTCCTAGCGAGAGAAGATCACATGTGGATGTTTTGAATGAGCGGTGCCCAAGTGACCGCAACCCTTGTACATGCCGGAAGTCACATCCAGGGAGTTGGTTTTGCTCACTGTATTGAACAAATGGTCACCCAAGTACTATTACTTAAATGTGCAAACGTTGTTAGAGTCTTGGCTTGTCTCCATTGAATATTTCTGTTCTGGATTTTGTCGGAGGGTTGTATTCTGGGCTAGAATGTTAGATGTTGGAACGAAGTGAAAGCTGGTCTATTGAAAATTTTATACAGTTGTGATAAGAGCTTCATACATGATTAGAATATCAGGTTGTGCACTGCAGTTTTGAAATATTTGTAGTTTCACTTTGGTTGCGTTCTTACCTTTGGATGTGAAAGTAAAAAAGATTGTTATGATATAATTTTAAGCATTTAGTCTCAATATTATGGCCTTTGCTAACATTGCCCTAGGAAATGCTTTTACCGGATGTGTCTCTCTTAAAATATTTAACTACATTCTTTATAGTAAAAAACACTTGTCAAACTGTTCATTCAACTGCAAAAAAGAAAGAAAAAGATATTTAGTTATATATCCATTCTTAGCACTAATAATTAGATAAATTCTATATCATTTAATTTTTATAAACAAATCCAAAAAAAACTCAAAAAAATGACAGTTAGTTTTATTGAATTTTATTTTGATTATTAAATTATTTTGATACCATATTGAGTGTTTTGGGTTTTAAAATGAGGTTTTGGAGTTGGATTTATTTTAATAAATCGATGACAGTTTTGTAATTTATAATAAATTAAAAGTCTTTTTGTTAGGTTGTAAATGAAATTTGGATGTGTTTCTAAAATCCATTTTATATAGGGTTTTGTTATAATTTGTGTCCTAATATTGTGTATAATAGTAAATCTCTAAAAAAAAAACACAATTCTCCTTGTTTTAGTTGTGTGCGTTTTTTATAGCTTTTTTTTTTAATAGAAAAAAAAACTGCTTCTATATAACGAAGTGGAATTAATTTGTTCTTTGATTTCAAAAGTTCAGGCGTTATTTTGTTAAAAAAAAAAAAAAAAAAAAAAAAAATTAGAAGCTTATTAATTGTGATTTTTTCCTTAGATTTGTTGAAATGAACTAATATACTTTTCTATTCTTCTTTTTATCTAAGAAAGAGGGATTCCAACAAATCTACCCTCCCAGATTTAATTATTCAAATGAAGTATTGAACTTTATCAATGTGTCTAATATCAAATGATTACAATTACAATGAATTGATAAGTTTTTGCATGAACACATGCATATGGGCGACTACTTAATTTATTAGCCTGTTTCACATGTTTTTTTTATTCTTCCATGGTCCTCCCTATGCTAAGTCAAGTTACCACAACGTTGATTCGGCAGCCGGTGTAATTTTGTCAGTTTGGTTTGGTTCGGTTTCCCAACACTAAGAGCATTTTCACCCCATGTGCTATGGTGTTATTAACGCGAATAGTGCCTGTCATAACAATTTTTTTTATTGTTTTTCCACTACATGCCATAACAAAGGGGGGGAAAAAAAAAAGAAAAGGAAATAGCCTAAAATGCCACCCATTCTTAATTTTTGTACAACTACCACCTATAAATATAAAATTATTGTCCACTTATTGTACCCATATCAGTTTTTGAGAAATTGGCTTCTCTCTCTAACTCTCTTCGCTCTATCTCTTCGGCCCGTCTCTCTCCCTCGTGTACCTCTCTCTCTTCGACGCAATCGTCTTTCTCCCTCAACGGTGGTTGTTCATCCAAGCGTAACTCCATCATTGACATCCACGAGGTACTGTTCATAACCATTTTCTTTGAAATTTGGGGTTTTTGCGAATTTGGTTTATGGTGTATGAATTTGTAAGAAATTGGTTTAAGGTTTTAGTGTTTAGGGGTTGCTCAGAAATTGGGTTTGAGTTTATGGGTTTCTATGAACTGGGTAATAACTCACACCCACTCTCACTCGCTCGCAGGCACTGTTCACAGAAATCAAACTCTTCATTTTGTCACAGAACATTTGGGCTTCGTTCACCTTTCTCCCACTCTCACTAGAAGTTTTTTAATTTGAATTTATGAATTAAGAACTAAAAACTCATAATATGCAGAAAATGACATACATTCTCCAGAATCGACTTTGAGATCTCTTTATGCTCTAGCAATTTATCGTCCAAATTTTGGACTCTCTGTGTCAGGTGCTTCTTTGTGTTCTGTCCAGCATAAGAATGTTTAATACAGTGATTTCAATTGTTAAAATCTCATCAAACAATATAGATAGTTGGGACTTACCCAGACAAAGGTGAACGAAGCCCAAACGTTCTGTGATAAAATGAAGAGTTTGATTTCTGTGAACAGTGCCTGCGAGCGAGTGAGAGTGGGTGTGAGTTATTACCCAGTTCATAGAAACCCATAAACTCAAACCCAATTTTTGAGCAACCCCTAAACACTAAAACCCTAAACCAATTTCTTACAAATCCATACACCATAAACCAAATTCACAAAAACCCCAAATTTCAAAGAAAATGGTTATGAACAGTACCTCGTGGATGTCAACAATGGAGTTACGCTTGGATGAACAGCCACCGTTGAGGGAGAAAGACGATTGCGTCGAAGAGAGAGAGGTACAGGAGGGAGAGAGACGGGCCGAAGAGATAGAGCGAAGAGAGTTAGAGAGAAAAGTCAATTTCTGAAAAACTGATAGGGGTACAATAAGTGGACAATAATTTTATATTTATAGGTGGTAGTTGTACAAAAATTAGGAAGATGTGGTATTTTTAGTTAAAATTATGAAATGGGTGGCATTTTAAGCTATTTCCCAAAAAAAAAAGGGCTCTGGTACATCGTTAGTACTGAGATGGCATCCCAAGCCAATAGAAAGAAGACACCTGTGTTATTGTGTCCACGTCAGATCAGACTAAAACAGAACAACTCTCCCAAATCGTCATCTCCGTCGCCGTCTCCTCTCTCTCTCTCTCTCTTTCTCTCTCTCTCATCACACCAGTTAAGTTGACATGCTTGGTGCATCTCACCCAACTATTTGGTTCCCTTTCTCAGCTTAGTAGCTTCCCAACACTGAGGGCGATTGATTGGGGTTTAAAAAGGTAATTTATAGCCTCCCTCCCTCCTTGGACTTTCATTTTTACTCATGGATTGATTTAGTTAATGGATCCATCATCCATCCATCTAGGGTTTACTTGCTTCTATTTCTTCTTCAACGGAAAATCAAAAGATTTTTTATTTAATTCATCATGGATGCAAAGTCAATTGTATTTGAATGAATGAAAACCTCTGTCCAAGTTGATTTCCATCCAATTGTTGCTCAATTTTCTTTTTCAAAATTTTACTCTCGTTATGACTTTCTCTAATTTGAATTATTCTATGTGTAGATAGATGGGGGGATATCAATTGATAGGCACTTCACAGAAGCTTTGATTGAGACATCACCAGCCTTCATTTGCACTACCTTTTCAAAGCTCCGTCAATGGCATACTTCAACCTCTCTTTCCTCGCCCTCCTCCTCCTCCTCCTGCCCCCCCTCGCTCTCCTTCTCATCCTCTACCTCATAGTCCGGCCCCGCCCTGTCAAGATCCCAATCAAGAACCGCCACGTGTTCATCACCGGAGGTTCCAGCGGAATCGGGCTGGCATTGGCCCATCACGCCGCCTCCGAGGGTGCCCGAGTCTCCATCCTCGCCCGCTCCATCGACAAGCTCAAGGAAGCAAAGAACTACATCCAACTCTCCACGGGCATTGACGTGTCGATCTTCTCTGCTGACGTTCGTGACTACGATGCAGTATCAAAAGCGGTGGAGGAGGCAGGCCCCATTGATGTGCTGATTGTCAACCAAGGGGTCTTCGTCCCTGAAGAACTTGAGAAGCAGGGATTGGATGAGGTGAAGTTCATGGTGGACGTAAATCTGATTGGCAGCTTCAACATGATCAAAGCTGCTTTGCCCAAAATGAAGAAAGGAGACAGTATGCCCCGTTCGATTGCTCTCATGTCTTCCCAAGCTGGTCAAGTTGGTATCTACGGCTACACAGCTTACTCTGCGAGCAAGTTTGGGCTTCGTGGGTTGGCCGAAGCTCTGCAACAAGAGGTGATATCTCATGATATTCATGTTTCTCTTATATTCCCTCCGGACACAGACACCCCTGGTCTCACTGAAGGTAAAATGTGAATAAAGTTGTTTACTTTCCATGTGAGATTTTCTTGATTTGATTGAATTGGATTTGATTTTTCATTCACTCTGATTTTGATATTAACTTCTTCTTGTAGAGACGAAAAAGCGGCCGCAATTGACTAGCATTATAGCTGAGTCGTCAGGGGTGATGAAAGCTGAAGAAGTTGCGAAGAAGGCTTTTGAGGGGATCAAGTCTGCTTCTTTTATTGTGCCTTGTAACCTTGAAGGGGTGTTGCTGTCTATTGCCACTGCTGGGATGTCTCCTCAGAGATCGTTTGTTATGGCATTTGTTGAAGTGGTTGCTGCTGGTTTGGTTCGTCTTGTTGCTCTGTTTTTCCAGTGGAATTGGTATAATGGTATACACACGTGGCATGCACAGAACAAAAGTGAGTATTGTTTCGTATCAGCAGTTGAAATGATCTGTTTTTCAGTGTTCAGTTTGATGTTACTGCACATGTTTCTTGGATACAATTGCCATGTCTAAAAAATCTTTGTTGTTATTATGTTGACTTAATCAAAACTGCAAAGTTTGATGATTGGTGCTGCTGGTTATATATTTTCGTGTATTTCAGATGTTAGATGTTTCATGCATTTAAGTTAATCATAATGCTTAGTGTTTCACAACCTTTGCATTTCAAGACAAGCTATATGTTAGAGAGAGAGATTAATATCATTTCCTTGATGGTTCTGGTTTCATGTTTCTGATATGGACCAAGTATAACAAAGACGAATAGATGCACCAGTTAGAAAGAGTGACGTAAGCAACATAGATGCCAGGGGTTAGGGGGCAGCGGAAGACTAAAATTAACATGGTGGAAAATCACAGATAGTCGAAAGATGTAATTCTGTATGACTTATGAAAATATGGTCGATGATTTGATGGAACAGAGAACTGAGATTCATGTAGCTGACCTCAAATGGTTGGGAGCTTGGGACTTGTCACTATTAGATGGCAGGAGATCAAAGTGAAATTTACCTGCATGCAGCTTCTATTTTTGTCATAGAATATTGAAATTCTAGTACTGGTTTCCCATTGTATCTAGAGCCCCCTTTTCGTCCAATGTAAAGTAACAGTCTGAAAATTTGATCTTTTCTTTTCCTGTGTTAATTTCCTTGCATTTTTTTTTTGGCTATAATTGAAAATTGACCAGTTCTTGCTTTTTCTATGATTTTTAATTTCAGGGGCCTGAAGTTGGTGCATTGTAAGGGCACTTCTTACACTGCAGCTGTTGGTTGCTGGATACTTTGGTTCTTCGAGTCACTGACCTTCACAGAAGGTGGTTTTGGCTATCGAATTCGCACTGAGCATCGCTTAGCATTTGGTATTTGGTACTGCTTGAGGAAACTTGTTTTTTACCTCCACCAGTCTTCCTTAAATTAAGACCGTTGTCGTTCCAGGGCATTTGGTATGTTAAATCTTCATTGCTGACTCTGATAGATACCTGGAGTTGTAGGCACAGGAAATTGAAATCACTCTTGAGATTAGGTTTTGCCTTCTTTTCCCCCCCGACATAAATTCAATAATATGTTCTGATGAAATAATTTGCTGGATTGGAATTTCATTGCGGTAGACTCAAAACTTCACCTATACTGGTGCATCTGAAAACTCAACTTGCACTGCGTGAATAAGTAGAGGTATTTCCAATACTTGTTCTCTTTCCATTTTAGTTACATCACTTACACCCGCAAAGATGAGAAGAAAGTGGCATACAAGTTATTTAGGTTTGGACATTGTTTTACAGTGTTTGTTGAAATATAAACCAGTAGTGAAATTATTCTGCGGATCAAACGCTTGGGAATTTCGGGTTTGTTTTTTAAAACCTATGTTCAAAAGAATTAAATACAAATTTGAAACGTTCTAGTCCTTACCAAGTATAATATCAGTGAAAGAATATAAACAGTATCTGGTAATTTTCATGTGGATTGTTGATTAAAGGACTAGGAAATGGCTACAAGAGTTTTGTAGCTCAAATTGTTCACAACATTTTTTTTTCAGACGAAACATTTATTTCTACCCTCCTGGTGGTTCTGTATGTGATTCCTCTATCTTTTAATATTGCTTGTATAAAGAAAAAAGAAGAAGAAATGAAATGAAGAATGATGAAATTAGAGATATTTAGTCATATACCCATTCTTAGCACTAATGATATAAATGAACCTTACACCATTTAATTATAACAAAAAAAAAAAAAAAAAAAAAAAAAAAAAAAAAAATAAAACAATAAATAAATGACATTTGGCCCACCTATATTAATTTTGATTTATTATTAATTAATTTGATGCCTTATTAAGTGTTTTTGGTTTTTTTTTTTTTAATGAGGTTTTAAAGTTGGGCTTGTTTTAAGAAATCGATAATAGTTTTGTAATTTATAAAAAGTTAAAGGCCTCTATGTTGTAAATGAGTTTTGGGTGTGTTTCTAAAGTCTATTTCATATATGGTTTTTTTTTAAGGGAGTTTCACTAAAACACCCAAAATGGGGGTTGAAATTATAAAAAAACCCAACACCCAAAACACTTTATAAACACACCCAAAATCCATCATTACACACACTCAAAACTCATTTATAAACACACCCAAAAAATATACAATTGTTGATTTTGGAGTTGATTTTGGATGTGTTTCTATGTTTAAATAGTGTTTGAGTTTTTTTATAAATACATGTCTAGAATTGGGTTTATTTATAAATTTATATAATTGTTAATAATTTGAGCCTCTATATTAGATATAATAATGAATCTCCCCTGAAATTATGGGCTAGGTAGGCTCAGTAATTGGAGGTATTATAGTGTGGTATTAGAGTACAACTACGTGGTATAAGTTGTATATGATATTTATTGATTTTATGAATTAAAAGTGAAAATGTTGAGCCATGTGTGAAATGGGGATAGTTATTCTCGAGCAATTACAATATGCCAAGTAAAATCGTGATTAGTTGGGATGGTACTGTTTTGCTATCTAGTGCCATGCGTGTACGATTTATGTGACGTGACTATTCCACTTGCTATTCATTTTCCATTCATTGTGAGGCTAGTTGTTGATTTTTGACTGCAAAACTTTCATCCCATTCAATGTTGTTGAATGAAAATATGTTATGGGGACGTGGCTTGAGGATACCCTCACAATGAATAGCACGTGGCATTCGATGAAGGGATATGTTATCAATTTCTGAGGATCTCCTTGCAGAATCTGCACCACGAAACTCGTATTGCAGCGGCGTGTCTTTTTAGTTATGTTTATTTTTCGCGGCTACAAAATATTCAGAATGTCTTTTACTTCTAATTTTCAGAGGTAACTGTACAATGGATGACATTGACTTCTATACGGTGCGGGTTCGAATTTGGAACTAAAATTTTGAGTCTTTATTCTTGTTTTTTTTTTCTCTCCATTTATAATAAATATGAAAACTCTCTCTGAACGTGGACAGGATTTTACTAAAATTTTCAGTCGTTAATTCTTGGCTTCGTTTTATTAACTCTTTTTTGTCATCTTGACGTTAATTTTTTATTTTGATTAGTTTGATTATCGTGTTAAGGTGATCTTTGGTTCAAATTTGAGATCAATGATTATCGTGTCAAGATAATTATTATTATTTTAATACAAAGGATAGTCTAAACTACAAAAGGGACACGTTTCTCATAAATATGCAGATCAATGCTCTTTTTCACTAAGCTAAACCCGTTGACGTGCTAAGTTGATTAAGAGCTCGTTTGAGAGTGCTTCTTCTCGAAGTGCTTATGTCAGTAGCGTTTATGCCAAACATAAGTGCTTCTATAAAGAAGCAGTTTGTCGTTTGGATGTCACATTTAAAAGTGCTTTCCCAAAATATTATAATAAACATATGAAATAAAAATTAACAGAATTCCAAAATAAAAACACGGCTTTAAAAAGTTGTGAAATGTAAAGATAGTGATGGATTAATAGAAGCTTAAAGGTTTCCATGGGTGTTTTGGCGTTTGATAGGTTTTGGCATCTGTTAGCTTTTTTGCGGGTAGTGTTTTGGTTTTAATAGGAGAGAAAAAGAGAGGGGGAAAAAAAAAGAAGGTATCTTGGCATTTAAAAAAATTAAATATGAGTATTTTTGGCATTTTAAAAGTTTCATTAAAAGGAGCCAAGTACTTCTCTTGTTTTTGTCCTGCAGCACTTTTAAGAAGAAGCATCTCTCAAGTGCTTCTTCCAAAACCACTCTAAGTGCTTTTGGATCTCATCCAAAGCGATTTTGCAATTTTTGCCAAATACAATTTTTAAAAGACAGAAGCGCTTTTACTTATTTAGAAGCGCTTTTCGCTGCTCCAAAAACACTCCCAAACGAGCTCTAAATCACAACACAAATATAAAAAAGAAAGTTGAATGGGATTAACAAATATAAAAGGTTGTCATTGACAATATAGAATGTACTTCTAACAAAAAAATATAAAATATACCGTCTTCGGCTACCATTTTCCAATATCGTAAACAATGATAAATAGAAAAAGATTTGAAGCAAAAAGAAAAAAAAAAGACAATTAGAATAAAAACAGAAAACAAGTAGTGTAATTTTCTATCCATTCTCTGTCTCTCTCTAACTATTTTTACGAGGGTATTTTGAAGTCCACACATTTCACCAATATATTCGTATTCGTGGGCTGAGAGTTTCTCTCACAGAGAACGAGAAAGAAACTCAACACTCTGCCCTCTACCTCTCTTTCTCTCTCACACCTTAATATTTCTCCAATTCATGTCCACCAAAACTTGTGCTTATCTTCTCCAAAGCCTCTCACTCACCAAACAAATTTCCCCCGCTTTCTCACTTCCCAGCCATGGATTTGACTTCTAAGCTTCACCGCCTTGACCTCCGCTCGAGCTTCCTCACTGGTTCAGCCCCTTTCGATGCCCGAATGACCGCTTTCCCACCTCGGCTTTGCTCAGTTTCAATTCGAATAGCTGCTCAATCAACTAGAGGTAACAACACCAATTCTATCAAAACCACTAATTTATACAAACCCAGAAGGCCGAATGCTAAAATTCCAACCCGGATATCGGCTTTGGCCGTCGAAACATCGGTAGCCGAAACTACGGCCGAAAACGATATTGAATCTTTGTTTTCGGATAATTCTAAGAACGAATTTGAGCATAAACGTGGTAAAAAGAATTCAAATTCCGGAGCTTCAGGTATTTCTTCTGGTGTTAAGCTTGAAAATGTGAGGAAGAGCTATAAGGGTGTGACTGTATTGAAAGATGTGAGTTGGGAAGTGAAAAAGGGGGACAAAGTTGGATTGGTAGGTGTAAATGGAGCAGGGAAAACAACCCAAATGAGAATTATTGCTGGTTTAGAAGAACCAGATTCTGGGAATGTAATAAAGGCGAAACCCAATATGAAAATTGCGTTTTTGAGTCAAGAGTTCGAGGTTTCGTTGAGCAAGACAGTGAAGGAGGAGTTTATGAGTGCGTTTAAGGAGGAGATGGAGATAGCAGAGAAGTTGGAGAAGGTACAAAAGGCGTTGGGGAATTCGGAAAAAGATTTGGTGTTGATGGGAAGGCTTTTGGATGAGTTTGATAAGCTTCAGAATCGGGCACAGGCAGTTGACTTGGATATGGTTGATGCAAAGATTAATAAGTTGATGCCTGAACTTGGGTTTGCTCCAGAGGATTCGGATAGATTGGTGGCCTCATTTAGCAGTGGTTGGCAGATGAGAATGTCACTTGGAAAGATTTTACTTCAGGTATATTAACTATCCTATTCATCAGGGGTATTTTATGTGTTGGATTATCTATGTTGGTGTAGGAAGCTGAATTATAGCTTCAAGTTTTCTTATGTATGGTGGATATCTTTCTACATGATTTTCATTCTTGCTACGACAGTATTATTCCCCTTTTTGTTATTGCAGAAAATGGTTTCAGGGCAATTGTTTATTAGAAGTTTATAAGGAAATTGCTAACATAAACTTCTGAAGAGCGAGATTCTGTTTCCAACAAATATCTGTTTCATACAACTTATGATATTTGTTTATGTGAGGCGAATTTGACAAACAACACAAAAAGTTAGCAGACTAATCATTAGTGGTTTATCCCTTTTTCACATGGTAATATGGATAGCATGTGTAAGCTGACTGTTTTATCTTCAGGAGCCGGATTTACTACTCTTGGATGAGCCGACTAATCACCTTGACCTTGACACAATTGAGTGGCTTGAGGATTATCTCAATCAGCAAGATGTGCCAATGGTTATCATATCTCATGATCGAGCTTTTCTTGATCAGTTGTGTACAAAAATAGTGGAAACTGATATGGGTGTCTCCAGGACATATGATGGAAATTACTCCGAGTATTTTATTGCAAAGGCAGCATGGATTGAAACTCAAAATGCTGCTTGGGAGAAGCAGCAGAAGGAAATTGAGCAGACAAAAGACTTGATACAAAGGTTGGGTGCTGGAGCAAATTCCGGCCGTGCTTCTTCCGCTGAAAAGGTACGCTGAGATTTACCAGACTAGGACATAAATTGAGGTGCAATTCCAAAAGAAACTAAATACACCAATCTAACCTGGACAATCAGTTGTTGTTGCATCATTTTCTCTGTTTAACAACAATACAACCTAGCTGTTTTAATTTTCTTTTCTCAGTCATGAACACTTAAGAGTGGTGAGAAATATTCATTCCAAAACAAAGTGTTTCTCAAACTGTTCGTTCAGTGGGCTTGTAGTCTGTCTCATCCAATCATTGTTGACCAAAACAAACTAAATGTTGCATAAAATTTTCTTTATTTAATTTTTGATACCTAATGCTTCTTGTTCATCATGATACTCAATAGAAATACTAAACATACATGATTGTTGATTATATCTATTTGATGTCCCTAAAATATTTGTATGTATTGCTCTCTATGGCATGATATTTAATTTACTGCCTACTTCAATTCTTTATCTAACATTCTCTCTATTGTCAACAACAGAAGCTGGAGAAACTTCAGGAAGAGGATCTAATTGAAAGGCCGTTCCAGAGGAAACAAATGAAGATCAGGTTTCCTGAGCGGGGACGAAGCGGAAGATTTGTTGCAACAATAAAGAATCTGGAATTCGGCTTTGAGGACAAGGTGGGTTGACATATGTATTTTTAAACTATTCATCTGCAAATTTTATACTTTGTTGAAGAGAAATGGGACAAGTAGTTAATATTTGTCAATCTGTGTTTTGTACCAGGTCCTATTTAACAGGGCAAATCTTACAATTGAAAAGGGAGAGAAAATTGCCATTATTGGCCCAAATGGATGTGGAAAGAGTACTTTGCTGAAACTAATAATGGGTTTACAAAAGCCAATAGCAGGTGAAGTGGAGATTGGCGAGCATAATGTCCTCCCAAACTATTTTGAGCAAAATCAGGTGCGTTACTATAATTTATATAATGGTACTTTGATTTAATTACTACCATGATGCTTCTAGATTTCCTCACATAAATTTTTATTTCCATTTTATCGAAGTTTCTTTGTTCTTTACAGTATGCTTTGCCTGGCAATATTGCTGGTGTTAACCTATTTCATGTATTTTTTAGGCTGAGGCGCTTGATTTAAATAAAACAGTGCTTGAGACAGTAGAAGAAGCTGCAGAGGACTGGAGACTTGATGATATAAAGGGTCTCCTTGGGCGTTGTAATTTCAAATCTGATATGCTTGATAGAAAGGTTTCCCTCTTGAGTGGTGGCGAGAAGGTAATTTAAAAGGATTGCAATGGTCTTCTCTATATCTTTTCCTTCCCAGCGAGGAATTAACTTTAATGTTTGTGAAGGTTTAAATTTCTTTATGTTTTTCCTTCATTCTACTTTGTGCTTGCATATACGAATAGCCTGCACTATACACGGAAGTAAATGTGTCAATATCCCAAAACAAATGGAGGGCATGAAAAAATCGATTGATTGCTGAACAAGATGATGGTTTAACAGTTTGTCTTTCACTTTTGTTAGGCGCGCCTTGCCTTTTGCAAGTTCATGGTAAAGCCATCGACTCTGCTAGTTCTGGATGAACCAACAAATCACTTGGATATTCCTTCAAAAGAGATGCTTGAGGTATATCTCACATTTTTCTTTCCATTCTCTGTCTACAATGAATGTTTTGTATTACTTCAGCTTCTCAGCATCACTTTGCCTATAATAATATGGCCTCTAATTGCTACTTCAGGAGGCAATAACGGAGTACAAGGGCACTGTCATCACAGTTTCTCATGACCGATACTTCATAAAGCAGATAGTTAATAGAGTAGTGGAAGTTAAAGATCGCAAGTTGCAAAATTATGCAGGCGATTACAATGTAAGCATTCTATCTACCCTCACTGTACCCGAATTAAAGGATGTAATTTATGGATTTATCTTAATAATTTTCGAAAAGAAATGAGCTGAAGTCGAAGATTATCTCAGCATCTTGCAGCTGAGCCTCAACCAAATTATGATTCATGAAGTATTTAACTTGATAGTTTACTCAGATTGATGACTCCCCCTTAGCAGATTGTTATGCCCTTAATTGTTGTCCTAGGATGATTTGATACCATCATATCAATTTCCTAATTATTCAAGTAACAAAGTAGAATTATCATGCCGTGACATAGATCCGTTTGCTTAATCCCTCTTTTATTTCTAATCTAAGCAGACAGAAAACTTAATGATCTGTTGTGATCCCATTTAGAGAGTCTGGAGTTTATTCAAAAACTAAATTGATTATGCAGTTGCTTATTTGATCAGTGATTCTAACCTTGAACTTTTATGACCTGCAGTATTATCTAGAGAAGAATCTTGATGCTAGGGAAAGAGAGCTTGAGCGCGAGGCAGAGATTGAAGAAAAGGCTCCGAAAGTGAAAGCCAAATCAAAGATGTCTAAGGTAAGCTTTTGTCCATTATGAAACGAGGAAATTCATATATTTCAGTGCAGCACTCTGAGCCGATACTATGTTTGTTTTCCTCTGTAGGCTGAAAAGGAAGCTCGGAAGAAGCAAAAGATGCAGGCATTTCAGCAAGCAAAGGCAAAATCAAAAGGAACAAAGAATGCCAAGAGATGGAATTAAGTGAACCTTTGAGTATCATTGAAGATCCTCCACATTAAACTAATTTTATTTCTTCTAGGAATAGGAGATGAAGTGGCCTTTTGTGACCCAGCTATTCATGTATATATATAAAATATATATAACAGTTGATATGTTAATAGATTTACAGGTTTTGATTTAGAACCAAGGCTGCAACACGAATCATGTACCTGAAGCTTCTGCGTTTTGTTAATAACGGCAAAAGGATGAGAACAGGTTTGATTTTCCTGTTTAGAGTTTAGACTTTTAGATACACTTGCAACCTTGCTTCTTCACTTAATCAAACTGAGCCCTACAGTAGGCCTGCCTAAATAAACCACTAACTCTCTGTGTTAGATCATGTTTAAAGGAGAGCCAATGATCAATTAATTTAACGACACCCAATCTCCGTGTTCGAGGTCTTGAGTTCAAATTTTACGAGCTACAGTCTAATCACAAACACAAAAAAACAAAAAGAGATCAAGGGTCTGCGAGAATTTGATCAAAGTTAATTAAAACTCAATAATGCGGTCCATGAATTCTTTGATATAAAAAAACACTCTTTGCACTAGTAGCAAAAGAAAAACTTACACTTCGCACCACTAAAGTGTGATGATCTATTTAAGAAAACAGCTGAGTGAGGTAAAAGACGAATATACCCGTACAACTCTAAAACAAATAAAATACATCATGTTGGATATGCCGACAAAATGAAAACACAAAACCGCTGAGAAATCTTAAACAGGCAGTCTAAGCTCAGAAAACTCTCCTCAAAAGTAATAAAAACGAGATAATCATCTAAAAGACAAGCTCGTGAGGCTTCATGCCTGACTTAAGAGAGAATCTCGCTGCTAAGTATGTCTTCAAGTCTGGGACGGCGTCAATCGACTTTATCAATGAGGCATCCACACTTTTCTGATCATCTTTCTTTTCTTGTGGGAGCACATTCTTTTCCTACAATTTGTGGTTGGGAAAATATTAATACAAGCAAGAAATTATTCGACTGGAATCTGGCATGTTAATGGATACTATTCTCTAACATTTAGGAGACTCCTGGATAAAAAAACTTAAACATAACAAGAATAAAAGGATCCGAGCAGTAGCAAGCAGATGACGTCCTATGAAGAATTAAAAGTTACTTTATTTACTGAAAGGAGTGGAGAGATGCAATGAAAAGAGAGACCAAAAATTATAGAATGTCTGATCAAAGTGAAAGAATTAAGAGACACTGATGGCACTGCGACATTGTACAACAATACAACTCTATATAGACAATAGCAATAACAGATATAAATTTGCTGAAGAAATTATAAAACTAACCTCTTTCTCTGCCTCAAAAAATTCTCCCTCTCCCTTATTTTTCTTCTTCTCCACTTGCTTTGCAAAGTATTTGTCATCAAACTTCTCAACATTCACTCCAGAAATGTCAACCTTGGTGGAAGTGGCAATCACATAGGACTGGTTCACGCGTCTTAAAGGAACACCATTAATTTTGAATGGCCCTGCAATGGCATACAGCGAGCATTCAAGTTAGAAATACACTTCCCTGAATGTACCTATGAAAACAAAAAAAAACAAAAAAGGTATAGAATTAAAAAGCCCTTTATAACAGGTCTAGTGAAGCTACATTTGAAAGCGTATGTACACTCACAAAATCTTGTAATGGAACAGAGATCATATTTTTAAGCAGAAACACATCCACATTAAAGTAACTGTGTGATTAGACATTTGGTGACATTTTGTAAATTGATGCAATCACATATGCTGGTACAGAAGGGTGATTCCCTTGGCTTCCACACCTTTATCTTTCCCCAAAATATCCCCCTTATAAACAATAAAACTTCATTTTCCACGAATGATTCCATCTTTGGTGAAATTTCAGGTGAAAAAAGAAACACGCACAATGGCACTAATTGGGGTTTAGGGTTTAGTGCCGACTACCCTATTGAACTATGGTACTACCCCACTCAAACTACCTATGACCCTACAAACTATCTACTTTACACGAGAGCAGCAATCTCACAAGCACAGTGTGCATGGGAAGGGTACAGTTTTCCAACTTTTTAAAGAAAGAACGAACCGTCTTTGTTGCAAAAATTTTACTCGTGCTGCCACTAAACCACCTAGTCGGGGTAGTGGTTATTAGATAATCTGAAGTCCAAATCAACTTGTTTTAGAGAATTCAAATGTACCTATTGTAACAATTCAAATTAAGTTGAGCAAACTTGACAAGAAGAAAATACACTATTCCTACCTTAATACATTAAAAAACCAATAACAACAATAACTAAACATTCTAAGACTCCTTTGATGAACTTTCACAACCTTTCAACTAAAACCAAAAACAACCCAAAACACAAATACAGATGCAGAAATGGACGAACTGAAAATGAAAATGGACGCTCACCAGTAACGAGAAGCAACCCAGATGGAAGCTGCTTAAGAAAAACAACTCTCTTGCCCTTAAACCTTCCCGCCAATATAATCAATACCGTACCTGGTGTAACACTAGCCCTACAAAAATACAACCAATTTAAAATATGCGTGTGTGTGTGTATATATATATATATAAATAACAAATTAAACCCATTTTCTACTTTCAAAAAACTAAAAGTAGGGAATATAAGAGAACCTGAGCTTGGTAGGCTTGAGCTTGCGCTTGTTGACGAGCGGCTTCTTGACGTCATCGGCAGGGTAGAACTTGGGGGCCTTTTCCGGCCCGGTCTCAGCCGTTGGCTTCGGGTCATGGCGGGGAAAAACACCGCCGTTTTTGGCCTTGATGGCCCAAAGGCCGCGCTTGTGGTACATCTTGGACCTGGAGAACTTGCCCACCCCACGAATCAGATCTGGGTTTCGAGTATTTCTGGGAAGTCTAGCTTTTGCCGCCATTGCCACCACTCTCTTTCTTTCTTTCTGAAACCTACGGCTTGCCAATTGCAAAAGAGAGAGAAAAAGGTGCAGACTCAGGAGCTCGTGGTGAGTAACTGAAGTTAAACCCTAAAAATTATTCTTTTTCTGCTAAGTAAACCTTAGCTGAGTACATCTAATATTTTAATTAAAAATGTAAAATTAATTAAGTACATCCTAATATTTTAAACAAAATATAAAATTAACTAAGTACACTATATTTAACTTCTAAAAATACTCTTGATACATCATAATACTCCCGATACGTATTCTTTAATTTTTAATCTTTTATAATCTTCTAAAGAACTTAAAATAAAAATAAAGTAAAATAATATTTTAACAAAAAACTCTCTCCCCTTCTCAACGAGTCCAGTTTTACTATTCCCTTTTTGCCTGTGCCCACCTGTTTTCCCCTTATTCTTTTGACATGTGTCCTCTTAACTAACAAAATGTTAACTCTGTTAAGTCTCTCAATTTTTATTAAAATTTTATAAAATAATTCCTTCATCTTCACTTTTATAAAAATAAAAAATAAAAATCATTCATCTTCTCTGCAACCAGCGCACCTCAGCGACAGCCTCATTTGCTCGTCACTGCCCCAAGCCTCCTTTCTCTCTCTTTGAATTTCTGCACCATATCAAGATAGTCTGAAATTCTGTTTTTATGTTTAAATAATTGGATTCAAATAGAATACCAAACATGGCCTAAATTTTTTGATTAAACAATTTTCGAACCAAAAGTAATTGTTAAAAGATTAGGTTTACATTCTCCTCAAATATATAGAAATCTGGATCGAAATTGTAAAATAATTTTTTTTATTATTGGTTGGATGAGGATCCGTTAGTGGGCCACATTGTAGCAGACTATATTACTCTTTTAGTTCGTACACTCCTCCTTCTCCCTCATTCGAAAAATGAAATTTGAGTAGGTTTTGTTATGTTTTCCTATTTAGATCGGTGCACTAGATACTAAGTCATATAAGGTTTGATAAGAGTTTAAATTAAGTTGTACCTTGAGGACCAAAACCTAGTGAAATAAGGAAGGGTTTTGAGGCCTGTTAAGGAGTCCTATTATATTTCCATTTATGCGTGAACCGATTAAGTGGGTTTGGAAGATGTTAAGGCCCAAAAATCCAAGGGACTAAGCCTAGATTAATTCTTGGCTCAACACAGATAATTGAACGCAAAATAAGCTTAATCGAGACAAAAGAGAATTTGTAGGACGCACCGATACAAGCTACGAGCCACGTATCATGCCAAGCAAGCACGTGCAAAAGGGCCAAGAGCATGCCAACTTTACAAAATCACGCTCACATACCCATTCGGTGTTACTTGGCCCGATTATAGCCTATCACTGCATAATAAAACTCAAGCACAAGCGTAGGTGTCATGCAAGAAGAGACATTATTCTAACACCAAGCTATGCCACAATCTTAAGTGGGCCCAAGCCACAAAATTACCCTGGTCTTGTTGAGAAAGTTGTGGTGTGGATGGGTACAAGCATTCACAAGGCCTATTTGAGGGATCAAGGAATGAGAATTTTGGGCTACTTGGGAGCACCAAAACTCAAGCCCATTTCTTGGCTACAAACACATGGGCTAGCATGAGAAAGAGAACATGACCCAATGCCTTAGGAAGAATACAGTAGTTTGCTTAGAAGACCCTACAGCAGCTTGACGAAAACAGGCTGACCAGTCACTATAGAGTAGAATATCACCAACCCAAAGCCTTGGGGAAAAGCCCAGCCCAACACTCTATAAAATATCTAGCAAACACGTTTAGCCTTTGCCCAAAGGAGTCAACGGAAGCCAACACAAAAACCAGAGGAAATCCATGCGAGCAAGAGGTTTACTCGTTGGGTAAACAGTATGTCCATTCCCCCTTTTCTCTGTTAGCTCGCATAGGAAAAATCGAGAAGAAAGTTAGTGGCACTTCACCCCTATGGAGAAAGACCAGCTATGCCAAAACCTTGGAACCACAAAGAGCTCCTTACCTATGCACTTTGGATGGGAGAATTTCACCAAAGAAGATTAAGGGCTAGTTTGGCGTTGCTTTGCTTTTAAAAAAAAACTGCTTCTGCTGTGCTGCAAGAATAATCAACTGTGAAAAAAATCAGTTAGGCGTTTGGTAAACTATATTTGAAAAAGTGCTGTGAGTAATCAAAGTGTTTGGTAAATTTTTATCAAAATTGATTTTAGTGTGTATAATGACAAAAAAAGACATGAATCATGATGAAATTATTTGTTGTTTTCTTATTTCTTTTTCTTCTTTAAAAAAAAAAAAAAAAAAAAACTTTAAGCTACATTTTTTTTCTTTTTTTAATTTACATTTTTTTTGAGTCAGAACATTTTCATCTCTTTGCATATATTTTTTTTGGGAACCCCCTTTTTTTTTATTCCCCAGATCTCTGCATCTCTTTCTGCTGCCTCTTTTTCATCTTCTTCTTCTCCTTCCTCCTGTCACCTGCTTCTTCTCCTTTCTCTCTGCAATTTTCTCTTCTACTCCTTCTCCTTGTTCTATTTTTCTCCCTCTGCCCAGAGAAGTCGTCCTCCTTGCACAGTCGTCATCGTCGTCTACAGTCCAAGCTGTGGAGTCTTCGTCGTCTGTCATCGCTGTCATCGTCGTCTGCCATCGCTGTCATCGTCGTCTGCCATCAGTGCTTGTCTGTCATCGTCGCCCATGGTGGTTGTGGTTGGAGCTTGGGTGGGGTTTGTTGCAGACAATGAATAGAAAAAGGGATGTGAGTTAGAACGAATAGAAAGAGGGATGGTTGTGAATGAACATAATGAAGAAGAAAATGGGAGTCTGCAGAATGGAGAAGAATAGGAGTTTGCTGCGTTGGTCGATTTGTATTGGAGGGACAAAGACTGTCTATTTGAAAAATAAGTGAGGGCATTATGGGAAAGTAAAACATTCATTAAACCACCGGTTAAATTTTTTTTAAAGCAGCTTTTAAAAGCTGGGTTATGCCTGCTTTGGAAAAACAGCGTTCATTGACCACAATTTTTTTTAAAAGCTGATTTCTGATGTTTACCAAACACCATAGTTTGGCAAAATTTTTATTAAAGCAGCTTTTTTAAAATTTAAGCACTACCAAACGCTACCTAAGTGGAAAGAAGCAACGAAAAAGAAAGGAAAGGGTTAGATGAAATTAGGGTTCTTTATGCCTATAAAAGAGGGCTTCTGCTACCCAGGAAAACAACCCATTCAGAGCCTGACCAAGCTTTGTCAAGCAACTGAAAATTTACTCAAGCCACCCAATCTTCTTCTTAGTTTGTTTTTTCTTCTTCCTTTAAGATAGAAATTGTGCTAATTTTCCTCTACCTTGCTCTGGATCATAGTTCTCCACAATAAATTCATGCTTTTTCTCTCTCTCAAATTTGCTAAACTTGTGAAAGCTTAACTCCCATGCCACAAGCTCCTCAAGCTAAGTCACTCATCAATTTATTATGATTATCTGGCTGTTAGTGAAAAGAACCTAAGAGTGTTTTTGTAAAGTTTCAAAAGACTTTTTAAAAACTCTTTTGGGAGCTTGGTTTTAGACCCCTACATAAGATAAGTCAAGTCGGCCCTCGGTGATGTGTAAAGACGACTTGACCTAGCCCTATATAAGCTAAAGGCCCTGCTCTCATTAAACACGTTCTCTAAACCTATTCTCATAAAAAAAAAAAAAAAAAAAAAAAAAAAAAAGAAAGAAAGAGATTTCAGAGAGAGAGCAGAAGTCTTGAGCCGTTCCTGTTTTTGCTAGGATTGCTGTTACAACAGATTGAATGAATTCATAAGCTGTGTACCCAAGGAAGATGGCTCTAGGTACGTCTTCATGTCTTTATACGTGTTACAGATTGTGTGAAAGATCTTGTTTGTGTATTAAGGAAATCTAACAGTTGGTATCAGAGCTATAAGTTGTTCACACATATCTGTAATCGTTGTTCAAGCATGCTTGCTATGATTTCATATCTGTTTATGCCATGTTCAATTATTTTGGTTATGTTTAATTTTTGAAGATGGTTTAAACATGTTTATGAAAATATTAAGAATATTAAAGAATTCGGAAAAGCGTGTGTTTGATTTGGTTTTCATATTTTCAAAACTTTAAACACGTTTTTGACCTAGCAGATCACCTTAAAACCCTAAAAATGCCCATATGTCACAGATTTTCTGTGAGTTGTGTTAATTAGGTCATTCCCTATTCAAAAAAGGCATTTTGGGTCAAAAACGGACACTAAGAACCCCAAAAACACTGTTCACGCAGAAATACCATTCACTGCAATTTTAGGGTTTTCCTTCTTGAACTGTGTTTTGTTTGGTTATTTTTCTAAGCTAGATAGATGTTTGTCTTTGTTCTGAGAATCAACAACCTTTTCATAACAAAACCAAACTAAATACTCAAACCCTAAGGAAATAACCAAAAATTGCATCATACCTAAATTGCTTGATAAGTTTCTTTAACAAATAGAATCTGTCATGTAATTTATTTGTGATGGCACAAGATAACATGTAATTTTGTGTAAGCTATAAGTAATCTCTTGCCACAAAGGTGTGATACTTAATTAAGGACGCTTGCATATATTATTTGTTAGTTTTGTGAATAAAGTTAAACTGTTTTCTCTTAACAAATTGAGAATCGGTTTCTAGGAAAGTAATATTCTTTTGTTTGCAAATCCTTACAGCTTTAAACACTCCCTCAATCAATTTCACGCAAATTGAAAGATTCACTCGATCAAACTTCAATTTATGGACTTTTGATTTTAAAGTTATTGTCGGAATGAATGAGATCGCTTATGATCTCACTCATGGCTATATTTAATTCAAGTTAGCCTTTTCGCTTATGTGTCTTGTAGTACGACTCCTAGAGCTTAGGGAAAAGGAAAAACATCTGGCGTTCAATAGGTGTCACTCGTGCCAACTTGTCACGAATGACATTCTAGTAAAGAATATAGTGGAGTTAATTAAGAAGCAACACAAAGATGAGCTGGAGTGAAAAAAGGGTTAAGGCGCAGCGAAATCGTCGACCATATAGAGGACCCATAAGGATATACACGGCTACAAAGGACAGTCTCAGAAGTCTTAGGATCGCTATGAAGCTCAGTGTATGCGCTTATGGGAGAGGATGAAACATCAATAAGCTACTTCGATACAAGAATCTCCTAGTGCAGCCTGTGAAACCATCGCCTCAACCTGAATCACCTGTTGAGATTTTTGATGCCACCACTAATAGGGAGATAGTGGTACTTGACCCATTCCCTGCTAAGGAGAACAACATTTTCATGGCGGCGGCACGTTGTGACGATGAGGTTTAGATAGTTACCTGTTGTTTTTAATCAAATTTACTAGAGTAGTTGATTTTAAGTTGGATTCAGGATTTATTTTAGCGTTGGATGATGTAGTTTTCAATACCTTAAATAAAGAGAAATCCAATTTATGTTTCAAGATTATTAAGATTTGGTTTTATTTTGGATTCAATAAAGATGTTTTTGTATCTCAAAATTCAAAGATAATAAAGATGGATTATATTGTCTCAATTACAATAAAGATAGTGAAGTTTGAATGACACATACATTTAGGGCACATTTCAAAAGAAAGAATGAAAATTCTAGTTAAGAAACAAATCTTGCCATCATTGACTTTAGTGATGACAAAATTTGTGTTGAGTATGTCAAAGGAAAACTCACTAAGACTAAGAAAAAAGGTGCAACTCGCAGTAGTGATCTTTTAGAGATCATCCACACAGTTTTTGTGACCATTCCCTCATCAAACAATTGACGGAAATCGTTTTTTTTCATCACCTTTATAGATGACCATTCTCGTTTTGGTTATCTATATCTCATAGCAGAAAAAGTCTCAAGCTCTTGAAATGTTTAAGATTTTCCAAACTAAAGTAGAAAGGCAGCTTGAGAAAAGGATCAAAATTGTGAGGTCAGACAGAGGGGGTGAATATTATGGACGTTAAGGAGGACGACGTTGGACTTTTTGCTAGGTATCTACAAGATAATGGAATAGTTGCTTAGTACACAACATCATGAATTCCGCAACAGAATGGTGTGGCTGAGAAAAAGGATCGAACCTTGAAGGACATGGTTCTTAGCAAGATTCCTAGAACTAATTTGCCTATGTTTTTGAGAGAGGCGATCAAAACAACAAACTATAGAGTGCCTAGTAACTCCATACCTAAGACACCTTTTGAATTTTGGACTACTAGAAAACCTAGCCTAAGACAAGAGAAGAGGCTTGATCCTAAAACGATAAGATGTAGGTTATCCCACAAGGTCAAAGGGTTTTAGATTTTATTGTCCAAATTATGGTACCCAAATTGTTGAGACTGGTTGTGCAAAGTTTATAGAGCATGAGGAGAATGCCACTGGGAATAAAGATTTTATTTTTGAAGAACAAAGTGATGTAGCTGTGATTGAGAATGCTGAACAAGATGTTACACCCTTGATTCCTTTAAGTGAAACTTTATTGGAAAATTCTCAATTTGATGAACCAGTTGAACCACAAGAACAAGTTGTTGAGAATCCTGACCTAGATGATCCACAAGAACCTTTACAACCAAGGAGATCTGATATACCAAAAAGATCCACAGCAAATTCAGATAATGTACTTACAAGAAGTAGGTTTTGACTTTGGAGATTAGGCTGATCCAATAAGTTTTAGAGAAGCAATGGAGAGTCAGAATGCAAACAAATAGAGGGAAGCGATGTTGAATGAACTTGAAAGCATGAAGAATAATCAAGTATGGGAATTAGTTGAACCCCATAAGAGCTAGAAATTGGTAGGCTCGAAATGGGTATTCAAAACAAAGAAAGATAAGGATGAAAGAATCGAAAGGTTTAAGGCTAGATTGGTAGCTAAAGGATTTACCCAGAAGGAAGGAATTGATTATACTGAGACGTTTTATCCAGTTTCCACCAAAGATTTTTCCGCATCATTATGGTTTTGGTGGGCCATTATGACCTACTTTTACATCAAATGGATGTAAAAACTACTTCCATGAATGGTGAGCTTGAAGAAGAAAATTATATGAGGCAACCTGAAGGGTTTGCAAAGGAGGGAAAAGAGCATATGGTTTGCAAACTTGGCAAGGCAATTTATGGACTGAAGCAAGCAAGCAGGAGGTGGTATTTCAAATTTCACCAAACTGTTTCCTCTTATGGTTTTGAAGAGAACATAGCTGACCAATGCATTTATATGAAGAAATGTGGGAGTCGATTTATTTTCTAGTGCTGTATGTCATTGACATACTTTTGGATACAAATTACCACAATTTACTGAAGGACACCAAGGAGCTACTTTCAAATAATTTTGAGATGAAGGATTTAGGAGAACCTGGGCATTGAGATTCAGAAAGACCGAGCTCGAGGCCTTCTAGGCCTATCACAGAAGACATACATTGAGAGGGTACTCAAGTGTTTTGACATGAGTATGTGTTCTGGACAGAAAGTTCCGATAGCTAAAGGAGATTTAAAGAAGAAGCATTGCCCCAAGAATAAAGAAGAAGAAGATGAGATGAGGAACAAGCCATACGCTTCTCTAGTTGGAAGCATTATGTATGCACAAGTGTGCACAAGGCTAGACCTAGCCTTATGCATTAGCAAGATGGGGAGATTTCAGTCAAATCCGAGAATGCAACAGTGGATAGTTGGAAAGAAGGTTCTGAGGTACCTACAGAGAACAAAGGCTTATATGTTGATTTACATACACACGTTTCAAGTTCAACCATGTTTTCAGAATACATAGCTTGCTATGAAGCCACTTCTCATGCAATATGGCTAAGGAGTTTTATTAAAGACATTAAGGTGGTGGACTCGATTTTTAGACCAATACAGATATATAATGACAACACTGCGGCTGTTTTTCACTGCATGAACAACAAGATGTCGTCTGGAGTTCAGCATATTGACATAAAGTATTTAATAGTGAGGGAGAAGGTAGCTGACAAACTAGTCAAGTTTGATCACATTAGAACTCAAGATATGATTACAAGATCCGTTCACAAAGTTTTGCCTTCAGAAGCTTTTCTGAGACGTGTTGATAGCATGGGACTTTTCCCTAGCTTTGATGTTGCAATCTAGTGGGAGTCTTGTTCTCATTTTGATATTTTTACTAGTTTGTTTGGTTTGTTTATTTTGCTGTTTTTCTGGATTGAGGGATTTGCATTTAAGGATGTCAATTTGGTTGACAGTTTTATTTATTATTGAATAAATTCTACCATTTTGACTATTTAGCTGTTTAAACTTATTATGCAACTTTGTTTATGAATGTGAGTTTGTGGTTTCTTTTGAGATACTATTGTTTGTAATAACATTGCGGATTGACTCTTGCTAAGTCGTAAAGGAGTACCTGTACTGAAATGCATAAAGATTCACACTAAGGATCAATACATATTAAGGTTCACGTTGTAGGTGCTTCATGTATTTTGAGATTGCATTATGTGATTATAGATGACTTGTTTTTAATAAAGAGAGCAGTGTTTGTCTATAGTTCGTTTTGTCTAATCACTTTTCACGGTAGCTTGAGGGGAAGGACTTAACTGTTTTAAACTCATGGCTAATAAAGATTATCAAACCTTTCGGAATACAGAAGCTTAGTGTTATAGTGCTTGATCTAGTGGGAGAATGCTATGTTTTCCTATTTAGATTGGTGCACTAGATACTAAGTCATATAAGGTTTGATAAGAGTTTAAATTAAGTTGTACCTTGAGGCCCAAAAGCTAGTGAAATAAGGAAGGGTTTTGAGGCCTATTAAGGATTCCTATTATATTTCCATTTATGCGTGAACGATTAAGTGGGCTTCGAAGATAAGTCAAGTCGGCCCTCGGTGATGAGTAGAGACGACTTGACCTAGCCTTATATAAGCTAAAAGCCCTACTCTCATCAGACACGTTCTCTAAACTTATTCTCATAAATAAAAATTAAAAATTAAAAAAAAGAGCTGAAACAGATTCTGAGAGAGAGCAGAAGTCTTGAGCCGTTCTTGTTTTTGCTAGGATTGCTGCTACAACAGATTAGATGAATTCAGAAGCTGTGTACCCAATGAAGATGGCTCTAGGTATGTCTTCATGTCTTTATCCGTGTTACAGATTGTGTGAAAGATCTTGTTTGTGTATTAAGAAAATCTAACAGGTTTATTTTGAAAAATAAGTCATATGAATACCTACTTTGTAGGTTTATTTTGATAAATAAGTCATATCAATAAGGTTATATCAGACAAACTGAAAATGAACCTATTTAATACATCCATGTGGTACTTCGAGTATAATGTTAAGTTTTAACTTTAATGATGAGCTTGAAAACTCACCAGTCTCTAAGCCACCCATCCACTACCCTTGACCAACCCTAGCCACCACACCTAACCCACAACCCCTGTTGTGATATAGCAACTACTGAATTATTGGAGTAAATTGCTACAGACCTATGACTTGATTTAGTTACCTTCTTTAGTACATCAATTCCTTGTAAATTGAGGATGTAATTATTTCTTTCCCTTTAGGTTTGTGTACCGTTTCTATATATTCATGTAATTATCATTGTTGTATATACAATACAAGTTAGTAAATTTGATTTTCACATGGTACCAGAGCTTACCAATTGATCCACAGAAAAACCTTAGCTTCCTTTCTCTTTCCATCATTTTCTTCTTCATATCTTATTGCTTGTGCACCCAAACAAGAGCCCTTTCAATAGAGAAGGAAGGCAACCACAACCTAGACAACAAATGAGCAAAATATATCACCAAACCATAATCCTTATTATATTCATCACTCAAACCACCATGGGATGGTTCTAGTTTCAAAACTACCCACTGAGGACAAATACGAGACTTGGACATAATCTAAAAAACCTTAAGAGTTTCAACTTGGGAGGAGATGTAACGATATGATTCTATCTTAGATCCTTAATTTTGTTGAGCTCGATCTTGCAAATTGCATCATCGACAACACATCAGAAGTATGGTCTCACCTTAAAGCAACGTGAACTCACTGTCACACGCACTACCACTAAAAGCATGGTGTTGGGGTAATTTTGGTGCCCTTGTCTCTTGCTTCTAGGATGCAAGAGTTGAATGTCTCACATAGATTGTTCAATAAGATTCCACACTTAAAGTGTGCATCGAAATGAGATCTAGTCAAATTCTTTGCTGGCCTTTTTAAGAGCCACTTGTAAGCTTCATTATCTTGCACCTTCATCGTTTCCATCTCTGCTTCATATCATGGAACAGTGGTGGCCCTTGCTGCAGCCCACAAGATGTTCTTTAAAAGGAGCCCAAAATATTGTCCTTTAAAGTTGCTATAAAGATACCTTACACACATTCTATGCTCAGCTGTAGGCATAACTTTTTGAATGGTTGGAACTAGATCCTTTTGCTTGTCACTTATGAACACCCAAACAGTCCCAATCTCAATTTTTAAATATGATACCAACAATTCAAGAAATCAGATCCAAGAACTCTTATTTTTCGCTTCAACTACAGCATAGGCAATGGGGAACATTCTGTTGTTCCCATCAACCCCAACATGTGTTAATATTTGGCTTGTGTATGGTCCTTTCAAATAGCACCCATTCACACCAATCAAATGCCTATATCCCTCTTAAAACCCCATCTTACAAACGGCCAAGCACACATATTCTCCGAAAAACAAGTTCAACCCCAACCATCTCATTCTTAATTACAATTATGTTGCCCTTAGAAGCCTTTAATTGTTCAACATAATCCCATAACCTTGCACATTATTCCATGTAGCTACCTTCAATGACCACTCTTGAAAACCTCTTGGCTTTCCATATTTGATGTTTGCTTACATTCATAGCATACTGTTCTCACAATTCTACATGCATTGCTTATACATCCCAGTAGGGATTTTTCCCAATTTTGTCTACAAACCTAATGGATAGTCATCTTGAATTACAATACCCCAAACTGTTAACTCTAGAACCCTTATGTTCTAAACAAAGAGTCTTTATCACAAATGTAGGCTAATCCCTATCGATCTTTGAAGGAAACACAGTAAAAGGGTAATACGTGTGGCCACCACACTTGGCTCTTACCCTAAAATTATCATTCTTCACAAACTTTATAGGTTTGCCTTCGACAATTGCATACTCCTTAATAGCTTCCTTCAATTCTTCTCCAAGGTCTGTCTCTCTTCTAAACTGTTTAAAGTTTGTTAATTTTTTCTTCCTTTTCTTCTTTGACTTGTTTGAATGTTCTCTCCCTTCTTGCTTATCCTTAGAACTTTCACATTCAAAACGGAGTGTCTTTACCATCTAATGAGATAGTCCCTATAGCTTCATTAGGAGGCACCATTACACCATCAATGTGTGGTTTCTCTTCACCCATATTTGCTGTCATTTCAGGATCAATATTTGGCATCTCATCATTAGGGTAATCATAATCACTATCCTAAAACTCTTCATCCTCGTTGCCTTTTTTTTTCCTCAACATTTGTACTAGCTTGACTTCCTTCCGTTGAAAATGCTGAAGACGTTTTGTTGTTTTCAACTTTTGTACGTGAAATAGAATTCATTTTCACAATTTTGTTTCCACGTTTTCTCTCATTGCCTACTGAACGCAATCTCACCTTTTTTTTTTGGTGGAACAATCTCACCTTTTTTCATTTTGGGAAAATAGAAAATAGGCATGTAAAACATTAACGGGCCCTTAAAAAAAAATAAGATCATAAGAAGAAGAAAAAAAATGCAGCTAAACCGCATCCCCCAATCCCTAAGGTAATAACCCATAAAAAAAACACCTAACCATCCAGAAATCAACTTTCTTCTTCAATCAAATTTCCAAAAATCAAGTAGCTTGAGAAAGGTGATTTTTACGGAGAAGCATTTCTTAATTGGGCATCACCAAATATATTATTTTCTGGTCATGCTCCTATCTCAACCCATGATTTCAAATACCACATACAAAAAGTAGAAGGCTTTGACCTCACAGCCAATAAGTTGAGAAGTTTTGTCTCCCAATACACCTCTACGTGGATTTCAAAATTTCAACAGTTGTGACAGTCTTACAGAACAAGACTGATGAGATATTGAACACAGTTGAATAAGAACCCAAAACTCGAACTCCACCTATTTGAGCCTGGTCGAAGTTCGACCATGCGTCTCGGAAAACCAATAGGCCAAAATGCAAATTGGCCGCTCAAGGTGCCTAATGGTGAAATGGAAACAAGAAAGCCGGACTTAGGGGTCATCATGCACCCTATGTCGTTTAATCTTCAATAAAGTCTATAGCTTAAGATGCACGATGTTCCACCATAATTCAGACTAAGAACTTAGAAGTTGAAACCCAACTTCCAACAACGGGTTGAAAACATCTGACTTCCAAAGTCGGAACATCTGGAACTTCTAAAGTGGATTAAGGTCTAGTCATCTGATCAACCAAGATCAAGTCCTCTGATCAGCCAAGGTCAAGTCATCTGATCAGCTAAGATCAAGTCATCTGATAAGCCAAGGTCAAGTCATCTGATCAGCCAAGATCAAGTCCTCTGATCAGCCAAGGTCAAGTCCTCTGATCAGCCAAGGTCAAGTCCTCTGATCAGCCAAGATCAAGTCATCTGATCAGCCAAGGTCAAGTCATTTGATCAGCTAAGGTCAAGTCCTCTGATCAGCCAAGATCAAGTCCTCTGACCAGCCAAGATCAAGTCATCTGATCAGCCAAGGTCAAGTCCTCTGATCAGTCAAGATCAGGTTTTCTAATCAGCCAAGATCAAGGCCTTCGATCAGCCGAATCAAACCCAACTCCAAGTCTAGGTTGAGCAACTCTAAGTCAATGTCGAGCAACCCCAAGTCGGGGTGGAACCTAACTTCAAGTCAAGGTGCGAATCCAACTCCAAGTTCGATCAAGCAATTCCATGTCATGAACATCAGTGGGTGTTTTAACTAAGATTAGAATTCCATAAGTTACAATGTCTTACCAGATGTCAAGCTAAAGTCTCGGAGGTCCAAGCCCAAGCCATATATTAGAACCTAAGATTTTCAGAGGATTGCATGCATGTGATGGAGGCTTCATAAGGAAGGAAATCAAGAAGATTGACGACAATCCGGAGTATTCCAAAAGAAGAGAGAATCAAGCAATCAAAAGATCTCCATCATTGTGATCCCACGAATTTGAAGGTTTCACAAGGGAATGAAGTTGACCTTTGGCCATTTAATGGCCAACCCATGGGCTGATGGATGTCTCTATATAAACCTCATCAGATGAAGGGAGAAGACACACAACATCAGACAGACAAACCTATTTTTCGTCTCGCACTTTTCTTTTCCTAGACTTAGGATTTTACTTTTCATGCACTTAGTGTAGCAAGTTCTTCCTTTTCTTAGTATAAGTTTAAATTCTCATTCAATTTATATTTTTTTTTGTAATTTAAATTCAAGTTTATTTCAATTACTTTACTTTTCATTGTTATCGCACTTCAATTAAGTTTAATTTCAACTTCATTTTACTTTATTGTTCTTATCGCTTTCATTTCGTTCTTGCTTTATTTATCGCTTTGATTCATTTTATCGCACTTTAATTCTCGTCTTTACGTTCTTTATCTTTCGCACTTTACGCATTTGTCTTTAAATTATATTTAAGTTTAAGCACCTTTACTTTACGCACTTAGGGCCAGTTTGGCATTGTTGTGTTGTGAAAATAATCGCTGTCAGATTTGCTGTGAGAGAAATCAGCTGTGAGATAAAGCAGTTTGGCGTTTGGTAAACTTTTTTTTTATAAGTGATGTTTGTACAATAATCATTTTTGAGTGTTTGGTAAATTTGTTGTGAAAGTGCTGTGAGTTGTGTATAATGACTAAAAAGGGCATTATATTGAATTGGCTTTTATGTTTAAGTGTTTGGTAAAAGAAAAAGCACTTTCACTTTATCTTATACATAATAATTTTTTTTTTTTGTATTACATATGTTTCCATCACACCATAAATTTTATTTTAATTATACAATTAATAAAGTTTCCATTAAGAACAAATATATTGTAAAAAATATGGTCATAACAAAAATTAAGTTAGTCATAAACAAGCAATCATATACATGTCTAAGTAGATGAACTCATTAAACTTGCAGCTATATGATTTCTCAATGCCTCCATTTCTTGTGTTGCAGGACCATCTTCTTGTTGTGCATCAACCTCTATCTCAATCTCTTCACCTTGAATACCATTTAGGTCATCTTCAATTTCATCAAAATGACAGTCACGTTTGGCATGTCTTCTTATATAGTTATGAAGTACCATGGTTGCAATAACGATTTTGACTTGTTTTGCAAAAGGATAACTAGGCATGTCTCGTAAAATACTCCATCTCTTTTTCCATACTCCAAAAGTGCGTTCAATAACACTTCTAAGGGATGAGCGTGCATGATTGAATACCTCTTTATGACCCATCGGTTGAACACCCCTACGAAAATCAGGAAGATGATATCTTTCACCTTTATATGGTCCTAAGTAGCCTCTCATTTGTGGGTATCCCGCATCTACTAGATAATATTTTCCTACAAAAGAAACTTAATTGATTATTCACAATGTAAAAAACTTAAATATAAATTATATGAATTTTTTTCTTTAGATAGAAATAATACCATATGGAGGTTTAGGAAAATTCAAACTTTGATCACGTAAAGCCGATAGAAATATCCTTGTGTCATGGGCTATGCCTTCCCATCCGGCACATGCAAATATAAATTGCATGTCAAAATTGCATGCAGCCATCACATTTTGGGTAGGTATCCCTTTTCTACCAATAAATGGTATTTGATTAGAAGGAGATACTATGGCTTGGACATGAACACCATCTATAGCACCAATACAATCATACAAGAGATAAAAAAACAAACATAATATTAATTATAACATAATAAAATATAGATAAATATTTAAGAGTAACAGATGCAATAGTTACCTTGAAATAAGGTATATATCTAGAATCCTGTAGGATTTCCTTGGGAGTGGTGTTAAACGCATTTTCCAACGGTTTAATTACATCCATAGCCAAATGACATACAACATCAAGTAAGATACTACAATATCTGCTCACAGTCTCACCAGAATGTTGAAAACGATCCTGCGCTTGCCTATTTGCAGAACCCTGTCCTAAGATGTTCAAGAACATCCCTAACATCTCAGCATCACTCATTCTTCTTGAACTCTTTAATCCATAATTGTTTTGCAATTCATCACACAATCTTATAAATACATCTTTGTCCATCTTGAACATATTATGGCAACGACTTTCATTTCCTTGTAACACTCCCATCAACCAAACATTTCATGATGTTCATTCATACACGGGGTCTTATGAATATATTTCACGTAATAAAGTTCAATAAGACGTGCAGTGACACATATAATTTGGTTGATCTCCTCCTCATCTTCTGGAATGGACATGTTCTAAAATAACCTGCAAATATGTTTATTTCCTTCAAATATCATTTTCACTATGCATGCATGCTTATATAACATAAAATATAATGACAAGAATTAAAATATCACTCACAAATTCAAATAAAAGATCATCCAACATTAATTCAATATCACTCCCAAATTCAAAAAAAAATAACAACACAAAAACAAAACATAAATTAAAGTCACCAAACTAGCAAATTCTATCCTTCAGCTAATTCATGATTAAGAAATTGAAGCTTGAGGTCAAGATCTTCCATGACAACAAACATCTCTCTATTCTCTTGAGCACAAAATAATTTAGTTACAAACCACCACAACTTGCTACCACACTCTGCTCCAGGTAAAGTTGCAACATCTTTCATCACTTCAGTAATACTAGTTCCTTGTAAAACTGTATTAGCCATTGATGTTCCAGTACTCCTACTCTCAACCACCTCAACAATACGTTGAATTTGCAGTGATAATTTTGCAGCACCTCCCATTTTCCCCCCTCCTTTACCTTTCTTCTCATTATTATCTTGAATTTCAAGTGATTGATCAGTTCTCTTTTTTGGCACATTGTTTGTAGTTTGAGTACTTTCAATTGGCACAAACTCATTCGAATCACCGTTAACTTCAAATGGATTGACATCATCATCACTTTCAACTGGAAGTACACTAGATGAAGGTGCTCAAGAATGCTTACCAGTGGTTGTGATGTTCAAAAACATCATATCTAACTTCTCCTCCATCTCAGGACTAATATCCTCAAATTGGAATCTTGCATATTTGGGTTCTGCCTGCATTATGACATATACAAATATTATAATGAATTTTTAAACAAAGTTAAAAAAAAAAAAACATGGATTTCAATATGATATTAAAACAAGAACAAAAAATTCAAATACCTGAATTTTATCTTGCCACCATTCATCAGATGCATCAACGGTATTCTTAGCGACATTCCACCCAAGACCAGTTTCCTTCCCCTTTAGATCTTTTCATAATTTCCATTCTTTTTTCAGTAAATCCCACTTGTTTTTCAATTGTAATTTTTCATATGGTCTTCCTATCTCTTTACTAATATTTGTAACCAACCTTGCCCATCCAACTTTATTAAAGTGAGTACCGGGACGATTGCCTAGATCCACCTCCTTGATAAAAAGGTCAATGAAGATGGCTCTAGTTTGAGCATTCCACAATGCTGACAATTTTCGGGATCCACTTGCAACATTTTCAGTTGTGGTGAAGTTACTATTCTTCTTTGCCATCTTATTGCAACAAAGACATTATATATAAGCACAAAAGAAAATTACAAACAAACCAAACTATAAATAAGCGGCATAGAGACATGGAAAAGAAAAACCAAAAGACAAGACAATTAATATGTGCATTCTTTGCTCTGTCTAGTACAGCAAGCAACATAGAAAACTATTCCAGTCAGCTTTGGTACTAGTGAACCTGCAGGCTGCAGCTATCTAGTTTTCTTTGTATATATCTTATGTATGCTCAACCGATTTCAAGGCAATATATTTTTTCTCATTATTTGACGATTTCTTGATGCTGCGTATTATTGTTCAAATCAAATGGCGATTGTATGGGGTTTAGAGGAAGGAATGAAAAACAGAAAACACAATGACTAGGAAAAGGGTGATGATAAATTAAAAAATATATATGAATAATGAAATGGTTTCTTGATATACAACTTGGCTAGGTGGCTTGCAGTTTGCCAACTTGGTTAGTAAGTCGTCCTATAAGTCAAATATATGAGGGTGCATGTGATTTTATTGTTAACCTTTCCACACATACCAATAAGGCTTCAAACCTATCTTCCTTCTCAAATGCAAGTTTTCTGTAAAAGAACATGAAACTAATGAAATAAACAGCTGCTTGCACATGAGATCTGCACTGGACTAGGTGGAGGAAAGTTTATTTTGAGCAATCTGATTCCGAATCTTATGGGACTTGGTGCTAGACAGCAAAATAGATGGGTTCACTAAATCCCTAAATTCCTTTGTTCCTAAATCCCAACATTAGAAAGAAATAATAAAAAGAAGAAGTATACTAGAATTGAAGAACCTAAAAAGAAGAAGTTATGCCCAAGATAACAATAGAAAATTCCAAGTAAAAAATACAGCTTCATGCTTTGGAGGTTGACCCTATTTGCCTCGAAATCCATTTTCCTATTTCCAAGTAGAAAATTCCAAGAAGTTATGACCTCCTCGAAATCTATTTGCCTATTTCCCTTTTCTATATCAATTCAACCAGTTTATATGAACTTGATCCTATGAGGAAAGGGCCCTAACAAAAGCAATCTAGGTATGAATTGAATATTTGGTTTAGGTGGTCAAGAAGGCAGAAGAATAAAATACTTATAAGCACATATGATATGATTATTCAGAAGAAAAAAAAGTCACCCACTACGTACGATAACTCCTACTCTCACACACATTGTAGTCATATCATTAGTACAAGAGTACGACTAGAGAGAGAGAGATAGAAGAGTATCATCAGGAAAGGGCCCTAAAACCCAAATGGAAAAATGCCATTCTCATGCCAATACGTAATATAGAAAACCAACAGCAGCTACAATTGAAAGTTAAAATCCTAGAAATCAAAGAGAAAGAGGGAACAACAAAATTGAAAAGAAATAAACATAATATGTGGCTCTTACCTGAGTCTTGTAGCTTAGCAGTGCGATTCAATTAATCTAACCAGAAAAAATCATAGGCAGTATGTGGAAGAGAAGGAGATGAGTGATCTCTGTGAAGAGATGGCAGGAAAGATAGTTAAAACCCTAAAAATTAAAGAGAAAAAGGGGAGAATGAAATTGAGAAGAAATAAACACAATATGCCTCTTACTTGAGTCTTGTGGCTTCTTAAGAGTGCACTTCAATTGATCAAACAAGAGAAAAAAATGGAGGAAGAATGGAAGAGAAGGAGAAGAGTGCTCTGCGGAGAGAAGACGCACAAAGAAAAGGAGAGCGTGAAATCATATTGGGGTAGTTTTGGAATTTTTTAATTTTCATTAAACCCAGTGCTTCCTCAAATCTGATTACCACATAATCAGAAATTGAAAGTAGCTCATTACCTGCTTTCATTTATTGCTTTCTCCCACAGCAATTTTTAATAATAAGTGATTTTATCTTAGGTTACCAAACAGGCTGGGCTTCCCAAATTTTTTTAAAAATCACTTATCACCCCAAATAAGCAATGCCAAACGGGTATTTATTCTTCGCTTCGTTACATTTCACCTTCAATCTTCATCTCCACTCACTCCACATCATTTGGTTGCTCACATAAAGCCTTGACCCAAAGGTAGTGAAAGAACCTAGGCCGTGAGGAGGTTCCTTGCTCGGCCTAACAATCGTTTGATTAAAGTCAGATCTCGGACATAACACATCCATCTACTCACATTCCATTCAAGCCTAAATTTGGGGCTTGGTGATGGCACGCCCCGCACTCAAAAAAGAAGAAGGACCAAACGTTCCTTCCATCGGCCGCCCCGACCGAAAAGAGGGAAACATAATTTGGCACGCCCGGTGGGACTCACTACATGAGCGACCGAAAGGAATGGCAACATTCCTATCAGCCGATGAACTACAACGGCTATGATTCCTATGGCTCGAATTACCAATCCATTGGCCAACATGGTGACCACAACCACTATGACCAATACAATTTTACCCATCAAGGTGGGTCTAACAACCAATATGACTCAAGTTGTCAAATTGGTGGCCAATATGGTGGGTACAATTATATTGCCGAATACGATCTTATGAACCAAAATGGCTTTGGTTGCCAAACTAATCAAGTGGCGTGGGGGCAGTACACTTACCCAGATGGTCAAAATAATTCGGCCAATATTTATGATCAGCTTAGTTATGGCTCCCACCAAACGAATCATCCTAATGGGTATAATGGCCAAAATGTTCTTAACATAAGTGAGATGCCATACGTTGACCTCACGGATGAAGAACATCAAAGTTTGATAAAGAAACATCTAAAGTCAATGATGTATTTATGGAGATGGCGGATAGGTTTTATGTTTCCAACGAACTTTTAATCCAACATTTGCGTGAAATTTCCTCACGACTTGCGATTGGAGAGCAAGTTCTTAGCCAACAAGCCGAGGGGCAAACTCTCAATCCCAACCTTGATTCTCAGTCACAAGAGGAAAATTCTCATGTGGTTTCAATTCGGCCACCTGTTCCACCTACTCATCTAGAGGAAAGTGAGGTTGATATGGAATATGAGAGTGAGAAAGAGATAGGTGAGACAACCTTAGAATCGAATGTTCAAGTCGACATTCCTATTGGGAACCTGACATTGGTTGAGGAAAAATTGTCAACCGAAGGGGATGAGTCCCAAAAGGTGGTCATCAATGAAAATTGCAATATGGTCCAACCTAAGGCAACCATCCTAGGATGTAATGGCCTACATTCTAGTGAAAAAAAAGGTCGGAGCATGACCTAAGATGTAGTAATGATAGACATGATTGTAGGAGAAAAGCTCGACATTGTGAGACCACAATTACAAGTGGTCAAGTTTATCGAGCCCCAGCCAAAGACCAAGATTGGCATACCAAGTGGACTTGGGGGGCATGAAGGGTCGGCCAAAGTGATAGCCAGAAGTCATCTGAGTTGTACTAGTCATCCTAGTACTTCAACACATGGCCAACAAAATGGCAAGATCCGATTCGAGAATAAGAAGGGCTCCAAGCTTGGAGTAAAACATGGTTGGCAAGATCCGATTCGAGAATAAGAAAGGCTCCAAGAATGATTTCGTTGGGCAGCATATTAACCAATTCACCGGGCTCAGTGGGTGGAATAATCTCGGCTAGTCTTGCCCGGGCTAGGAGTGGGACCCACAAAGATGGGCTGGCCCGAAGGCCAGTTTTGCCCAAGCTCGAGCTCGAGGGAGGATGACATCAGCTGTGACGTCATCGCGGGGTTTCAAATTTTTTTACCATTAGCGCGTACAATGCATGCGCCAACGGTAAAAAAAATTTGAACTCGTGTGCGCTGATGTTAGCCCTGCGCAATCTCCAATGGGTAAAATACACGTGTCAAGGCCTGGGGGCTCCGATCTGCTTCTCCTCCTCAAATCCAACGGCTGACATTTTTTTGGCAATAAAATTATGAAAAAAAAAGAATTTTTAAAAATAAAAAAACCAAAAAATTCTGAATTTTTTTTTTCTATAAATACCTATAAATACCATTCATTTTCAACACCAATCGTCATACATTTTCTTCTACTTCTACTATTATTCACTCTTTACTCAACATTTCCCTCTCTTTCAAATTGTATTTTTATTTCTTATCTTTATGACTTCTTCTATCAAAAGCGGAGGGGCGTGGAGCACCATGTCTTTCAGCTCATCTACGGTTTCTCTCATTTGTTTCTCGCTCTTGCCTCTCCAAGCATCTTCTCAAATCTTCCATTGAGAATGGAGTATGAATTCTAAACTATAAGAAATGAAAATATAGAAATATGTGGTGTGAGAGGTATGAGCTGAGCCTCTAATTTTATAGAAAATTTTGACCATATAGAGATGCCACGTGGCTTGATTTGATAGGATGAAAATTTTATCTGAAATTTGAATTTTGAATTTTGAAATTCATCCGAAATTTGAACCCAAAAATCTTATCTAGAAATTTTATCCGATTATGAATAGTCTTGACACGTAGGAACCCGAAAATCTTATCCGAAAATATTATCCAAATTAATTATTGAGGTAAAAAAAAGAATAGTAATTGCCTTTTACCATGACAACGGGTGGAAACGGAAATGGCTTTTTGCAAGGGCAACCACTATTCAGGTGAATAGTGGCTGCCCTAACCCCCCTTTGCCATGGCAATAGGCAAATGGGTGAAGTTGCTCTTAGAAAGGTGAAAATTACCCAATTTTTAAAGAATTCTTTTATTATTTCTTTCACACATCTAGGCATCTGACTTGCCATGTCACCAAGTGCAAAATAAGAAAAGGAAAGAACAAAAAATAACCAAATTGATTAAAAAATATTAAAAAACAAAAGGAAGTGTAAGTGGAGAAATCAACTCCCTTTTATTTCCTAACAACCAATTTTACTAGATTAGTATTAAAATCTATTAAAAAATAGAATTAAAAATTAAAATAAATAAATAAATAAGAAAAACCCTTCCCCTGCGCCTCTCCCTCCTTCCTTTTCCTTCCGCCTCCCACTCCCCCTCAGATATCTCTCTGCTCTCTTTCCCCTCTCTATCCCTCTCTCTCTGCACTCTATCTCTCCCTTTCTGAAAGCTTTAGTAGGTATCTGGGTAAGCCTTTTGTTTTTGTTGGTAATTAAAACTTGCAGTACCTATAATTCTCAGTTTCTTTCTTCGTATCGAGAGTAAAATTTCTGAGCTTACTTTTGTTTCTTTCAATCTTGTATTGTTCATGACAAATCCTAATTTCAAGGTGCAGAGATGTTATTTTCTTTCTCTTTAGGGAAACTAAGAGGCCATTTTGACTTCATATGACACCCATTAGAGATAAGTGGATATATATCCTGCTTAGGAGCTCGAAAGGCTATAAATTTATAACAGCTTTGAAGAGTTGTTCATCATTTTGGTTTCTAAGAAACTAAAATAAAAATTAACCCAAGAGTCGTATCAGGCTCAGTTGAGTGGATCCTCATGTTTTTAAAAAGGTCATGGATGATGAGCAAATGCAAAACATTCAACTTCAAAACTTGAATCTTTTGATTATCAGTTATATTATCCTAATCTGCCCAGTTTATTGTTTTACGTGTTTTCTTTCCTTAGCAACTATATATGGTGATGGTGGAGTTTGAGTGTTTAGCTCTTTTGCTTACATTGCTTCACCAACTATGCTTATGAGTTCCTATTGCTTTTTTCAGGACCTTGGGTGATGGCTGCAGTCCTCCTAGGGATGCCAGGACCATGGGCCAATGATTATCGTGAACAATCTGATCATTATACAACAAAAATTGGTGGACTACCTGTGAGAAACTGCACGCAATGTCATGTTTTGTTGGAGGATATGCTGATTGAGTTGTTGTTATTTTATTTTTGTTTTTATATCCCTTTTTACTTTCTTTGTGACAGGACTGGCCTCTTCCTGAGAAATCCGTGACACCTGATCTGCTTGAGTGCAGTGCATGTGGAAGTAAACTAAGTCTTGTTGCTCAGGTTTAATTTTCTTCTAGAAACTAATAAATTTACAATTTCTTGTGAACATATTTGAAATGAACGGCCATGATTCTTATTTTTATTTTTCCAGGTTTATGCCCCAATTTCAAGTAAAAACTTAAAGATTGAAGAGCGTGTTCTTTTTGTTTTTGGTTGTCTAATGCCAAAATGTGGGAGCACACCTCTTAGGTCTTTATAAACGTTCTGTTTTGATATTACAAAGCTGCAATAAGTATTATTGCTGTTGCAAACATTTTAAACTTATATACCTAAGATTATATATCATGACATGCAGCTGGCGAGCTCTTCGTGTTCAAAAATTACACAATAAGGAGGAACCAAATGCTGCTTCTCAGGAGGTGGTCCCTTCAACTTCATCAGTATCAGCTTTAAACACCAGCTGGTGGGAGGATTGGGATGATGAAGATGTAGATCTGGAGGAGTTGGGTAAAGCACTTAATGCCGCTGCGAGCTTGGCTTCTCATGCCAAGAAACCACATAGGAAGGATAATCGTAAGACTTCTACAATGCAATCACCTTCAAGTCAGTTGGAAAAAGTGGTAGACGTTAACAAACCTGGTATGGATAGAAGAATAAACCTCAGCTTATCTTCCCTTTACTTAGTTACGTAGTTTTTATTAATAGTGTGTGTTTCTTTGGCCACCATTTCATGACCCTCATTTCTCTGTGGGTAAAAGATGTCACTTCATGGTTCCAATAAGTTCAAACTCTTCTTGGTTGTTCAATGTAAAAGGTGACATGGGAAAATTTGCACAAAGTGGAGAGAATAGGATTGGCTACAAATATAAAGATGTGGAAGAATGAAACTCATCAGTTAATGAATATGAGATTGAGAATGGCTTAAATTCTTGTTTTGGTTTGAAAGAAAAAGTTAGAAACAAAAAAAAAATTAGCATATCAAGAAATCATGATTTGTTTCCATTGTTGTGTGGAACAGAACTGTTAAAATTATTTTTTCATAGAAAATTCTGCTTAGTTTGAAAAACCTAGTTTATGTGTTTGTACAACATGATTTACTTATTTGCGTATTTTTGTGTTTGTTGCATAATTTTCTCTTCTCTTTTTCTTTTTTCATTTGTGTGTTGGGGGCATGGGGGCGAGCAGTTCTTCAGGGAGTTACCAACTTTTTCGTGACAGTTTTTGGGTAAAAGTGCTGACTTGGCATTTGAAGGTTGTAGTTGGTTTTTCTGACCTATAACTTGTTTGATGTGCTTGTGCAGTGGTGCCTTGTTTTTATATATACACTCAAGAAGAGCCATCCTCAAAGAATCTTACTTCTTTATGTTCAAAATACTCATCACTTTCCATTGCAAAAGAAGGAAATAATGACAAGGATCATGTACAAGATGAAACTTGGGCAGAGGAAGCATATGAATATGATAAAGCTTTGACTGCTGACAGGACATACCTTAAGTTCAAGAAACGGTTGGATGCATATCCAGAACAATGTTTCAGGTACTGAATCAATGGAACTTAGAATTTTGTGGTAGATGGAACTAGAATGTAAGTAAGGAATTACAATTGCAGCAGGAACTTGTTATCATTACTAGTTAAAAATTGTAGAGATTCCTATTATGCATTTGGTGGTCAATAATATCAATTGTGAGGTCCAGTATGATTCACGTGGGTTAATTTGCAGATCAACACACATGTCCTATTTATTATTTATTTATTTTTATTCCGGGGGAAGGGCCAAATTAGGACAACATCGTGTGTGGTTAGATCCCAAAAGTATGGTTCATATCTTAGGTCCAGTTTGTGACACTTACACCTCTTGTGGTTTGCCAAAGTTAACTTAAGACATGCAATTAAGTTAACTGCATATATAGGACGACTATTTTACCGTAATATTTTCAGATTGCCCTCTCTCTGATTAGGACCTTAAGGATGAACTGTATTTTAGGATCTAAGCATATGAGGTGTCTTTTCTTTTGGAGCTAACCAGTGAGAAATTTCTTATTGACTACCCTTTAGTTTACCCAAATGCTATTTTGTGTCAATTTCCATGTGATAAAACTTGATTTTCACTTGTTACTTGCAGCTGCAGGTGATTATAACTTTTTTTGTTTTGTTTTGAAAAGATAATACTTTTTCAGCTTATATTTGATCTTAAATTGGAAACTGGGCACAAAATTGTGGGAAGCTTGTCTTAGGCTTTGGTACATTTATCTTCCATAGGTCTTTCGAAATTGGGCTAAGGATTATCATTGTTAGAATTGGTGAATAAAATAAAAAATCTATTGTTTAGCTTCCCATTTGCCTTTCTCATCTCTTATCATATCTTCTGTACTTAGATATTCATATGGCGGAAAGCCACTCCTGGCTTCATCAGCTGAAGGAGACCCTGGGAAATGCAGGCTGTGTGGTGGATCAAGGCAGTATGAAATGCAGCTAATGCCTCCGGTATTATACTTTGTACAAGAAGCAGCTGATGATTGTCAGAGACCATCATTGGAGAACTGGAATTGGATGACACTTATGGTATATACTTGTTCCAAGGTAAGTCAACTCTTTGCTAGTTGGTCTGAATATTTGAGGATTTTAGTTTATTCCTCCCCATGTTCTTCAGTAGGGGGTGGGCGACCCCTTCAGTTTTATACAGAAACAATTTAATGTAAAGTCTGTCCTTTTGCAGAGCTGTTCTCAACATGATGAAGGAAAGTCCAGGAAGGGGAACTGGCTTGTGACAGAGGAAGCTGTTGTGGTGCAAGTAGAGAAATCTTTTCATGGGTTAGCCGAACGTGGCTATTTGTCATAATCGGTGCAGTTTCTTCTAGGAAAGAAGGAAAGAACAGTACATTCTATATGCCAGTGAACATTGTAGCTCTTCAAAGTTAGTATACATATAACAGGGCGTAAGAGGCTTTGTTTCCTGGTTATTGATGGTGGTTTCTCTGTAGAATTGACACAGTACGAGTTCTGGTTGTTGTGGTAATGTTTGAAGAATTTTTAAATTGTATCACCAGTTATGCTGAAAGGAAAAATCATTCTCCATTGGAAAGGAGGTCTTGAGACTGTTGTGTTGTATATGGTTTGTTGGGGAACAGTTAACCTTTGCCGTTTGAGTGTATGATGCATCTACGGGGTTTAGATTGATTTTTATTGTCACATTTTTTGTGCTGAGAGAATACCTCCTATTACAATCTTGGTTAGTCAGCCCATACCACCGTTTCGGTTACAAATACAATTCATCTGTTGCAACTTGCAATCCTTTTGGTGGGCTGGATTATATAGCTGAATAAGTTTAAAATGAAGTAGGATTATGAATCCCCCTATCAATGAGGAGTTTAAAGTGAGGAGGCTATTTGAGGAGGCCAATTCTACCATCAACAAATGTAAAGAAATCACGAGACTTAAACATTTTAAATGTTTTGATGATTGGATTGAGCTCCTCAAATAGCATCCTCACTTTAAACTCCTTAACCAATGGGATTGAATCTTACTTTATAATCCAATCCAAAAGCACACATGTTCAAAACACACAACTTGGACAGAGCGGAGGCTTAAGCTAAACTGGCTGGCAAAAAGATAGCTTAAAATTCTTATCAGGTAAGTTCCCAGAAAACTTTTTTTGGCTTATCGCAGAGGTGATTTTGAGACATGAACAGAGCAAATTGTTCATACCAGATACAGCAGGAAATGCCCGTGACTGCAATTGTTTCTTTTACCAAACTAAATTATATATCTATGATTCTAATATTATTGACCAGAAACCAAAGAGAATACTAAAGATTGCAGATACAATAGTTGGATTCGATTAGATTATTTGTATGAAGAATTGGTTTTTTTTTCTTCCCCTTTTTCCTGATGAATTGGATTATACTAATCAATTAACCAAATACAAAAACCATATTCACATCACTCAAGACATGGCATTGGGTTGGCTTTAAGATCAAATACAATGGAACAAATTACTAATGGGCACAATCATCATCCGTAAATACAAGTCAGAATATTCAACTACATTGATGCCTGCATTCCAAACTCTTTGCTACGTTTAAGATCTAAATATTACAACATAAAGCATTATTCGTACTGATAGGGAGCAGAAGCAACAGACACTACTCAAATTTCTTGATTAGCGCCAGGTCATTCAACATTTTGTCAATTGCATCATCGTCATGAACACGTCCTTTGGCCTGCATAAGAGAGGCTCCGTCAAATATATACATTAATTAGGGTCAAATGAATCAAATCAACCTTAGGCAGGAATTACAGACTCAAGAAGGAAATGAAAAGCCCTTATTTCTATACTCAAATAAGGTTTGTTTATTTGGCATGAACTTGTATCAAACTTTCTCCCTCCCACTTAGAATGGGAATTAAGTGAGGAACCTGAATCTTGAATGTTACATGTTCAAGAATCTTTGTTGTCCATCATCTGATTGTATCCCTTATAGTAGCCTTTTTTTTTCCGTCTGGTAAACATAACTAAACTTGTTATAGTAATTATCTGTTTTTTTCCCCGAGAACCTGCCATCATCCTCTTAATTTTCAAAAAAATTATGTGTTTACATTATTAGGAGCCTTCCATTTGTAACGACAGGAAAATAGGACACACTTTGTAATTAACCATCTCCTCATATCAATCTTTCACTAACATAAAAATGTACCATGTTTGCAAAATAAGCACCTAAATATATGTTTACCCAGACAAATCATAAGCACCTATATATATGTATATGTTAACAAATCATAAGCACCATAACAAAAAGTGGGCACAAGATACCTTTATAGATGGTACCATAGCAATAGCTTCCTCAACAGTTTCAGGGCAGAGATTGCCAAGAACACAAAGCTGCACAACAGAGAAAAATCCAGCATTAAGAAGATGGTTGTGGAAAAAATGAAAAGAAAATTTTCATCCTAGAGTTTATTGTGCATGATTGGGCAATTACCTCAAACTCAGTCAGTTGATATCTGCTCAGAATTCTGAATCCCAGTTAAGATCAACCTTTGATGCAGATGGAACATCATTTATTTATTTAAAGTAACTAACAAAAACCAGAGTTTCCTATGGAAGTCACTAGCCCAATTAAGCAGTTGAAAGATTCATGTTTGAATTTGTGGCAAGTTAGAGTTACATATACACATCAACAGATGAACTCAGCTACTTTTCCAATCCACACAGACCTCATAACTGAATGGATAATCTTAGTTAAGTAATAAATGCTTCGTCTTTATCCCATTGTTGACTAGATTTTTACAATCCTTAACAAACGATTGAACTCCTTAAACTGCTGTAGTTTAACTTGCTTTAAGGCTACACACAACATAACTTGGACAAATAACGAGAACCCATGACTAATACGAGCCATCCAGCTAAATTTGGAGTTGTAGGGTTGATAAACATGCCTCCTCTAACGGGCAAATTTGGTTAATTCTCTATTTTATGTGAAAATAATGAAAGATGGGAAGTTGTGCATATGTATGAATGTAGTAGACATGTAGCACAATCATGAACAACATAGAACATAATTTCCCATCTTCACAATTTGAAGGATACTCTCTAACTTGTTTGACAGCATCAGGATTTTTATAACGGCTAAAGCGCTTCACATACTGCAGCGACTTCTCAAATACTCTGAGGAAGTAATATGAAAAAGAAAGGGAAAATAATAAATTATTCTTATCAAACTTGTTTAAGAGAAAACAGTTCAAGGCCAGACAAAGTCAATTTAAATCTCCTTTTTGCCAGACAATCTACATAATCATAAGCTGGGTTTGCAGGTGAAAGGTTGAAATTCATAAATCAAGGCACAACCCCTATCTTAGAAATTACAATAGATAAAAATGAAAGAAAAACTCACTGAGAAACTTGGTTTCTGGGGTCATCAGACATCTGCTGAAGCTGGTCGTACTTATGTTCAAGAATCAACGCAACTTCGCAGTTCATTAAGCACTTGGCTTTCAAAAACTCTGCCCATCACACAAGAAAACAAATAAATACTAACAATATATTTATATATGTAGGTAGATAGAGAGGGAGAGAGAGGTACCGTCTCCGATTTTGAGCTCGGCGGCATTTTCTTCTTCTTCTCCAGACATGTGGCAGAGCAAGCAGAAGGTACCGAAAATCTAGCTAGAGAGAGAGAGAGAGAGAGCGAGAAATTGAAGTATTTGAAACCCACTTTTCGAGTAAGCAGGAATTCAATTCGGAATCAGACTTGCCGATTTATAAATATTCTAGAAAGGGATTGGGAAAGTTGAAGTTCGGTGCGGGTTTCAAACAAAAAAAAAAAAAAAAAAAAAAAAAAAAAAAAAAAAAGAAAACATTAAGGGGCATAACAAATTGTCCATTTACTAATTCCTAATCAGATGAAAAGGAATTGAATTGAGGAGTTAGAATCTGAATTTCTATTGAAGTTGTTTATTAAACTATTAGAATTAGAGTAAGAATGATATTGGTTCCTTACAGGTTATTTACTAACTTCTCCTGAATCGGAATTGAAACCTGTTTGATTACTAAAATGCCCTAAATTATTTTGTGAGCAAATTTTTATTGGGTTAAAGTATATAGCGAATTTGGAATTTAAAGATTATGTGAGGATATAACAAGTAAAAAATATGAATTACTAATACTTAGTTCTCCAACAATTATAATACCACCTCCCACCCAAGAGTTTAATTCTTCCAAAATCAGGTGTTGAATTCCTAATTTTGTGTGGACTCCACTTGCATTTTTGTTCTTTTATGTGAAGTAAACACATGAGTAATATATAATTCAATGCATATGGACCATTTAATTAAGGGGAAATGTTTTTTGTCACATGAACAAAAAATTAAGAGAAATGTCGCCTTAATTTTTGAAAAGTTTTACCTACCACTAACATTGTCCGAAGTTTTGTTAACCATTATAATGTGTGGTGTACTTGCCTTATACTCTTTGGATATTGAGGACATTGCTTGCCTCATTTTCTGAAAGAGGACATTCATCCTTCATCCAAGTTGCAATTTGGTACATATAAATTTTTTTTATAAATAAAAACCATAAAATGATTTTTTATTTTCACACATATCAAACAGTGATTGACATGAATGAAGAAGTTCATACTTCAGAAGAAGGAATACAAGCATTTTCTTTTCTACTAATTAAAAAGATTAATAAAATGTTGGTTGCACAAATCTTACGGCCTACTATTTAAGGCAAATGGGATATGCACAAACACAAGTCGTCCTACTTTGTGTTGGATGGGGTGTGCGCGGGCGCATGGATTACCGTGCGATTAATGATGATGCAGATAGATAGATGGATTGATAGAGTGTGCCTGTTTGATCTGACTTTGCTCAAAGCAATTGTGGCCCAGCAAGGAATAGTTATCGGTCGTCAGGTTCATGGCTTGAGCAACTAGGCCGTTGATGGTGGTGTTGGAAATGACAGTTGGTGGATTTGGATGGTACTCCAACGCCTCGCTAGATTGTGAAGGTTGTATGATATATGGGGTGGACAAAAAAGTAACCGAGATGGTACTTTGGCGCCTTGAAAATCAAAGCTCGGTTGATACATTGATGGATGGAAAATTAAGCTTACTTCCTAGGAAAGAATTTAAAGATATTGAAAGTACATGACAAGAAGATAAATGACAGGAAAAGATAAATTTACGATGTGGGAGGTTTTGGTTGGTGTTGGACCCTTTGAATGTTTGCATGAGGGTTTATATTTATAGGAAGAGTTGGAGATAGGGCTGGCAAAGACAAAGATTTGGAGGGCTGCATCTACTCTTTACTTTTCGGTTGTGGGCCCCTTGGTCAGCTGGCTTCGAGTTGTTTATTCTTTCGCTTCAGTGGCTGTCAATCAGTGCGTTTCTCCAGATAGTGGACCTGTTCTTCTGATCCTCGATCTCTATCCTCGGTCTCCAATGATTTGGGTCGGGGCATCATGGTCGGACTTTAATTAATGCTTTTCGTCATGGGGTAAAAAGTTTCCACTTTTCCAGAAATCCCGTTTCAAGTTTCCCTCAGTGGGACCCTTGTACATGTCTCAAGATACTAGGCACGTCGTGGCCATCATCTAATGTTCGCTTGACCTTATCGTGACCTTTGGTCACGACTTGGTGAACTGCTAGGTGTGGGTTGAAACTGGGCTGTCACTTTTAGGCGAGTATTAATTAAATGGTTTTCCTTATCGTATATCTTGATATAAGTATACTAAATTGAATTATTTTCAAGTATCAGACGTTATATATGTACATATACAAAAGGATTTTGTAGCATAGTATTTTGGCATTATTTTTGTAACACCCATCTCAAATAATTAGTTAATTGCTTAATGAATTGTGAAATTATATTTTTGCCCTTAGGAGTGGGGGTACTTTAGTAATTTATTTTTCAGGGAAGAATTTGGGGAAATGAGTAGCACCATTGCATAGAGTACATGAATACGAGTTCGTAGACATGCGGTAGGCTCAATTCCGATTTATAACGAAGAAGTTATGAAGTATGGAAGTGCAATGGCACAACCGTAAATACCACGAAGTTCTAATTTAAGTACAGACCAGATTCCTTTTTTTCTGGTTTATCTCTCTCTCTCTCTCTCTCTCTCTCTCCTCAACACTCTCTCTCCCCCCTCCACGCGACGCCGAAGTTTTAGAGTGCGAGTTTGTCACCATCCGGCCGCCTTCGGTTGGGTTGAAATGTGTTTTACTAGAATTGAGATGTTGTGAAGTTTTAATGATTTTATGTTGTACTTTGGTTACTCATAAATATGTTGTATTTTGGGTAGTATTATTATTATGATTATAAATATGTGGTTTGGGATATGGGATTTGTGTGACGACCACACCATGTGTTGTACCTTCCCCTGGTTCGTTATGAAAATGATGATTGATAGGCTTTTTAATACCTGCGCAAACAGGGTTAAAACTCCTACAAAACTTGCAAGAATGACAAGGTTATTGTAGTATAAATGATTCTCGCAAGGTCGTTCTCCGCAGGGATTATTAAATAACTCATAGCAACCAAATTCTAATTAATTATTGCAAAAGAGAAAGTTGAGATGTTTGATTTGAAAACCTTAAATTAAAAGGAATTTAACTAATAAAAATAAGGCAATATGCAAAATTAAAGCTAAGAGCAAGAGAAAGAGTTGTGTTTTTAGAAATCAAATTAAGAAAGCACTAGGGATCCGCCGTCACCTTAACAATTCTATATAGTTCCCCCAATTACTTATGACCTATACATGCATATTTCGAAGGTTAGGTATTCCTAATATATGCCTACTTGGACCCCCCAACATAGAGCGTATATCACACATGCAATCCGTCTGTGGTATTCAGATCGAATCTAAACATACATGACTCATTAAGTTCTGTGAAACCTTTTGAAAAACCATGCAACCCTTAAGACGTGGTATTCATCCTAAGTGAACTTGCACATATTAATCACAAGAAGCCTTTGTCAATTTCAGGGACCGACCTCCGACCAAAACTGCATCAAATTACTTTTCTAAACATCCTAATGGTGATCAAGCATCAAGACACTTAGATAGTTTAACCCAGTGATGAATAATTCGAAAACCTGCATGCATATAATCATAAGCAAATTGGACAGAAACTACATATTCTTGCCAAGGCTCGTGGCCTCACCCTAGCAAAAGAGAGTTAGTTACGCATGTTCACAATTGAAATACAAGAAAATATCATTAAGAAGAATAAGAATGAAAACACCTGAAAGTCGCGAAAATCCAAAACCCTAGCAATTGCTCAAAAAGCCAAAAAGAAGTAAAAAAAAAGAGTCCCTAAATTGCTGTGAAAAGGAGTTTAAATACCTCCTAAAACCTAGCTCCCCAATCCCCACAAGAAAACTAAGTTAAAATAAAATAATACTAGGAAATAAAGTCCAAATGGGATTAGGAGAATCTGCCAATAATCTGGTCAACCACGTTTTGGCCCCAATCTCCTCCAAATCTGGCCCAAGATAGCTCGTTTTAAAGATAAAAATATTCCGAACACTTCTCCAGAAGACCATGAACCCATCCGAGGTCATCTTGGGCTCCAAAAATGCAATACAAGCCCAAAACGTCACTATTCCAGCACTGCACATCGCTCCTTCATTTATTCGCCAGGAAATCATCGCTTCGTGGAAAAGTCTAATATTTTGATACGATCAAGCTAAGTGGCTCACGAACGTCCTCCAACTGGAATTACTCCAAATTTCGTCCATTTGATTATGTTTTGCTCCAGAGGAAGTCGAAAGTCCTATATTGGAAATATAATTCAAAGTATCAAAATTCTTCCAAAATATTAACCAAAATATACTAAGAATGAGGCTAAATATATAATATAAAATCGACTCATCAATGATGAAATTATGGAAAAGAATTATAGTTGGTCTTTGGGACCCATCATGGCACACATATACTTTTTGGGAGGTGTGTCAGGATGTTAGTCTACACGTATGACTGGATCAGCTGCACGTGCGATGCAGGTCCCGGCGTACATGCTGGGGAGCAATAGTCCCCCGATTGGACTGCTTATCTCTAGCCACTTGTATGATTTAGGATCCCAACATGTGGTTGAGAATAAACAATCCTCGAGTTGGATTGTTTTCCCTAGTACGTATCTTGATGTGGTACATGTGTGTGTGTGTGTGTGTATATATGTCTTAGGAATATAAAGGTTTCAAGTATCGAATGGTATATGGATAAAGATGGATTTTATTTCATGGTTTACATTGTTTTTTTCTAAAACAGTGGGGTTAGTATGTTCATATATAATTTATGTTGTAAACTTAATTTTTGTCCACTTACACTTTCTTGTTTTGCGCCCCCAGGCTATAGCTTGACGAGATTCACCGGTCCACGTCAAATATTTTGTATAGCACATGCCACTACTTGTAGGATATCTGTTTATTTCTTTTTGAACTCCTAATACTTCTGCAAACTAAAGTTTTGTAGAAAGCCTTGATATTGCCCATGTAGGTTTGAATTTGAGGCCGAAGGCCTATGTTGTAAATTGTGTGCTTTAGCATTGTGTGTGTGCTGCTGTTTGGGATTATTTATCACTTGTTTGCAGGTATTTATAATTTGGGAATGTCCATTTTTCAGGGGAGATTCTGCTGAAATTTCGGTTGAAGTCTCAACCCGATTTCTGTTTAATTCGGGGGCGAAAGGGTTATGTTAGTAAGTGGGCTTGGCATTGGTTAAATGCTGGACAGGAACATGGTACGTCATAGATTCCAAAGGAGGAATCTGGGGTGGGTCTTGTCAATTTTTTAAAACGGAGGGGGTTATTTATGTTGAATATAAATTATGTTGAACGCTTTGTTTTTGTCCACTCACATTTTCTATTTTGCGACCCCAGGGGCTAAATATCCTAGGTCGAAACCACCACGTCGAGGCATCGCCGTTGTTTGCACTGTAAGAATTCCTCATTTATCTTTCTCTACTTTCCTTTTCCTCGGATTGTAAACTAAATCTTTAGTTGCTCTACTTGCTTCTTTTGAGTTTGGGTAGAGGGTGTGAAGCCCATTTGAATAGTCTTAACTGTTGTGCATGCCTTTACCTTGTGCATGTTGGAAGTTGGGTTGTTCTGGGGCTTGTTTGCAAGTATTGTAAATTGGGAAAAGTTCCACTTACAGGGTAGACTCTGTCGACATTTCGGTAGAAGTCGAAGTCCTTACAACTTTTAATTAAGAAAGAAGAGCACTTTAGTAAGGTGGGTTTGACATCGGCCAAATGTAGGATGGAAAATAGGGTTCATCATGGGTTCCAAGGGGGAATCCAAGGCGGGTCTTGTCAATTTGGTATCAGAGCATTAGGTTCAATTTCTTGTGGACTCCGCACCTTGTGTGTATTTTTAGTATCATTAAGTGTAGTGTGTTTTGTTTTGAAATGATGCCTCTTCGATGTGGGTAACCTCGTAAGACGTTTCAGGTAAATTTCATAAGTTCATTTCCTAGGACACGTGGTGAACTTGAAGTTTTGGGTTGTTAAAATTGATAATGCCCTAGACACCATGCAATAGATTTCTTCGGTAAATGTACGAAAATATCATATAATACTAGAAAATATTTCAGTTCAATAAAATTTCATTTCATGACATACAATAAGGAAAACCATTTAATTAATACTTCTCAAATTCTTGGAAAACAATGTAAACTTGTTAATTTAACTCTTATTGTAAAACCGTAAATTCAACACCACCAAAGTAAATCAGTTAATATAAAATATAATCATCAAAACCCAAAATCCTTTTTCACACAACCATACGCTTGCAAAAATATAATATGCCTAGTAATTTCCTGTTGGTCCGTCGCAAATCTCGCGGCCTGGTGCTCCGGGCCGAGGGGATGTGCGTCAACACATGACGTCCTCCTTTTGGATGCGGTGCGGTTGTGCCCGGGTGTGCCAGCATGGTCTACCGTGCATCGAGGTGATGATAAGGTTCGGGTAGAAGATGGTTTAAATATTGCGCCTGTTTTGCGTTCGACTCCTAATCAAACAATTGTGACCGAGTGAGGAACGGATCTCGGCCGTCAGGTTCATGGCCTGAGCTACAAGGCCGTTTAGTGGTGGTGTTGGTGGTGGGTTTTTAGGCGGTGCTCCGGCGCGTTGCTCAGAGAGCGACGGTCGTATGATATATGGGGTGAGTGAGGCGATAATAGAGGTGGTGCTCCGGCGCCTTGAAAATCAAGGGTCGTATGATATATTGATGAATGAATTTTCCTTACAGTCTACCACTACTCCTAAGAAAGCAAATAAACGTATTGAAAGTGCATTACAGAAAATATAATTTGCTCCGTGGGAGGCTTTTGGTTTGGTGTTTGAACCTCTTGAACATGGTCTCGAGCTTAGTATTTATAGGAGGAGTCCTGGAGGGCCAATCGAGGCTGAAAAAGATCTGCCTGATGGCTTGAAAATATCTGCATGGTGGAGTCTGATCGGGGCAAGTGGGTAGTCAAATCGGCATTTGGGATCGTGAAGCACGGTGGTGTGACCCCCATAAATCTCGGCAAATCTCGGCCACCGCCCTGATCGTGGGCTCTGCACTTTTGGCCGTGGGAACACATTTAATGCTCTGGTCCAGTGGTTGGTGATCTGACCTCAAGCTGTGAGAATGCTTTGTGAGAATGTTTGCGCCTAACCACTCTGATTCCTGTTACCAAATCCTGACTTCAATCATTTCCCTTCTGCCCTCGTGCATTAAATGCTTCTTGCACCCAGTGGTTTTGCTGTGGCGGTCAAATGCACTACTTCATTAAATGGGGCGTGGGACCCTGAGGCCACGTGGCGATTTGACCATAGTATCTTTGGCTGTGTCTCTCATGGACCTCGGCCTCGGCCCATAATGCCGTGGTTGTGAGGCTGAGAAGATCCTGCCTTCGTATTTTGCTTCTGTTTTCGAAAAGGCTAAATGTTTGACGAAACGTGGCCGTTTCAGTCCATGAACAGGTGCTACGGCCGAGAAGAGGTCCCTTCTGACGACTGTGATTTATTAGGCACAAACATTGCCCCCACATCCCTGGATTCTTCGGTCGCGACTTGGGCAGAGGCCGAATGGATTCCAAGGGATGGACTCTCTGCCTTCCCTTCGAAGTGATCGACGGTTGGTGTCTTAAATGCGAAGGTCAATCGACGCATTAAATGAGCAGGCACGTCCCTTAAGCCATCATTGCCTTGATTTGCTCGAGCCATCGCTTTGCCTTGATTCGCTCGAGCCGTTGCTTTGCCTTGATTCGCTCGAGCCGTCGCATTAAATGAAACGACGGCCTCCAGGCTTCTAACACGTCATCGCGTAGTCGAGCATACTGTCAGACCGTTACGTCTCTCGAGAGGATCGTGCCCTTTCGTTTTCGAATTCGAGCGCCAGTATAAAAGCCTATCCTTCTTCATTCTCTCCTCATGCTTTCAGAATTTTCAGACGCCCAAACTCTGCCAAAACTTTTCTCTCAATTTCTCAACCCTTTCGAACTCATTCAAGCACTCCACCTCTCTGCCCAGTTATCCTTTTGTTTGAACGCTTGGCTTCCCAGTGTTCTTCGTGTTTATCATCCTTTCCTCGACTTTTCTTTAAAACACCCTTTTTGATCCGTTTTAATGGCCTCCAGCACTTCTGCCTCCGTTGAAGCCTTGTCCCAAGTCTTCCAGACTCAGTTTGAAGACATCTGCCGAGACATCCAGGGCTCGGTCCTTTCTGACATTATTGTGCCCTGGACTGACGATGACGGCGCTGTCACTGAGGGACAGCTTGGTGAATTTCTCGGCCTTTGATGGTGGGGACTTCCAGGATGAATGTCGCCAGGCTGCAGCCCCAATAGCCAACCTCGACCCAGACTGGGAAAAATGGCTGCCGAGGATGGAGCACTTTTTCGGCCAGCAATGGAAGGATCAAGGTATCTACCAGTTGATCAAGCTGTTCGATCGGCCTCTTGTTATGGACCGGTCGCTCTTGGCCGCGGCCCTGTGCTTCTGATCGTCAGCCACCATCACCATGAACCTTCGGTTTGGCATGATGACGCCAACCATGCTAGAAATGGTCGCTCTATTCGGCCTCTCCCCTCTCGACGTGGAGGTGAACGCCGCTTTGGTCGCCCCTGAGGCCGAAAGGAGCTTTAAGGCCGCATGGCCCACGGTCGCCAAGCTTGTTGGGAGCAAGGCGAAGAACATGCTCAACTACTCCAGCTTCTATGGCAACTTCGGTGTGGAGGACAGCGCCGATGATGATTCGATTGCTCCTTTGGGCGATGTCGAGCATGCCGCGTTCTTGCTGTATTGGCTGTGCAAGTTCGTGTTCTGCACCCAGGCGAACAAAGTCACCCTGGAGTTTGCCCATCTGGCCGACTATCTTGCGCAAGGCGGAAGATTGGCTCTCGGCTCATTCCTCCTCGGTCACATCTACCGCACGCTTCACGATTTGGTTATCGATGGGATGAAGCCGAAGCACGGTGGTCCACTGTGGGCCTTCCAGTTCTAGCTGCAGGCATACTTCCAAGAGCTGAGGGGTGCGGTAAGCGTCGCCAAGACCGAGCTGTTGGCCAATGCATTCGCCCGGGCCCCCAAGAAGCACAATGCCTCGACCTTCTGCTACAAGTTTTTCTATGAGCTGACCGAGAGGACCGAGTCGCAGTTCCGGGTGTCCCTCGCTCGACCGTATTCCTTGTACCTGGCGCACGACCTCTCCATAATTCCTGATGGCGAGACGGAGAACGACTTGAGGGAGGTCTGGGGCTCCTTTCTGGTCGCGCGCGACCTTCACTGTGGCCTGTCCAAGGCCGGGGCCGAGGTTTATTTGCCGCATTTCGTGGCGCGGCAATTCGGCCTGATCTAGATGGCGCCGCTCCCGCGCTTGGCGATCAACCGGCTCTCGTCCTAGAGGGCCGACGTCGCCCAGCAGCACGGCGTGGCTGGGATTTCCTTCCAGCTTCAGAAAGGGATGTCCTTCCTTACGCTGAGGCCGTGGATGCGTCGAAACGCGGTCGACGAAGATGGAAGGCTTTGGTACGAGGAGTGCATCTCGACTAGATTCATCCGGCTCATTGAAGAGGTCGTGAGGGGGGCCCTGAAGAACACAGATTGGGACCCCCTTCTTCCCAAGGCTGGCAAAGGGAAGAAGGCCCCAGCCGTGCCTTCTCGACTAAGTACGCTGGCCGCGGCCGTACCCAGGGTGGCGGCCCCTCCCTTGGCTAGAATAGTGATCGCGACTTCAGCTGCAGCCCCAACCCTAGGGCGCTGGCCGTGACGGGGGCGCGAAAGACTCTAGCGCACATGACCGCGCCTTCTACCTCGCCAGCTCGACCGGTTGCCGCCGCTGGTAAGCCCCCTTTATGTTTTTTTCCGTTGGCCTTTCTGAGCTACCTTTGTCCTTGCCTATTTTATCTCTTAACTCTTTTGCTTCTCCCTATGTAGCCCCGGGCCGCAAGAGGGGCTGAGAGGCCTCAAGCACTGCGGTTGCGGCGATGGTGGAGACGGCGTCATCTAAGCGGCCGAGAAAAAGGGTCCTCCTTGATCTCTCGGAGGACGAGGATGAGGAGGAAGCTCCTTCGGTGGTTGTGAGTGAAGCCCTTCCTGCGACCGTAAGTACCTCTCCTTGAACTTTTTCTCCTTTTCCTTTCCCAGGCCACGCCCTTCCCCTCTTTGTTTATCTTGTTGATCTGGTCTTTTCCTCAGGGTGAGGAAGAGGTCGAGGAGGAGGCTGCTGATGACTGTGATTTATTGGGCACAAACATTTCCAAATATCCAATCTCAATTCCGAACTTCATTTCAAATGTTCATACCTATGCAGAGTACTCTCAATGCACATGCTCAAGAAACCTCAACTTGGAAATAAGTCCACACATATACCCGTATACATATATACTAGCCCCTTGGCACATGTGTGAGCATGTGCCAATTGTTTTATTTTCTATTATATTTTTTTTAAGAATTAAGAAAAGATAACATGGGTAGTTATGTTCCATAAAAGTAGGACCTATTATCTGATTTGTTTTTAATTTTAATTTTTTTAATATGAAAAAATATGAATTTACCATATTATCCTCATTTAATTAATAATTTCAATTCTTAATGTTTGAATTAACCAAGGACATTTTCTGGTATTTTGAATGTTTCGCACACACACACACACACACACACACACACACATTCACCACACCATCATTAAGTATCGAGGAAACAATCCAATGGGGGGATTGTTTGACTAGACCATGAGATAGTATCACATTACCACGTGACTAGGGTTGAGCAGTCCAATCAGGGGACTATTACTCCTCAGACACGCATGGCAGAATCCTCGATACATGTTCGGCTGAAATAAGTCTTACACGCACAGACATCCCTGTCAATGGCTCCGTGGTACACCCTGTCAAGGGTGCCTAAGTCCCGACACACCTCCGAAGAGTTACCGCATGTCGAATGTATCCAAATATCTATCATATCCAAGGGGAGGTACATGTACAATCCATAATTTCAATTTCCAAAAATAAGTTTCCAAATAACATATATATGTATATATATATATATATATATAATAACACCCATAATTCCTTTATAAAAACCATTTAAAAAAATCATAATAAAGAAAAACACCAAAACTAAAATAAACCCATTCAATTTCAATAATTTTATTCATATACTTAGGAAATATAACAAGGTCCAAGAATCTCATAAGACAATGATAATAAAATACAATACACCATAAACTAACCCAATATCACCAAATCCAAAATCACCATAATCCGAAACCCAAATCCATATACTGTTGGAATCACATATCACATTGTAAAAGCCGAGACTCGCCTGATAATAAAATCCCATAACCTCAATAACCCAAAATAAACCAATTTTCAATCAAATCACATTTATGCAAGCAGTTCCATATTTGAAAAACAATGCTCATTTAAAAACAAATGTCCACTCACCCCAAGTCTAATGCTACCCAACCTTGAAAGGACTCTTCCTGTGGAGTACGCGAAGAATGAATACCTATTTGAGAGGGTAAACAGACTTAGTTAATAAAAGTACCCCACAACCAACTTTAACTCCAAACTCTAGTTTTCAGGTCTCAAAGTGTGCACAATCTTTGAGAAGGTTTATAGGGTCATTCTAGTACTTAACGAAGGATGAGACAGTCTCGGAAGACTTATGGTCAACTGAGCGGACAAACTTTCCATATTGGTCAACCTGGCGTGGCGGGCCTACGACCTCCGATTTCCAATCCGAAAGTTCCTGTAAGTTCAACAAAGTCTACTAAATAAGTTCCGAAGGTTTGGCCTCAATCAAGCGATCGAATCTAAGCAAATCGCACAATCTGACAACGATCGATTTGCCTAACCCTATAATCATTGACTAAGAGAATTCGGGACTCCAATTCTCGGGACTCCAATTCTCGATCTGCAAATTCCTACACAATCCTAGAGGTATGTGGAATATCATATTTGAAATTGGAACAGATCGAACAGTCTGAGCCTATCGAATCCAGATATCGCATAATAGGAGCAATATCCATTCAATAGTCAAACGATAACCAAATTTAAATATGAGCATACTGTCGTGCTCAAGACGATATGGGGAACATTTAAGAACACAATGGGCCGCAACAAAGGGCCCATGTGCCGCCACTTGCCACGGGCAGAGCTAGGTCGCTTGAGAGATTTTTAAGCGACAGAAAATCTATAAATCACCTGCCAATACCTATACCCACTGTTCAAACACAACTTGGGGAGCATATTTTGTTCTTGGACCCAAGCCAAAAAGTGGCTAGAGCAACCTGGAACACGACCAAAGTCACCAGTCAAACTTGGGTGCCTAAAACAATCTCTCAAATCTCAAGATCGATGAAATCGGAGGCACGAGTTGCCAGAAATGGTGTCGGAATTTTTGAAAATCGCCGACACTTCCAATCATTCCAGCCACAAATCATTGGGTTTTCAAGTTGGGAAATTGCCTGGGTTAAGTAGAGGATGAAGAGACGATTCTTTTGGTACCAAGCACATCAGAAACAGACATCGGAAGGTGACAAAATCGCCGGTCAAAGCAACGGCATCGCACAGAGAGAGAGAGAGAGAGAGAGAGAGAGAGAGAGAGAGAAAATGACGTGGAAGAATCAGACCCTAGGTATTTAAATTTTTACTTTTACAAAATTACGATTGTGCCACTGCGCTTGTATATGAATGTAAAGGTGCCGCTTAATTCTCCAAATTCCTTCCGAAACAAAAACTGACTAAAGTGCCCCAACTCCCAAGGGCAAAATGTAATTGCACAAATAAATAATTAGATAAAAATAATTTGTTGGGTCGAGGTGTTACTTCTCCTGCAACTTCTCCTTCTTCAGATGAATAACTAGTGTATGAATTAATTATGTAATTTATTTGATATTGAAAAATACTTCAGAATAAATGAAATCAAAGTTTTGAGATGGAGGCCTTAAATTTGATAATATTTATTCTCTTTTTACTACATATCTTGTTTACAACGTTCCTCACTCCTCCACCACATCGCCTAAATTTATTGATTAGTGTGACTCATATGTTTTAATGGATGAAATTACTTTCATATTTATCTTCAATTTAGTTATAAAAGCCAAGGCTCTCCAACAATTAAATGCTTGTAGATCATATTTAAATATTGTGATTTTTAGTTCTTAGATGATATAGGAAACACTATATCATATATTATGAATTATATTATTTTATGAATCACTTAAACAAGATATATTTCTACTTATAAATATAATATTATTTTATGATGTTCTAAAAATGAACAGTTCAAATCATGAGTTTACATTGTGGCATTGTTCCAAATGATTGGTCAGCGTCATATTATCTAACCAATTCATTTATTCAATAGCTTCATATATAATCCAAACTTGAACTTTTCTTTAGTTTCACAAGGACCGACAAAGATGGTTTATTAACATATTTTTCAAATCTAAATTAATTAATTAATAAACTCATAAAACGCATGTGCAAACCATTAAAATCTAAATGAATGAGATTGAATTAATCTAACATTTAGTTTGGAGTTATACTACCAAATATGTTCTTCATTGTAAATGCGTTTGACATCATCAATAAAACTAGGCTTATAAAATGACAAACTTGTTGTAGATTCTCCACCATTCTATAGCTTCGTTGGTGACTAGTATATTTTTAAAATATTAAAAAAAAATGGCAAGGTTCACTGGTTATCAAACTTCTGCAATCTTGATTTTCGTGATTGCAACAATGATGATTTTGCCAGGACTTGCAACCCTAGCACCCTCCCCATCAAATTTTAAGTTCCTAGAGGAATGCAAATCAAGGCTTTATGTCGGGTGTGGAAAAGAAATAGTCGTTACAATAATTAAGGAATGGTCTATTAGTGATAGTTGTTGCATGGAGCTTGTATCAATGGGTCAATCATGCCATTTTGCATTAGTGAACAAAGCTCTTTCGGGCCCTCTTTCCAAACTAAACAAGTTGGATGCTTTGACCAAGAGTGCAAAAATTTGGAATCAATGTTTTGAGTTCTCACAATTTCTATCTCCTGCAACTTCTCCTTCTTCAGAAGAATAATTAGTCTTCGAATTAATTATGTATTTGATATTGAAAAATACTTGAGAATAAATGAAATCAAAGTTTTGAGATGGATGCCTTAAATTCTATATACTTATTGTCTTTTTACTACATATCTTGTTTACAACGTTCCTCACTTCACCTCATCGCCTAAATTTATTGATTAGCTTAGTTTGTATTATCACTAATACAAAAAAACCAAATAGACGACGGGGATCCACCGTCGTTGTAATGCTTTGAAAACCGTCATTAAATGGATAGCCATCTTTTTTGGTGTCAAACTACGACGACTTTTCACTATCGTTGTTTATCTCTAAAGATAAAGGTTTTTAAAGAAAACCGTTGTTGTTGTCACATAGAGACGACGGTTTTTCTTAAAAACCGTCGTTGTTTTCATATAAAGACGACAGTTTTTCTTATAAACTGTCGTTGTTTAGAGGTAAAGATTGTTAATTATAGGAGGAACCATCGTGGATTGTTGTAAAGACGACAGTTGTTTTACAAAAACCGTCGTTAATTATCTGTGAAGAATTTATGATAAAAAACCGTCATCTAATAAGTTCCCAAGCTATTACATTTTAGTTCTTTTTGGTTTCCTATGATGCTACAATGATTTTAACTAGAAAACTAACCATAATGCTTTATTAATGAATATGTACACTAAAAAATAGTTTCTTTCATAAAACTTGAAAATTCAATAGTTATTACATAGTTAACCAATCCTTATTCTACAACAAACATACTTCCTACCAACTAAATATAAATATTCAAATGATACATGGTAATTAAGTAGTACAATCTTTTCCTAACAAGACCTACGTACTCATAATCCAAGCCTTCCTCATCCAAACATACAAATGATGCACAATTGAAGTCTCCTCCATCATCCTGGTAAATAAATCAAAATGACAGAAAGAAAAGAAAAAAGCTAAGATTAGAAACAAATAGAATTAGGTGAAAGATAAATTTTACCATCGGACTATATTTCCATAGAAAACCTATAAAAATGAGCATAAAAAAGACCATAAAGAACTTGCAAAAGGAAAATAAATGAATAAATAAAATGATGGTGAAAAGAGGAAAAAATAAAAACAAAAAAAAAAAAAAAAAAAAAAAAAAAAAAAAAAAAAAAAAAAAAAAAAACATAGAAAAGACACATAGAAAACTTGCAAAAGATAAAGTTATAAATCTGCATAAAAAAGGAAGAGTTAGAACATGATCTCACAAAAGAAGCACAACAATAATATACTTGGATAAGCTATTACCTTCACGTGTTCATCAGGAGATGAAGAGCAACACATATGGCTGAAAATTGTCAAGACAAGCAAGTTTTGCTCTCAAGTGAAAAACCATAATTGACGTTCAAAAAAACTGAAGAATAATTCAAATGCATAAGGACTTCTGGGTTAAAACAAATACACAAGGTATAAGCAATCAGTAAATCAGCGAAGAGGTGATGGGAGAGAGAGAGAGAGAGAGAGAGAGAAGAAGCAATCCCGCAAGACACAAAAAAAAAAAAAAAAAAAAAAAAAAAAAGCAAAGGAATTTAAAAAAAAAAATAGCAATTTGCGTGAATGTCCCACCCAAAGAGTATTTCAAGCCTGCAATTAGAGATGTGCCAAACATTAAACAGAACTTCATTCAAGGCCATAAACACTAAAGAGAAGGAAAACAAAAGGAAAAGAAAAAAAAAAACTACTCCAAGCTTGGTTTCTTTTCCATCCAAATGAACTTCAATATGAACCTTAGTTTCTCAATTGGCTTCACAACTACTCCAAGCTTCTATAACATCCAAAATAAAAATATAAGTTAACTACAAGAGCGTTGCTTTGCCAAACTAATACCTTCATTTGGTAACTGGAAAAATGAGGGGAAATCATTATGTTGGATTAGATATTCACTCTTATATCATAAGCAAATATAAGGATTAAAAACAAAATAGATTTCTTTCATACACAGCAATGAGAAAGCTTATGTTGTGACTAAATATAATTTCATGTATAATAACAAAGTAAGATGAATTCAAAATTTTACAGCACACAGTCTTATTCTGAGCAAACGAAAAGTTAAGGACAAAGAAAGAACAAAATCCATTCAACTCAGGACATTACTTTGATAAACCCGATTATGAGTTAGTGTCAGCCAGCCTCAAAGAAAGTCACATTACTACATCTTCAGACATAAAAACAAAACAAAAATCTCAATCAACACTAGCAGAAAGGGGTAATGTAACACCCCGACTCTATTTAATTTTCCAATTCAAAAGGGTATTTGTAAAAATCAGATTCTTCAATTTCATTTCACTTTTCTCTCTCTCTCTCTCTCTCTCTCTCTCTCTCTCTCTCTCTCTCTCTCCCGCGAACTCTCTCTCTCGTCACTGTTCATCCGAACGGAAAAATCCACGCCGCCATCACTTCCGGCCACCTCAGCTCTCGAGATTGGTTCCAAAAGCTTCGTCTCGACGTCCCGGTCAAGACCCAATAGCTTTCGTCGCCGGAAAACTCGAAAATAGCCAACAGTTTCGACTGGTTCGAGCCGGACTTTTCCGATTGTTGCGCTGCCGCCTCCGCCGTCCATTTCAGGTAAAATTGGTGGGGTTTTTCTCTCTTTTTACATGTTTTAGTTGGATGTTGCATAGGAATTGTTCAATTTGTTGTTTAGAATCCGATTTGAGAAGTTAGGTTTTTGGCCGATTTTCAATTCGAAATTCCGGCCAGTTTCCGGTGGTTTTGGGCTTGGCCGTAGTTGATTGAAGTGCTCCCCTAGTTGAGTAGCATCTGTAGCCGGGAGGGTGACTTGTGATTTGGAGATTTTCCGTCGCCGGAATTTCTCTGCACACCCGCTTGCTGTCAGCGCGTGTGGCGGCGCGTGGGCAAGTGTGGTGGAGCTGCAAACTGTTCCAATGTGATCTTTAAGTTGTCACGAGTGCGTAGGATTTCGCGGATCTCGATTC